CTTCCACGTGTCCATTAAAGGTCTTGCCACAGCCTGTTAAGGCCATTTCACAGGCACGGGCTCGCTCGTTCCCTCCAGAACATGCGTGCCAGGCTAACGCTTGGCTCGCCCGTTCTGGGCGGGAACGTGCTTGCCCTACCCAGGAACTCCTTCTTTGTTTCAGAAGTTTGCATTGCCGAGCTTCTTTCAACTGGTTGACATTTCTAACAGTTCCTAGCTCTGGCGAACCTTCACAGCTTTTCTTTCAAGCCGGAAGACAGTGCCAAGCTCAAAAGGTTTGTTGTGGATAATTTGATTGCTTACTTTGACTGTTTGAATGCTTCCAAAACCGTTATGGAAGATTTTGTTCATGTTAGCGACCTTTTGATAGTTTTTGGAACATTGGTCTGTCAAGGGAGTTTTTCAAACCTGTGGCCAGGCCTGAGATACATTTGTCGCACGTGGTATATGTCAAGCAGTAAACTGTTTCTTCTCTGGGCGCCACTCATTTACATTTTGTAATTAGATGAGTTGAAAGAAATGTACGAAACTTTAATCCTTTGTGTCTCAGATTGCATCATTGGAGATTCGAAAGCTGCTTTACCAATCAGCACCTGTACTCAGATTGAAAGTAAAAGGCTGACTGACCAACTTGTGGAATATTTGTGGCAGGTCTTGATGTGTTTCCCTGGTGAGCTTAAAGCCAGGAGCATGAGACGGATTATAGAGGTTTCTAACCGAATGTGCTTTTTGCAGATGGAATGTAATCCATATGACCTGGGGAGTTCCCGGGTAGGGCGAGCCGGGCATTAGCCTGGCAAGTGCGTTCGGGAGGGAACGAGCGAGGCCATGCCCAAGGAACGGCCTTAATGGGCTGTGGCAAGACTGTCAAACAGACACATGGAATAACGTTATTGGTGGCTGGCAGCTAGGTTCTGGAGAACCTGGCAGTTGTCAGCCACGTTCTCACAGAGAACCTGACTTGATCCGACGGCTGCCAACGGTTGGATCAAGTTAATAGGCAAGCCACAGCCCGTTAAGAGGTTTTAGCAATGCTAGTAAGAAAACAAAGGGGAAAAAGGCTTGATCTCCAGGGGATGAGAGGAAAGATGAGTGAATGAGTGCTGTGAATTAATATGAAAATAATGAATGGAAATGGGGATTCACAACTCAGATTTCCCCCTTGAAAGGCTGGTGGTTCTATATACCATTTATTAGCATATGCTAGTAGTTATGATCAAGTCTATGCAGCCTTGGGTTTAGGGTTGGAGTTCCTTGAGCCTGGGTTTTTGGTTGATATAATCTACTCCTCTGACAGAACTAAATGCGAGTATTTCCATTGCTTGTTGCTGCTATTACTCGAGTCGATAGAGGTGGCACTTCTACTGCAGGATGTGAGTTCATGGTTGGGGACACTGTCTAGTGGATCTGTCCCATCTTCCTGGAGCTTGGCTACTTTGGCCAAGAGGGTGGTATGGTCATCCTCTAGCTTCTAGTAGTGGGTGTTGATCTCATCGTACTTGAACTTGTAGGTGAGTTCATGAGCTACTGATGGCTGCTTGGAGATGATCTTCCTAATGTCCCGGAGGTCGGTGCAAATCTACTTCATCTTCTTAAGCTGAGTGTCGAGCCGGTGGTTTAAGGGCTCATAGAACTCCTTCTTGATTGCTCCTTGGGTGTATATGAAGGAGTCTTGCTTGAGAAGGTCCTATGTGATGTCGGCTGGTGTTGGGAAGTGGTTCGCTTGCTCGTGGTGCATGCATTGATCAAGGGCTTCGAACAACTTGCAGGTGCAGTAGCTCAGATCGAAGAGTTTATCCTCATACTCCTTCCTGATCTCGTCGTAATCATGGCATACCTAACTCTGTGGCTGAGGCATGGCTGCTGCTGCTGCTCCTGCTCTGTGATCCTTGTGTTCCTCGCTAGGGTTCACTGTGTTCTTTGGTCCCAGGATGTGAAGTTGCTGGAGGCGTAATCTGCTTCGTTGGATGTGGGTGGTGTGTTCAGTCTGGATTCTTTGAGGTTGTTGGAGATGAGCGTTTTGGATTGATGCTGGATGAACGGACCAGATGTGGCGCTGAAATTAATGTAAATGGCCTTTAGCTCTGCATTGGTTTATTCTCAAATATGTTTCAGAACACCACTAGTTTATCAATGTTCACAAGATTCTTCAACCCAACTCGCCCAAGAAGGTGGTGGGCTCATTTTTGCACCAGAACTTGCTCCCACCAATCACTCCAACTCACTAAAAAACTCTCTGAAGACTTCCAGTATAGTCAAAATCACTAGTTTCTATAGCCAATAGTGAACAATTCCAAAATTCCCTCCCTAACACTAGAAAGATCTGACAAGCTTGAAATCTTCTCACAACTTCTTCCAACACACTTAAATTGGTACTATTGGGTTAGGAACATTATGTATCCATAGTAGTTCACAAGTTACAAAGAGATTCCACTCAAAGAACACTCTTCTTTTGAAATAATATAGAAATTTGCTCCTAAGACCAAAGGGTTGTGATTGGATGAGGTCTGGCTTCATCCTTGACTTTTTATCCTCTAAATTTAAGATTCTCATACTATAATAGTGCCCGCCATTTCTTGACTCACTTATATTTGTTTTATATGCTTTGGCCACAGCCCCAGAGATCTCTGATTCCTTTCTATCAAAATTATGATCTCCCACTAAGGATGAATCTTCTATATTGTTGCTGTGGACTTCTGCCACCTCCATGTTTTACTAGTGAAGCTTCCAGACTTGTCTATTTCATGATTTGCCATGTGGCTAAGTTTTGTCCCAATCAAACCAGGATCTTGATCAATGTCTACGTGATCCAGCGTGACAAATCCACATGGAGGGAGATTGATCCAGATAGATTTCTGGGGAGTTGTGTGGATGTCAAGGGCCAGCTCTTGCCGTTTGGATCCAGGAGGAGGAGCTGCCCAGGAATTCACCTGGAGAATTTGATCCATGTGTTTGACTGGGGTGGACCGGACCCGGCGTCCCTGGCTATGTCCGAGTTGCTGGATTGAGCGTGCCCACTTCTCCGCTCAAGCGTTTAATATTAACTAATACAAACTGTGTTTAATGAAGTAGTTTCAGGGTGCTTTCACGCATGGATCTGGTTCAAATCAAAAACTGAGAGAAGTGGCATGTGATTGTCAAGAGGAGCACAAAAGGTTTTAAATTTATAAGGCTGAGGTCATCCTCCAACCAGCATTGATTCCAGGCAATCTCCAACATAGTTCTAGACCTAGAGTTTCTAGCGGCAATGAGAATGGATAGAGAATGTGATGGGCAAAAATCGTACCTGCAAAAAAAATAAACTATAGGAAGTTCCATGCATTTAGAAGCCATGGATTGGAAGGACTTAAAAGGTTGACACAGAGACTCTTGAGAAGTGCCAAAGCTCGCTACCTTCTCAAGAATTATCTCCTCACAACACAATTAGACTATTGAAGCTCTTTCTAAGGCCATCTTAACAAGCCCCTCAAGCACTTGGAAGCACCACCTTTGAGGTATGAACTCCTCAACCTGTGAATGAAAGTGACATTAAAAAACCAATCAACGGTGTAATACATGTAATTAACAGCCTGCACCCACACTTGACGGTACAACAGTTTATCAACAGTGTAGTACATGAGATCAACAACCTACACCCACCCTTGGACAATACAATAGTCCAAGTCAGTTCTAAATCAGTAGGATTAATCCATGTATTTGGCTTGGGCTGTTCCTCTTCTTCCTCTCACCCACCCTGGCTACCATCCAGTTTGCCAAAAGCAGTTCTAGGCACTAGGAGTGCTGCCCACTAAGGAGATGCCGCATATAGATTCTTCAATTACTCCTGGAGAGTGGAACTGGCCAATGGATCTCTTTGACAATCGCTTGCAAGGACTCGAGCCTGGAGATATTCTCGTCTTCCATGAGCTTTCCACTCGCTTGAGTTCCTCGCGAGCCTTGTCCATGAAATCTGGGTTCTTGATTAGCTCCGCCATTGCACACTCTATATGAGAACGGCCGAAGTGTCCGTTCCAGCCGCGATCATGTCCTGCAAAATTCACGTCAACTTTCCCATCCAAAGAAAGATTTTCATATTGCTACAACGTACGAGCGAAACTGCCTTGAGCGAAGCGTCCGTCAACTCCCCCGTGCAGATCATCAAGTCAATAAAGTCCTTCGGCTGGCCACCAAAGTTCTTGCGATGAGTGTCAATCTCCTTTGGTCGATCCCGTGCTGGACTTCCTCGATCTTTGCAACCTGCGTGTCCATCCATCCCAGCCACGGAACAAAATCCCCAATGTGCATGCTACCACCGAGCTCAAACGCCCGAGTGATTGCCCGGTTGAAGAACAGCACCTCCTCATCTCCTCCTTGCTCGGGTCGCGCTCCCGGCCGAGTAGCTCTTGCTCCACCATCCTGGCGACGGTGTTGAACGTAACATCCTTCACCATTGTCGACAAATCGGCCTCCCGGCCCTCCTCCGCCATCGCCAGGAGCAAGTTCTCGGTCTCTTGTTTGCGAATGGGCTGGACCCGCTTGGCCGTGAGGAGCCGGAGCTTGCGTATGCATATTCAATGAAAATGAGGATCTCTCCACCCCTATTGCTCGTTAATGAATTCATGAGACAAGCTATCCACCTTGCTGAGCGCTCAATCGAAGCTTTCCGACAAGGTAGGCGATCCAGGCTTGCTCAAGGCGACGATTCTCTCCAAAGTATACATCTTCCGGATTCATTCCCGTAGCCGAAGTATCTCCCCGAAACGACTGGGGGCCCGGAAGAAATCGCGACGTCTTGGAACTTGAAGAGCTCTCTCGCGGCGTCCGGGCAGGAGACGATGAGCGCATCAACTTGCCCGAGCTTGAGGTACACGAGTCCTCCATCCCTTTAGGAGAGATCGAGGAGGGAGATGTGAGGGAGCTTGCCGAGGAGAGCCAAGATTGGAACGTAAATTCTCGGTGTTCTTGGAGAGAACCAGCTTGTGGAGGATGAATGAGAGTAGCCGAGTAGTAAGCTCCATTGCTGCTAGCCATACTAAGCTTCCAAAGGAGTTAAAACAAATACAACACTCCCTTTTTCTTTTTTCGAAATAACTTTTCCTGAAAAAAAGGAACTTCACATAGATTGATGAAGGAAAATGTATGTACCTGATCCTCGAGATCGACAGACAAAGAGTCGAAAGTTACTGCTTTGTGTGACTACGAACAAGCGAGGCTCTCTCGTGTCTCAACGCCAGTGATCGAGTTCGTCCCTGTTGCTCGCTTGCAAAGCTTGAGACGCTGGTAGTTGTCCAGGATTGCTTCTGTGAAATCGGCTCCAGTGATATCTGCGCCTGGAAGAAGATCATGAGTAGGACATAAGAACCAGGAATGCTAGAAAAGCTACCATCAAACTGTGAACCAGTCAGTATCGCATTCGTGAAGATTGCTGCATTGGAGGAAAAAGCTTAGCGAGAAGAATTCAAGAGACACAAAAACTTAGGAAGAGTCAAAGCAATCCATGAGACGTACCGTTTTGTAGATTCGTCATTCGGAACACGACCCGATCAGCCAAGGCTTGCACCCTGTTTGCAAAACGTGTATAAGATTTTCCATGAAGAGACAAATACCAGCTTGTGTCTTGAAGATCACCACCTTCGAATCCCGCAAAAGTATCAGTGCTGCTGTCGAGGTTTGATCCTCTCAGATTGATCTTTCTGCAGTCACAAGCTGGAAAAATTCTCACTCTTTAAGATACTTTCAAGTGAAAGAAGAAGAAAAGAGATTCCCACTGAAAGAGCAAAGAGGAAAGGAAAGAAACTCTTACCTGCGAAGACAGCGCCTCTAAGGTCTTGTCCTGAAAGATCCGCGCCGCGCATGCTAGCATGATCGTAACTCTTCACACAAAGATACAAAAATTTAATCTAGCGTTCTCTAGAAAGGATCTTTCTTACCAGGAACTCGGCCAGAGCACAATAGGGCGTCGCGATCGTGGCGCTAGCGATCGAAATGGCTGCCAGCGGCCCAGCCAGGGACAATCTCTTTGCATTGTAGCTCCTCTCCTTGGAAATCTGGAAGAATCACGGAAATTCTAGCTCTAGATTGATCAATCGAAGCGTCTACCTCTCTGGAAGAGCTAGCGTTCCTCGAGGCGCTGGAGATGACCACCACATTGGCCATGGAAGCCGCGATAGCTGGACATTCTAGCTCAAAATCTCGCCAGGAGATGAGCGGTTGCGATCTTCGCGCGGTGGCCGCTGCCCTAGAATCCAATCCGTCCGTCGATATGGCAATGGTGGCCCGTTGCTGCGCCATGCGCCTAGCGTCTTCGCGCGGCCTCTCTTCTTGTTCTTCTCCGCGATCGCCGATCCACTCGCAGCCGTCTCGATCGGCGCTGGCGCTCTGTAATCGGCATTCTGGAGGTGGGCTGGAGCAGCGTCGATGCGATTCGTCTCGAAATTTCGCCATCGGGAGCTTTTCTCGATCGGCAGCTCGTCGGCCGTGTATGGCTCTCGGCCCCAAGCATCCAGCGCTGGAAATGGGAGGGATTTTCAAGGGCGTGTCGACGACGCAGACGATCCAGCAGCACAGCTCGGTGGCGGGAGCGCTTCCGGACGAGAATGAGGAGCAAGGGCTCATCTCCGGTGGTTCTTTGAGGAGCGACGATGGCGCTGGTGGTGCTGGACGTGGTGGAAGTGGCGGTGGTGGCGGGGGACAGGGTGATCATCATTCACAGAGTGGAGGAGGAGGAGGTGGAAATCCAGTTCTTGCGTGGTAAGTTCTTTGTTTTTTTTTTTTTTTCTCGATTTCCTTCCTGGCTACTGCCAGGTACATGAAATTGCTCGAGGAGAGGCCTGTAACAACGAAGGCAGTGACAGCGGCTATACTGACTTTCATGGGCGATCTATTCACCCAGGTAGATCTTCTCGCTTTCTTTGCTCTTTATGCTCTTCTTCTTCCTGGTCTGACAGGAGGCTTGTGAAACTTTCAGCTGGTTATAGAAAAATCTGGTGGCATTGACATCAAGCGGATTGTCGTGATCACAAGTTTGGGATTGATGCTCGTAGGTCCTACTCTTCACTTTTGGTAAATCACTGCCTTTTGTTTGCTTGTTTGTTTTCTCATTGCTCGATCGTTTGATAAACTTACAGGTACTTGACTTTGAGCAAGGTAGTGAAAATCGGTGGAGTGAAGGGAACTGGCATTCGACTTTTCCTTGACCAGGTTAGTTTCGTGATCCTCCAACTTCTCGTCCAACCTTCAGTGTTATTTTTTGTAGCTTTTCTTCTCCCCGCTCTTTATCGGAGTATTTTTCATTTGCTTGCTTACATTGGAAGGGCGGCCTTCAGATATCGGTCCGAAACTAAGCCGGGTTTGTATTACTATTGTGTTCTCGCTTGTCTCCTAATGCCTGTGAACTTCCAGGATTGGCCATCAGCAGTCATTACCAATTGGAAGTTGTGGGTGCCGTTCCAGTTTATCAACTTCATGTTCGTTCCTCAGAAGCTCCAGGTTGATTTTTTCTTGTGTTCTGACGAACGTGGATTTTGACAATTCTCTTGGATGCGTAGGTCGGTTTTAGCAATATCATTGCTCTAGTCTGGAACGCCTACCTATCTTTCGCGACGCACACCGAGGTCGACTCAAAGAGTCACTGAAGAGCTAAGTTTTTGTTGCGACGAGTTGGAGGTGGTGTGTTGGCCGTTTTTGCAAAGGAGGCCTAACAAGCCACTAACTCACGTGAATTTTTCTTCAAGTTTTGAGTTGAATATACACATACGGTTTGGTCTTTGCAAAGCTTCATCACAGGCAAAGGAGCTTATTCTTCGAGGCACGCCACGAGTTCCATATCTTTTTCAGCCAAGTTAATGTAAGCCGCTTCACATTCTCCCCGTCAAAACTCCCGTATTAAAGCTCGCTCTTTCTTGCCTCGCAGGAGTGTGGTCGATCATGGCAGCCTCGTTGAGTGGCAAAACCTCGTTCTTGCATCTTTGTTCATACTGTTTCTTCGTTTTCCTCTCAATGCAGGTTGAAGCTATCGTCCCAGGCCTTTCGTCCAACCGGTACGAAGTTTTGATCCTTCTCTCAATTATCTTTTTGTTTTCCACAGGACGCGGAGTTTACTGCAAACTTTGAGCACAGGCAACGCTATAGACGATTGCCGAAAAAGTGCCGTCGACTGGAACAGCGATCGAATGCACATGGCCGGCTGTGGAATCGGGTTTGGCAGCGGTGCCTTCGGCGGAGCTAACGGGAACTACTACACGGTGACAGACCCGAGCGACGATCCACTGAATCCACAGCCGGGAACGCTCCGCTACGCAGTGATCCAGGAAGAGCCGGTGTGGATTGTCTTCCAGAGCGACATGACCATCACTCTCCGGAACGAGCTCGTAGTCAACAGCCACAAAACTTTAGATGGACGAGGAGCAAGCGTTCACATCGCCCACGGCGCATGCATCACGATCTTCCGGGCTAGCCGCGTGATCATCCACGGCCTAAACATCCATCACTGCGTCACGACCGAGGGAGGATGGGTGGCGACCAAGCCGGGCCACTTAAGTCACCGGGGCCGAGCCGACGGCGATGGGATCCGGGTCTTTGAGTCGCACCACGTCTGGATCGACCACAACAGCTTCTGGGAGTGTCACGACGGCCTCGTCGACGTTCTTCACGGCTCAAACTTCATCACCATCTCCAACAATCACTTCCACGACCACGACAAGGTTACGTGTTCTTTTAAGTTGTAGCGTTTTTCTTTCTCTTCTTGACTGGAAACCATGTAGGTGATGCTTCTGGGCCATGCTGACGAGTCGGAGCTCGACCATGATATGAAGATCACGGTGGTTTACAACAGGTTTGGACCCAGATGCGTGCAGCGAATGCCCAGGTGCTTTATTTTCCCAGTTCTTCAATAGAACTCTTGAAAACTTTATTCTATAGATGCCGGTTTGGATACTTCCATGTAGCAGACAATGACTACCACGCCTGGGAGATGTATGCGATCGGTGGTAGCGCTCATCCCACGATTATCAGTCAAGGAAACCGCTTCCTTGCCTCGGACAACCGAGACGCAAAGGAAGTAAGTCCAATATCTCGCTGAGAATTTCTTTGGCACTGACAAAACAGAGAGCACAGATCACCAAGCGCGTCGGCCACGCCGGGGATTGGATCTCCATCGACGACGTGTTCCTGAATGGAGCGTTCTTCGTGGAGTCGGGGAGGGGAGACTTGATCTCCAGATACACCCCCGAGCAACAATTCGAAGTGAAATCTGGAAGCCAAGTTACGGCGATGACCGCCGAGGTAGGAGTTCTAAAGTGCCAATCCAGTCTCGCAACTTGCTAAAGTTCTTCCTAGTGGAAAGCCAAGGTAGAAACGATATAGAAGTCGAGTGATTGAAATAACCAAAACTTTCTTTCAAAGGCACATCATACTTTCCTCTACTCATCGTCTTCGGCCGCGTTGAGTGCTTTGATCCGGTTGATGAGATTGGCCTTGCGCTGCTCGTAAGAGAGCTTCGTGGGTTTAACCCTGGAAAGACAAAACCAAAGGAACCATGTCAGTGAAAGCGAGATATAATCCAAAGGAAGTATACTCACTTCTTGTGAGGACCGTGATCCTTCTTTGGTGGAGGCTCCCGGGGGCTTGGGTCCGCGCGAATCGCAGCATGGACCTTGGTGTAGAGCTCTTCCAAGCTCTCCGGCTCGACGCCTTCCTTGATGAATTGGCTGAAGTGAGATTGGTACTTCTCGGGATCCTCATCTTTTAGTTTCTGGAAGAAGAGATAAACGTGAGCTCTCCACAAGAAGAATGAGAATGAGAATGAGAGGCCTCGAATACCAGCATGTAAGCAGCAACGTGCCCGCCATAGATATACTTCCGGTGCACTTCGGCATTCAGGGACTTGTCCTCCTTGCTGTAGCCGGCAAAACGTTTCTCGCTGTGCGGGATATCTAGTCCACCGTCCAATGCACCCTGTGAAGTAAGAAAAAAAGAAACTTTGTAACAGAGGAACTCGGAAAACTCGACAAACCTTCAAGGCACCAAAGACTCGGTTGCCCGTTGTAGTCCGGACGAGGCCAACATCAAGAAGGGCCCTGAATGGACGCCTGTTCTCGTCCAGAGTTTCAACGTTGTAGTCCTCACCATTCACCTGTGTCCCGAGCGTAAGAACAAATAGAGAGAAAGAAGTAAAAGTTACATCAGTGTTTCCCTCGTAGATGTCAGCCATGCCCATTTTCGTGAGCAGCCTCCTTGCCAGCAGCAACCCCGTGCAGTAAGCTACAAACGAAGTCATAGAAAACGTGAGAAAAAAAAATGGTTTGGCAAGGCAAAGATAGAGAATTACCAGCCGCGTAGTTTGTGAGGCCAACCTTGAGACCATAGCGCGGCAATTCGTGCGCGTAGGCAGCAGCCATGATCACATCTCCAGCAATAGTAGCATATGCGATCTGGGCGACAATGTCCTTGTTGGACTAACACAAAATCAAAACAAAAAACGTAAGCTTTTCCAGTTTTCCAAATGATAAAGGAGACAGAACTTACAAAGCGAACGACGAATCGGTACTTCGGTGTGTTGTATTTGTTCTTGTCCTGATTCGTCAAGCGCACCCGAGCCCGATAATCGGTCTTGCCCTCTAGAGATGAAGCGAAGAGAAATGTGAAATTTCAAGCTCCAAGAATCCAAATCGTTACCTCTTCGGCGGCGGTACTTGACCTGGTACCTCTTGTAGTAGGATTTGGATTTCTGCGCCCTGGCGACTGCCTGCGATGGACGAAAATTTGAGATCTAGCGGCATTGATCCACAGGCGCTTACCATGGCTGCGCTGCCAGAAACCCGCTAGAACCCTAAGCGCTAGAACCCTAAACACTAGGGCGGCCGCAAGATATCCAACGGCTGAGATCTTTCAGGGTTCACGGGGTAATTTTCCCGCCAAATAGGTAAATCGAAGTTAAAATCAGGGCTATGGAAGATTGCGCCATCGCCCTAGCGCCGGAGGAGCTTTGGATCCGAGAGGTATGATGCTACTGCTGGCGCTTCCCAAAACCCTAGCGCTGGTGTTGATCGGAGGAAATGCCGCCCGGGCAGTGAGTGCCAGGGTTTGATCCAAGCTCAATGGAGTTCAGCGACACCTACAAATACAGCGGCCCCTGTGCGTTCTCTCCGAATGCTCGATTTCTCGCCGTCGCTGTGGAGGCCAGGCTTGTAATTCGCGACGCTGTGAGCCTCAAGGTACTGTGATCTCTTTCTTTGCTGGTTTTGTTCTTCTTTCCAATGTAAGTTCTTTGAGTTTTTCTTTGGAACTATTTTTGTTTCACAGGTCGTGCAGCTCTACTCTTGCCTCGATAAGATCAGCCATGTAGAATGGGCACCCGACTCGGAGTATGTTCTTTGTGCGCTGTTCAAGCGCGCGATGGTGCAAGCTTGGTCGGTGTCACAGCCCGAATGGACGTGTAAGATCGACGAGGGTCCTGCCGGGATCGCTCACGCGAGATGGAGTCCGGACAGTCGACACATTCTCACCACCTCCGACTTCCAGCTTCGTCTCACGGTTTGGTCTCTCGTGAGCACCGCGTGTGTTCACGTCCAGTGGCCCAAGCATGCTGCTCGAGGCGTGTCCTTCACTCAGGACGGGAAGTTTGTAGCGATTGCTACGCGCCGGGACTGTAAGGACTATGTTCACTTGCTGGCGAGTAACTCTTGGGAAGGAATGGGGACTTTTGCCGTGGATACTGTGGACCTTGCTGATCTTGAGTGGTCGCCAAACGATAACACGATCGCCGTTTGGGACTCATCGCTCGAGTATAAGGTAAGTCGCTCTTCTTTCTTTCTTTTTTCTCTTGTCAACCATTGTGTTGTTTTTTCCAGGTCCTTGTGTATTCCCCAGATGGCCGTTGTTTGTTTAAGTACCAAGCTTACGAGAATGCTCTGGGTGTAAGAACAGTCGCATGGTCGCCGTGCGGCGAGTTTTTGGGTGTAGGTAGCTATGACCAGATCGCTCGCGTTTTGAACCATTTGACATGGAAGCCCGTTGCTGAGTTCACGCATACGAGCTCCGTGAAAGGACCAGCAACTGCTGTGGTATTTAAGGTACGCGTTTACGTTTGTGGTTTTGCTTCTTACTCACGCGAGTTTCTCTGAGCAGGAAATAGAGGAGCCTTTTGACATGTCAAGCCTGTATCTGACTGATGACAGAGAGAACGAAATTTTCCAGAATGGTACGAGTATATCATATCGTTGTGTTGAGATGGACGACGCTTTAAAGTTGCTGTTTCCACTCAGAAAATTCTGGCGACTCTCATGTACGAGTGCGATACAAAGTTGCTGATATTCCAGTCAGCATTGCTGCTCAGAAGCCGCCCGCCGACAAGCCAAATCCAAAGCAAGGCATCGGTACGCGTTTTTTTTTTTTTTTTTTTTTTGTTGTGATTCATGGTTTCTAAAAACATAATGTGATCGCAGGTCTGTTGGCTTGGAGTGCTGACAGTCGATATTTGCTTAGCCGCAACGAAAACATGCCAACAGCACTATGGATATGGGACATCTCCCGGTTGGAGCTCGCAGCGCTTTTGATCCAGAGAGAACCAATCCGTGCTGCTGCTTGGGACCCAGTGTCTCCGCGCCTGGCCCTGTGCACTGGAAGCTCGCAGCTCTACATGTGGACTCCCGCAGGAGCTTGCTGCGTTAACGTTCCACTTTCAGAGTTCCTGGTGACCGATCTCAAATGGAACCCGGATGGCTCGTCACTGGTGCTGCTCAAAGACCGAGAAGCTTTCAGCTGCACGTTCGTACCGATGCTTTCCGAGTTTGAAGGTGAAGAACAGGTCAGCTAAACTTATTTCTAGCTAGTTTAGATGTTATTGATATGTTAACAACATCATTGTAAGCTTTGAGTTTCACGGATCTCGTTCCAGGTAACTCTTTTCTTTGTTTCCTTTCTTGTTCTTGATCTAATGTCGAGCTTCTGCAGCTTTAAGTTCCATAGCTTTTTTCTTGGTATCAACTTTCCGGCCTCGTCCGAGGTCAGCTAAAGTTTTTCATTCGGCTTGAATTACTTGGTATCAAGAGAACAAGTCAGCTCTGTTTATTTCTAGCTACTTTAGTTGTCATTGATATGGTAACGTGATTGTCAGCTTTGAGATTCACACATATCGTTCCAGGTAGCTCTTTTCATTTTTTTCTTTTCTTGTTCTTGTTCTTGTTCTTTTCGTGGAGCTTTTGCAGCTTCGAGTTTCATAGCTTTTTTCTTCAGCTAGAGTTTTCCATTCTCTTTTCTTAGCTGGAGTTTCGTATCAAGTTTTCTATCAGGTCAGCTATGGTTTTCCTGACATGGTATCAAGTTTCCTATCAGGTCAGCTATGGTTTTCCTGGCTCGAGGTTCTAACGCGATCTAAAAGTTCTCATGTCGAAGAGATAGCCAGCGTTGTCCAATGCAAGCACCACCATGCTCGAATGGCTTGCCTCGACTATTCAATCACCAGCAGCAAATCCTGGACGAGCTCTCCTCCATGGATGTTCTCTCGGCGCTGGACTGGATGGACCACTCGCGCCTCCCAATCACAGTCCCACTCTACGAGTCCCTCATCCGGCGCTGCGCGAATCCACACTCCCTGGAGGCCGGGCGATCCATCCACGCCCACATCCTCCGCCACGGCTATGGCGGCGAGCGATTCCTCCTCAACACCCTCGTCGAGATGTACTGCAAATGCGACAGCCTGCGCGACGCCACCGCCGTATTCGAGCTCGTCGCCTGCGAGAGGATCGCGTTTCCCTGGAACATCCTCATCGCGGCAAATGCCCAGAGGGGGCAAAGCCGCGAATCCATCGCGCTCTACCGCCGGATGAGCTGCGAGGGAGTGAAGCCCAACGCGATCACGCTGGTGAGCGTGCTGGGCGCCTGCGCGAACCTGGAAGACCTAAAAACCGGCCGCGAGATCCACCGCTCCCACGTCCTGGGAGCACGGAGCCGTCCGTACGAGCGGCCCATGCCGGTGGACGCGGTCATGGCCACCGCGCTGGTGACCATGTACGGGCGGTGCGGCAGCGTCGCGGACGCGCGGGCGGTGTTTGAGGGCATCTGCGGGAGGGATCTCGCGGCATGGAACGCCATGGTGGCGGCATATTCCCGGAATGGGCAAATGGCCCAGGCGGTGCTGGTTCTGCGGCGAATGGCCGTAGAGGGCGTACGGCCGGGCGAGGGCACTTTCGTCGGGATGCTGAGCTGGTGCTGTACGGTGGGCGCCCTGGACGAGGCCAGGTCCATCCACGCGCACATTCTGGCCACTGGGCTCGAGTCTCGACCCACGGTTGGGACCACGCTCGTGAGCATGTACGGCCGTTGCGGCAGCCTAGGCGGTGCCGTACGTGCTTTCCAGCGGATTCGAGACAAGGACATTGTGGCCTGGAATGCGATGATCGCGGCGTATGCCCAGAGCGGGCATAGCAGGGACACGATCCGGATATACCACGTCATGGATCTGGAGGGCGTTAGGGTTGACAAGGTGACGCTCATCGGCGTCCTGGATGCCTGCGCCAGCCTCGCGCTCACCTCGAAAACGCGGTTGGTCCATGCTCGGATTGTGGACACTGGCGTGGAGCTGGACGTGGTGCTTGGAACTGCGCTTGTGAATGCCTATGCCCGTGGAGGGCATCTCGTGGATGCTGATCTCGTGTTTGCGGAGATGGAGGAGAGGAACGTCGCGACGTGGTCGGCGATGGTAGCAGCATATGCCCAAACCGGGCATCCCGACCGGTCGCTGGAAATGTACCGGGAGATGCAGCTCCAAGGGCTCCGCCCAAACTATATCACCTACGTGAGCATCCTCTTTGCTTGCAACCACGCCGGGCTCCTCGACCATGGTCTCGGCTATTTCGCGTCCATGGGGAGAGACTACGGGATCGAGTCCTGCGAGGAGCACTGCAGCTGCATTGTGGATTTGCTGGGCCGGGCCGGACGGCTGGACGAGGCCGAGGCGCTCATGGCCAGCGTTCCGTACAGGCTGGGAATATCCGCGTGGATGTGCCTGCTCGGGGCGTGCCGGACGCACGGTGACGTGGAGAGGGGGTCCCGCGTGGCGAGGCGGGCGTTCCAGGTGGAATCCGGGGAGGTGGCTCCGTACGTGGCCCTGTCCAATATGTATGCCGGCCACGGCATGTGGGACGAGGTCTCCAGGGTACGGCAGCTCATGGCCAACACTCTGGACAAGTCCACGGGCAAGAGTTTCGTGGAGATTGATGGGCGGCTCCACGAGTTTATCCAAGGCGATGAGACACACCCTGAGAAAGATTCCATCCAAGCCAATATCCTGGAGCTCGAGCTAGATTCTCCCACGGTTCCTTTGTTCCACCGCCACCACAGTGAGAAAGTGGCGGTGGCGTTTGCGATGCTCAAGACGAGCGGCGAGATCCCCCTGCGCGTGGTGAGCAGCCTGGGAATATGCCACGAGTGCCACGCCTTCATGAAGGGCATCTCCAAGAGATGCCGCAGGGAGATCGTGGTGAGGGACGCCGAGATGCTCCATCGGTTCGACGGTGGATCATGCTCGTGCGGACGTTAGCGAAAGTGACACGCGGCCGCCTCGCGACGTGGCGAAAATGTAGGAATGCTAGCGGCGCCCACCAATCACGTTGCGGTATTTTGAAACACTCTCATTAGCTTTGTCAGGTCGGCATGCTATGTAATGTCATGATTGCTGTATAGGAAGGATTAGTATATACATGTCCATGCATGCATGCCCGTACGTTTATACCTTTTAAAAATATAGCAAACTACCTTTTAGTGGAATACACCTGGCATTTTTATTGTAAATCCTCGGTTATATTTATCTTCACTTAAGGGCCGGCCACTACCCTCGTTCCAATCCAACGGCGCGCGATAGAGCTCTTTACCAGAATATTCTTTCCACGACGGAATATACCGTGGAATGGTTAAAAACGTGTGCGTTTATATGTCGTCGTGCATGCATGCACGCACGCACTCACTCGACCCCATTTCTTCGGCGTGATCCAGTCGCCCCGCGAGTGATTTGGCGCTCGCGATCGAGGCGCCAGGGTTTCGATTAGATAGGCATTGCGGTTTTCCAGGGCCAGGGCGGCGCCATTGCGCTGCGTGGTAGATCACACAACCCTGGGACTCGTTTGGTGCTAGGGCTCGAGTGATCCATCGCAGGGACGAGGTGCTGGCTATGGCGTCGAGCGGCGGCGGCGGCGGCATCGCGCAGCTTGCAAAGGTACGCCGCCGTGAAATCTTTTGCGCGCCGCGCGTCTCGATCTTCGATATTACGGCCTGGCGATCCATGGCTTGCGTGCGTCGCACGCCTTGCGTGGGAAATTTTGCTCGCGTCCTGTGCATATGGCAGCTTTTCTTCCCCGCTCGAGCTTCTCCTTCTTCTTCTCCCCTTTTTTGACTTCTTTCCTTCTTGCGCTTCGTTTGTGTGAGTGTCTTGTGTGCGTGTGGAGTGATGATCTTTGGAAGCGTGCATTGTGACTAATTCCTTGTGAAAATACTCTTGCAGTGAGGATCGCGACACTCTGTTTGGGTTTACGTGGACTTGGTCGTGACTATGGACGAGAAACTAGTATAGTACAGTACTAGGAATGGGGCTCTCATGAAGAACAGAACACACAGGGACAGGGAGAATAGGAGATAGAACGAAGATGGGGGCCTCTTAGTTTTGCACAGAGGAGGGGCTGGGCAGTTTTCTCTGCGGTGGACGGTGCTGCAATGGAGCCCACACGGCACAAAGCGTGCATGAATGTCAGATGTGAGGCGATCGAGAGCGCAGCATGGAAGCGAGGATGGCGGCTCCGCTCCGGCGACCGAGCTGATTTATGCACAGACTGTGGGTATGTGATTCTATCCTTCACGTAGTGGCTGCCTTCTTTAGCTTTTAGATTAGTGTTGTGGTGTTTTGCATCTTGGGTTGCTGTGAGCTCGGCTGATCCTGCAAGTCTCACCCACATCACGTTTCTTTTTTTCTTCAGTCGCGAGAGACCTTGACTGTTTTTTCTCTTTCTGGTTTGCGGTGTTACCAGTTCGGCGTTTGAGCTGTCACGCTTTTGCGAAAAGTTTCATGCGTATGATCCCGGGTGGAGAAGTTGCATTGCGTGCGGAAAGGTAATATAGCTCTAATGTTTAGAAGGATCGGCCTGGATTCGCCGCTTCCAAGTAGTCGCAGAGGGTTTTACTAGAGAGCATGGGATGCATCGTCTTTTGGAAGTTCACGTCTGACCAGTGTTTTTGTGTGAACTTGCAGGGTCTCCATTGTGGATGTATAGCTTCCATTCATCTTTTTGTGCTTTTGGATACGGGAGGAGTTTCCTGCCGAGGTTGTGTCGATCTTAGAGAGTCTCGCAACGTGGTGCGTAGCTTCTTTTTTCTTTTTTCTGATTTTCCATTGTTCTCATTTCCTTTTTTTTCAGCAAGGCATTTTGGGGGGATTCTCCTACGATAGTGACTTAGGAAAGGAACAGGAAGAAAACCTTATTCTCAAGCCAAAGTCTGAAGTAGATTTTGAGCAGAAAATGGCGGCGACTGGTAGCGAAGACGAAAAGGTTAGAGGTGTCGCAGAGGAATTGTCGGCAAAACGGGAAGTTACTTACATGGAAGAGATGGAAAAGCTAGCGGTTACAAGGGAATCACCTGGAACTCAAACCGAGGTGGCGAGCCTGAATACCTCTTTAGGCTTGGGGATGGGGATAAAAGTTGATGACACAGCAGCTGGTAATCTTTTCCAAACGGAAAGTCCAGCTTCAGGTGGCGAAGCCAAGGAAAATCCTTCGAAGTATTCACCGATTCCATATCGACCACGACATCGGCAGGTTGGGAAGCAACCAGTTCCACCGCGTGTTCCGCTCTCAGGGGCTGCACCTGAACCAACTAACGACCCGAGAGTTGCACGTCCTCCTGCTGATAGTAAAGGGAGGAACCAGCTTTTGCCTCGCTACTGGCCTCGGATTACAGACCAGGAAATTCAACAGTTCACTTCTGGAGAGTAAGTTGTTCGCTCTCCTTTTTTCTTCTTGTTTTTCTTATGACTCATTTGTTTCCAGCTCTAAAATTACACCCCTGTTCGAGAAAGTACTCAGTGCCAGTGACGCTGGACGTATTGGACGATTGGTTCTTCCAAAAGCATGTGCGGAGGTCTGCATGTTCTTTTGTCCTTTTCATTGGCATTGTGCGACTGTGTTTTGATGCAGGCGTATTTTCCCACGATTTCACAAGCTGAAGGCCTTCCGCTAAGAATTAATGACATCAGTGGGAGGGAGTGGCAATTCCAGTTCCGTTTCTGGCCAAATAACAACAGTCGCATGTATGTACTAGAAGGTGTTACACCATGTATACAGGCTATGCATCTCCAAGCCGGTGACACAGGTATGATACCATGACAAGTTTCTGTTTCATGTCTTCAACAATGCCTTTTCTGGTTCCAGTCACTTTCAGCCGTCTAGAACCAGAAGGAAAACTTATAATGGGATATAGGAAGGCACAGGTAAGCTATTTACTACAACAGTAACATGAATGAATCTGGCATAAGCCTCTTCAGGATTCTGGGGACAGTGAGTACCCCGGTGCTAAACAGACAGATTACAAATCAAAAGCTAAGGAAACTCAATCAACTCTTTCAGCGGATAAAAGAAGGGGTCGGCCTCTAGGAGCAAAGAGCAAGAGACTTCGTCTAGATAGTGAAGACTCATTGGAGTTGAAGACAAGCTGGGAAGAAGCTCAGGAGTTGTTAAGACCGCCTCCCGGGGTCACGCCCAGCTTCGTCACTATCGACGGCCATCAATTTGAAGAGTACGAGGTACTTCGGTTTGTAGTCATTCTGCATATATTTAAGCTGTATGGACAACCTGCAGGAGCCTCCTGTTCTTACGAAGAAAACGGTGACGAGGACCAAACCTTCGGGGTAAGAAGCTCTCAATTTCGTTCTTCCACTAGCCTCTCGTGCGCTGCAGGGAGCAAGACCGCTGGGTGCAATGCGATGATTGTGCAAAGTTTAGGCGGGTTCCTCTTGACATATTTATACACACAAGATGGACTTGTACCGACAACGTCTGGGACTTGAAAAGGTAGAGAGATTTCTATACAGCATGCAGAGTGAGTGCTCACGTCTGTCCTTTGTCACCAGAGCAAACTGTAGTGCCGCGAAGGAGCTCAGCAACGAAGACATGGACCAGCTCATGGACAGTATGTCAGGTAAAGCCCAGCAACGAATGTGATTAGAAACTGATAAGCATGTGGTGTGTGGTGTATATATAACAGGTAAACCCGGGAAAGCGGCCAGCTCGCCATCGGGATTGGATGCCTTGGCAACCGCTGCGGCATTTGGCGACGAGAAGGCAGCATCTCCTCCGCCACCAGCTGCGACAACAAAGCATCCCCGCCACCGTCCGGGTTGTACATGCATCGTCTGCATCCAGCCTCCCAGCGGCAAGGGTCCCAAGCACAAGCCGACGTGCGTGTGCAACGTCTGCCTGACCGTGAAGCGGAGGTTCAAGACGCTGATGATGAGGCGGAAGAAGCGGCAGTCGGAGCGCGAGGCGGAGACGGCGCGGAAGAAGAAGGCGTGGGACAAGGACGACGGGGTGGCCGCGGCGGCGTCCCCGGCAGAAGCCAAGTGGCTCAAAGGCAACAACAACAACAACAACGTCACCACCACGCCGGAGAGGGGCCAGCAGCGCTACAACACGAGAGAGGCATCGGCACCGCCAAAGGCGAGCCCGGCATTGCCAGCGGAGAGCCCGAGCCCGAGTCCGAGCCCGATCAACCCGATCAACCCGTTTGTGACGGAGCGAGGTAAGACGTTTCCATTCCCAGAGCTGCTGGGAGCGTTTGCGTCACCGCCAGTTCCAGGGGGAGGAGTAGGAGGAGGAGGTGGTGGTGCTACTGCTGTGGCGGATGAGAACTTGGCGGGGAAAGGAGGGATTGATCTCAACAGCCAGCCGGAGCGGGACGAGGCGGCACAGCAGAGCAGGCTGAGCATGATGAGGCTGCTGCAGGACGCGAGCTTGCCGCTGGATATGTATCTCAAGCAGCAAGGGATGGCCAACCTTGCTCCAGGATTTGGTGGTGGTGGAAATGGTGGTGGGAGTGGTGGTGGTGGTGGTGGTGAGCAGGTGAGTGATGCAAAGCAGCAAATTCAGCAAGCAGCAGCAGAACCCTCCTCTGTGCAAGATGGTTAAAAGAAAACAGCAGAGCAGGTTGGAGAGATTATTTATCTGTGTTCAACATGGTTGGGTGGTTGTTTTTTTTTATCTTATTTTTTTGATACTGTAACAGGAAGCAATAGAGGAAGAGAAAGACATGTTTCTTTGTTTAATAATTGGTGATCAAAGTTGATAATTGTGGCTTCTAGAATTTGTGTTTCTTTTCTGATAATTGATGGGTTCTAGAATTTGTGTTTCTTTACTTTAATATTTGGTATATTAGTTATCTGATACAAGCTGATAACTCTTTACTGAGGCATGGTTCTAGAATTGGTCTGTTGGAAAGAGGAATGAACCTTCTTACTAGTCCGAAGCTGCAGATTTGTCTAAGATTTTATCTGCAAGGACATACGAATAGTCCTACTTACAATTGGGATTTGTTCTTGGTTGTCCTAGCAGAGCAGAACGTAGAAGCATGGGTCAGCCGGTGCGAGGGTCCGTTGCCGTCAAGATCCTGGAAGATATTGCGAATTCCTGCGGCGGAAGCAAGCGCAGCATGGAGGATGAGATCCTGGATCATGTAGAGAAGAGCTTTTAGCTTCCCAGTGGAGGAAGCAATAAAAGATCCAACAACAATGTGAACAAAGCAAAAGTTTCATTTCCCCTCCCTCTAGCTTAATTCCCTCTTCGTTTCATCGAGCCTACAAAGGAAAAGGAGAAACTCTTTGTCGATCCAGGCTCTTTAACTTTCATGGAGAGCTTTTTAGCTGGAGAGGATTGGAACTCATTGGATCATCTTCAAGCTGAGAAGAAGTATTGATATTGATGCTCTGGATTTAGCTTTCATGTAGAGCTTTCTAGCTTCATGGAGAGGATTGGAACTTATCCCTTTCAAGTTGGAGAGAATTGCTGGAAGAAGCATCGATCAATCGATCAATCGATCCATGGTTGACTCGATCCTGAGAGCACGCCGGGAATCTCTAAGCACGGACTCACGACCACGAAGAAAACGACGCAAACGACTAGGTGTAGACCTGGACTTTCAGTGCCATACTGGAAGACTTGGAACAAGAAAACGTGAAACAATACCAACTCATGGCAGTGTACCTGGATACAGTTCTCTGTGGCTCGCGTTAATGTGAAGTGTCACCTGGAAAACCATGACAATCATAAGAGCCACGAGAAACATTAAGAAACGTGAGACGAGTACCGCTTTAGGCGACGAGCAAATCGGGCAGCGAACTATGCCGTTCTCGTTGCAATGCGGGCATTTCTTCACACCGCCGCCTCCCACCAGGAAAAGCTTGCAGCTTCCACGGCACCAGCGGCACGGAACGAACCTCATCCCACCACACCCGTCGCAGGCAAGGAACGATCCATGCCGGGAGACCATCCCCTGGAGCAGCCTCGCCAGATTTCCCTGCTCGTGCATCGATCTCACTTCCTCGGCACCACCGATGAATCTCCCCCCGATGAACACCCGCGGCAGGCCCACCGGAGCACCCAGGAGTTGCCGCAGCTCCGTCCGGAAGCCCGAGTGCATTGACACGTCTCTCTCGTCGATGTTGATGCCCAGCGTCCTGAAGAGCATCTGCATGCTCCGGCAGTCCTCGTACGTCTTTCGAATTCCCCTCAGGCTGGTGCAGTAGAGAACAACGCTTGACTCGCCACCGGGCGGGCAGCACTGCTGGAAGGACTCCACAAAGTTCCTTCGCTCGTTTTCTTCTTGACCACCATCGCACTGTGGTGCCTCCTGAGACAACATCTGCATGGAGTGAGATCAGGACCAAATGAAGAAAGAGATCTCATTGTACCTATGTTGCCGAGTGAAAAACCTTTCACCATAGTTCTCTCTCATTCCAGCTCTGACAGCCGTTTTAATTGCTTGCTTCTTTTACGGCAACTTCCACCTCCATCTCTGAGCCGTCTGCTAGAGGATGTTAACTGCCTCATGCTTTCAGCATCATGTTGCGGTACAAATGACTTGGATAATCTCCCTGTCACGTAATGCAGCTTTTGTCAATGAAAGGATCAAGAACGATCGAGAGTTAAGTAGGAACCGGTGAGGAGCTGCAGTAGTTCCATCTCCCTTTCAGTCTCAGTCAGGGGAAATTGCATATCACTTTCTCATCCACCTATTCAGCAGTCACAAATTCAGATAATCAGTCGTCACTAAATTGAAAAAGCTGATAAGGAAAAAAAAATTACTACGTACCCAAAGTCGAGATGATCTGGTTGAGCGAACTAAAATTACTGAAGGAAAAATCTCAGAGACAAAAACACAGAGATGAATATGGAAAGTTAAGCAAGGAGAAAATGTACGTAGATTATTCTCGGCTGCGGTAGTAGTTGCAGTAGTAAAACGAACAGCTTGAGTTTCTTAGTATGTACACCGCAAGCACCGCTCACATCGCGGCAGCTCCAGCACTCTTTGCGTTCATCCTGATGACAGGCTCGTCAGTTTCGCGCTTCCTGATTTGCGGCACTGCGGCAGGTCTCTCGATCGGTTTGTCAAGGCTGAGAGTGCCAAAAGCCACGAGCGTCGTGACGACCCTGCTGTCGCTGTAAACCTGGATGCCCATGACTGGCATGCGAGGGAAAAGCATTGCCCTTCGGTAGCGGACCAGGCGTCGCGGAGCCAGTGTGTCACCGCGTGCAATGTCCCAGGGGCGGAAGGTCGAAGAGAAGAGCGCCGCAAAGACATTTGGATGCTTCTTCCTGAGGTGGCACTGAAAAAGAAATGCCTCATGTTAGTAACGGGCGACAAGACGTATCGAGTTGTTACTCACAGCTTGGAGCACATCTGGACAACGAGTGCTCTTGCAAATCAAAGGCACCCGCTCTTGTCCCAGTCGAGAAAGAGAAGCAGCATGCTGATAGGACTCTGCAAGCATTCTTGTGAGTACGAAGGCGCTGGAGAAACGTCTTTCGTGTTATACTACCTTCAGGGCTGTCAACAATCGCCGTAGCGAATTTGTTACTCTCGTGAAACATATGTCCAAGAGCAAGAGCCTGCACAGCATCGCAGTTAATCACTTGCAAAACAAACAGCAAAAAAACGACTCACATTCTTCTGCCAGTGTCCGGCTCCGAATTCACTGTGACAGTGCCGCTTTTGTTCCACATGCCTCGCAACAACATCGACTGGGTTAACGTTCAAGATTGAGAAAACCATATCGACAGTCATCTCCTTGTCAATGTTGAAGACCTTGCACTAAACAAGGGAAGTGTTTAAGAACTTGTGGTGGTACGCAAAAGAAAAATACTCACAAACTCATGGTCCACTTCCGCAGCTCCACAAACTCCTGCTCCGAGCTCGTGCTTCACCATTTCTCTCAACACCGGCAATTCCCCATCCACGGCGCCTAGAAAGCATAAAGCTTAGCAGCACACTCAAACCCACTTTACAGAGTACTTACTCAAACAAGAACCTGGCCGGTCGTAAAAAGAAAAGGCTTTGATCGCTTTATCCGCTGCAAGGTAGAGCCGCTCTCTCAGGTCATGTGTGTGGGATATCGTCGGTGGCTCCGGAATCACAGCTGCAAGCGGCTCAGTAGCTCCGGAATTACCAAATGGAGACCTCTGCCACAAACAAGAAATGTGTCACAAACTATGCTAGTTTCACGAAGATTTCGAGGAGCTTACGAAGGAAGAGCGCGCCGGAAGCACAAGATCGTTGATCTTGGAGTAGAAATCGCGCCTGGAGCGCTCCAAGAAGTCCACAAAACCCCAGAAGGCCCCGGAGACGCGGTCCGCCGCGCGGCGCAGCCACGATGCCGCCGAATCGACCAGCGACGAAGAATCATCCACAATGTATCCAAAAGAAACTCCATCGGCGAGCGTCGGGAGCTGGATCCGAAATCTTTGCCACCGCGACGACGAGCTCTCGGTGGACACACCTCGCCACTCGGCGATTCTCCGATCGGCCGTGCTGAGCAGCGCCGCGAGAAGGACCCATAGCACCAAGGCGCTCCAGAGGCGCATTTCTTCCTCACAACCAAAGCCTTACCTAATAAAAGCCCTAATTTCTTTAATCCGTATTAAAGAAGAAGGAATATAAAGTATATTTTCCGCAATAAAAATAAACTTAGAAAAGGAATCTAAAGAATATTCTTCTGTCTAAAACCCTAAGTGAAATTTAGGGCAAGGAGTTCCAGAGGCGGCGAGGAAGATGAGTAAGTCCGCGAGCGAGGATTTGCGGTTGTAGCAATAGCGTTTTCTTGTGATTCCAGGTAAGGTGCACGGATCTTTGGCCCGAGCGGGCAAGGTGCGCGGCCAGACGCCCAAGGTCCAGAAGCAGGACAAGAAGAAGAAGCCCAAGGGCCGGGCACACAAGAGGGAGCAATACAACAGGCGATTCGTCACCGCCGGTGAGCTAGCGATTGAAATTTCCTCTTGTTCTTGCTGTTTCGCTCACGAGTCGCGCTTTCAGTGGTCGGATTTGGCAAGAAGCGCGGCCCCAATTCGTCTGAGAAGTAGAGGCGATGTTCTTAGTTCTTTTTGAAGCAAACGAGGGATTTTAAATCATCTTGGCCGTACACGTGGCATCATACCAGCCGATAGACCTAAGTTTGAAAAATAAGGAGACCTAATTCTTCGCCGTACACGTATCATCCCAGCAGTTTGAAAAAAGAAGAACCCTAATTCTTACATTGTGGCAAATGGGAGATTTGTAGCGAGACCATCCTGTGAAGCACCGATAGCAATGCCCGCTCGATCTCTCCCCCATTTTCGCCCTCCAACACGCCCAGCGCCCTCGCCACTGCCTCCATGCTGCTCATACACCCATGGTAGGGCTCCTTCTTGAGGATTAGGTCCGAATTCCCTCCCATTCCCAGCCCCTCCCTGCGCTTGTCAAACGGCAGGCACACCGGAATCGCGAATCCACGCAGGAATTCCATGCTAGCGCTCACCATCTCCTTGGCGTGCTGCCAGGTCGCGTCCACGATCAGCAAGACGATCCTCTCGGCGCTGGCTGCTCCATCGCCAATTCTCGCCCAGGAAGAGATCTCCGTGGCGTCTGGTGTTGGGAATAGCAGCAAGACCGGTTGCAATGCCGGCGATCCGGGCGATCCCAGGAGCCGATCCAGATGCGCCGAGCATCCCTTCCTCAATCGCCGCCCGACGATCACCTCGCAGGAGTCCGGATGGAGGCATTTGGCGAGAATCGGTACCGTCGCGAGCTTCTGCCTCGTCTCCAGCGGGTGCTGCAGCACGATCACGCTTGTTCTTCGCGTCTGGATGCGCTCCTTGGGCATGGCCGGGCACAGGCACGCCGCGCAGGGCCTATCGCATCCGTCGCATCGTGGGCGCATTGCCTTCGCTTCGCAAGAACCCTAGAAATATTTGCCATTTGCGTGACAAATAGGTAGGGTTTATCGTTGGCGCTGCGAGCGGCGGGATCGCGATCTCTCATGAAATTCCCTGGCGATGATCGATTACATCGGCAAACGCGAGGTTTCGAGCCAATGCGGGTAAGATTCTTGGCTGGATTCCGATGCGCGACGAGAATATTTCGCAGGGAAGAGCTGCGATTGTGCAAGGAGAGAGCCGCGTGCCATGTCCCTCACGTCCTTCGCGAGCGCGAGCTCTCGATCGGATCCAGCAGCTGCGATAAGGTGTTTGCCGCGGCATGGATCGACGATGCCAATGTAGCGCTCGGCACCAAGGACAACAAATTGCTGCTCGTCCACTCGCAGAAGGATCGATGTGTCGAGATAACGCTTCCTCGCAGGAACTCGTGGAGCCGGCCAGAGCCCGTGGATTCTTCCTGCGGCATCCACTCTATGTATCCTTCCAACGATTTTTCTATTGCTGCTCGATCGTGGACGTGATCCTCATCCGTAAGCTCGCTCAATCTCTCCAAGTCGCTTCTCGTGACTGGAGCGGATCATCCAAACGATGCTGCCGTCTTTCGACTTCCATCCTTCCAACCATTGCAGCTCTTAAAGGTGAGCTTCTTTTTTCTTTGTTTGCTTACAACTTTTACCTTTTGCAGAAGCACGACGACTGGATTTTTGCAACCTCCTGGCTTACGGACACAGTTCTTGCAACTGGTTTGTGTCCAGTTTCCTTCTTTTCTTTTTTCCTTCCTGGCTCTTTCTATGATTGATTGCTCTACAGGTTCTCGGGATTCCACTGTAAAGCTCTGGTCAGTGACCCGGAGCCGCTCTTACCTCAACGAAAGCCCCATTGCTGAGAGAAGATATCACCGGGATAAAGTGAGAGATATTAAATACTGTTCCCAAGCTGAGGTAACGAGACTGGAATTTCTTATCTTTACAACTCCATTCCAGATTCTAGGGACGCTGAGTCAAGATGGCACTTGCAAAATATGGGATCCACACGTGATGGAAGTGGTAAGTATTTCAAGCTTCCTTTGAATAATATTAGTTTTCTTTCTTCTTTAGATTTCAACCGTCCAGCTGCACTACAGAAGGCACTTGCAGTGCCTTGCCATTCAGTACCCGGTTTTGGCTGTTGGTTCTCAAAAGCACGTATCTTTCATCGACATGAGATGTGGGCATCTTACTAAACACATTGAATCTCTGGACGACGCCTGGGGTAACATCTAGACTTTATATACGGATCTTTCATTTTGGCTTAGCAGGTGTTCGCTCGTTGAGTCTCAGAGGTCCTTTGCTAACATGTGGAGGTGGAAAGGGACGATTATCTTTCTTCGAGATGAGAGCGATGAAGTACCTTACTCTCGGTATGTCGTAGATTATTTTCTATTGCGTCGTAATCCGTTTCTGGATCGCAGACCCGGACGCTAGCGGAAATAAGCACTTATATTACAAGATTGGCAGGGGAGCTCCAGTAAAGAGTGACCCATAAAAAAAGCTATGGTTCTGATCTACGTTTTCTGTAGGCCGAACGAGACTTCAAATGGCATGCTGTTTATGCACATTCATATGACGTGACTGGCACCTCTTTGCTCGCCGTTGGTGGTCCAGCTTTGTATGGTCAAAAAGGGTGCTATACTGCTATTTGGTAGTAGCTTGCTCACACCATTCTGCGAGAGGTATCTTTATCGAGTCTTGTCTTTCACCTATCAATCACGTTCTTGCAGTTTCAATGTATATAAAGGACCACTAAAAGGGAGGCTTAGGGGCGTATGCGTAATTTCGTAGATTTTTTCCGCAAGAATCGTAACTCTGTTTTCTTCAGATTGGTGTATGATTGTTTCTATGAAAAATGTCGTTCTCTTAGCTCGATTGAGGTGGTAGTTTCTCCTCCTCAAAATGTTTCCGTGTTTAACAAGGCTATCCTTCGCAAAAGGTAAAGTGTCAATTTAAAAGATAACTTTTGTCGATACCTTACAGGTCGTGATCGTTCCCAAGATTTTTCTTAAGAACATTCTATTGCCATTAGAAAAGAGTTTATACAGCACCACTTTACAGAACGACTACGTCGGCGTTATGTTCTTAAATATAACGACGACGTTCTTAAATCCGATCGAAGTTTATATACACACTTCTTTATCTACGCAGGCTTAGAACTTTTTGGACTTGACTTGCACGAGTCAAAAGGATTGTTGCGGTGGTGGCTACCAGAAACGAAATGATAAAGCATGGGACTCCAGCCAGGAGCTCCTCACGGTAACCATCGTCCGAATGATGTTCTTCTACAGATAAGGCCGGAGAATCCCGCGGGCGGATGTTGGAGAGAGGGAAGCCATACAGTCCTGGATTACCTTCAAAGCTACTGCTCTGAAAAGTGGTAAGCTGGCCTTTCTGAGGAATCATGCCTGACAATCTGTTGTAGGAAACGTTGAAGTTGAAAAGAAAAGTCAGCCCGGCAATCGAGTCCGGAATCCGGCCGCTCAGGAAATTCTCCGAAAGGTCCAGAACCTGGACGTTCTTGAGTTGACCAACCGACTCAGGTATAGGACCGGCCAGAAAGTTGTGTGCCAGATCCAGCTTATACAAGTTCTGCATGCTGCTCAATTCTCCAGGAATACCACCGGTGAGATTGTTGTACGAGAGAGTCAGGACGATGAGGCTGGTCAGTTCCATCTTGAACAGCGGCAGGTATTGCATCGACCAAACGCACTCGGTCGCCAACTCACTCACACGCTGCTCCAAATCTTCCAGGCGGAGTCCCTGGAGCGCAAACATCCCGTCTCTTCCTCGGCACTTGGAGAACTGGACCTCGAGAAGTTTACAGTTCCCCAGGGAGGTTGCTACCGGGGCCAAACCGAGAACCATTTCCCCGGTGTAATCGCGACCGACGCGAGAAGGAACCGTGCCCGTGAGCTGGTTCGCACTCAGGTCCAACATGATCAGATTTTTGCACTTCGACAGCTCCAGAGGTACGTCACCTTCCAGAGAGTTGTTTCCGAGCTGGAGAACTACGATGGTTTGCAGCTCTCCCAGGGATGGCGGGATTTTCCCAGTCAGTCTGTTTGAAGACAACGAAAGCCACCACAAGTTCTGAAGGCGAGAGATGTCCGGAGGGATAGCTCCATGCAGATTGTTGTAACTCAAAAGTGCGATGGTCAGATTGGTGCAATTCCCGAGAGCTGGCGGAACGATGCCCTGGAGTTGTTCACCCACGCAAGAAGATGCTGGAGCTGCGGGTGGTTCTCACATAAACGATCCGGTATTTCTCCAGTTGCGTTGTTGAAACTAAAATCCAGCATCTCCAAACTGGTGCAGTTGACGAGCGAGTCGAGCACCCGACCGCCGAGCTTGTGTTTTGGCAGTAGAAGGCTCGTCAACTTGAACGGCGGGCTCTGCTCCAGACAAAAAGCTGTCCCGAATCGTGGTGAATCTGTTAGAGCTGAAGTTGAGAAACGCGAGGTTCTGGTGAATCCCGAGGACTTCACCGGCGAACCCGTTGTAGCTGGCGTCGAGAACTTCGAGAGACGGTAAGAAACCATCGTTTTCTAAGCTTTGACGACCGAGAATGTCGGGTGGTGTTCCAGAGAAGGAGTTGAGCGAGATGTTGAGATGCTTGAGCTTCGGACAAGACGGCGTCGGCTGGAAGAAGAGCTTTCCGGAGATGTTGTTAGCCGACACGTCCAGCTCGACCAGCTTCCGACACGCAGCCCCCGACCGGATCTCGAAAGCGGTGAAAGAGTTCCCGGCCAGCTTGAGCTTCCGGATGCTGTTGGAGAAGCTGAGCGATGGGAAAGCCCCGGAGAAGCTGTTGTAAGACAGGTAGAGCTCCCGGAGATTGGTACAGGCAGTGAGGAGCTCTGGAGGAATCGCTCCAGCCAGATCATTCCCGGACAGGTCCAGCCATTGCAAGCTCTCACAGCCACCATCGCCGAAAGACGCTCCAGAGATCGAGCCACTTATCTGGTTTTGCGAGAGGTCCAGCCGCCGCAAGCCCGAGCACCTGGTAAGAAACTCGATTGGAAAACTCCCGCGGAGCTCACTGTTCCTGGAAATGTTTAGGGACTCGAGCGAGCACGAGTGGAGAGTGATCCCAGCCAGGGGCTCCGTGAAGTTGCTGGCCGAGACGTTTAGCTGGCGGAGCCGGGGGAGCTCTTCGATGGTGGAAGCCAGGAGAGAGGCCGGGAGCTCCAAGAACTGGAGGCTCAGGGACGCGACGCGGCCATGGAGGGAGCAAAGCACGCCTTGCCATTGGCAAGAGGGCGTGCTCGCGTTCCAGCTCTCGAGGCTCCGCGATGGATCGCCCACTCCATTTTTCAAGGATAAGAGCGCTCTGGTATCGCTCGCCGCGGCGAGGATCGCGATTCCTATCAGTTGGAGAAGAAAAGCGTGCACGAGAAAGCCTGCCATGGTGGAGAAAAATAATGGAAAAACAGAAGGCAGAGGTCTACAAAAGAGAACAAAACTATGATGGAGAAGAAACTCTTTTACCCCAATTTCTTTAGCAAAAAGGAAGAACTTTACATTTATAGGCGAATATGCTTCAGAGATGCCAAATTAATTTGAGTTAATTGATTTCTTAATTAATACCTAGTATATTCAAATATTCTTTAATCTAAGCACGAATATTCATTCCAGTCAACCACTTTTCGAACGCGGGGTAGAATTCCTGCTTGCGCGCACCCTCCACGCTCGGATTTGCCGATCCAAACCTCCACTGTAGATGCAAAATGCGCGCTCTTCTTCTCCCTCTCCGTGATCCCCTTCCGCGCTATCATTGTAGAAATCGTCGTTCTTCTCTCGCGGCAGTGCTGGATCCATGGCCACGACCACGAGCGACTTGATCGGTCCCGTATGCCCTTTCAAAACTCCCAGGCAGCAGTGACCACCGAGCCCTCCAAATTCGATGCTCCAGATCCTCACGGTCGCGTCCGCGGATCCACTGCACAGCAATCCCCCGGCGCGTCCCAGGCACAGCACCGCTCCACGGTGCCCCCGCAACCTTTCCACGCAACTCATGTACGGATCATCGTGATCGCGATCGCGATCGTCAAGAACTACCCCTGCTAGCGATTTCTCCCACACCGCAATTGTGGAATCCGAGAGCCCAGCGTAGAGAAACTCGCCCCCAAGAACCAGCGCGTTCACTGCAGTAGAGCCATTGCTAACGCTCTTTGATAGCGTCTCGTGGAACAGTGTGGCGAGCAGCGCAAACTTCTTCTTTCTATCGCTTCCCCCTTTCTTCCACACCCTGATCATCGAATCCGCGGATCCCGTGTAGAGAAATCCCTCCGGCGACGCAACCAGCGCATTGATCGCGTCGTCGTGAGCTCGGAAGGATTGCAGGCATCGCAGGTCGGAGACCCTCCAGACCTTGACGCTGCGATCCCAGGAGCTCGAGAAGACGAGAGATCCGTCGTGAGAGCTCGCGAGCGACGAGATCGCGTCGGTGTGCTGGAGCCACAGGCAAGTCTTGTGGCGACGAACGCGAACATACCTTGCGGGAAACATACACGACCTCGCGACGTCTCTGGGCCGGGGCAGCGTCGCCAGGAGCTTCATCGTGAATGATCTGTTGCTGTTCTTGGCGATGGAGTCGAATTCGTTGATCTTGAGAAGCTCGACTGTCTTCCAGACGCGGATCTTGTTGTCCTGGTGAGCGCTGAGGACTAGAGCCCTGCCTTTGTGGGTGATTTGGAGGAGGGACTTGACGCAGCCACCATCTCCAAGCTTGGCGAAGTCCGATAAGTGGATCAAAGCTCCATCATTCTCTGATCGGTGGAAGCATTGCCACAGACTGATATGGCTGTCCTGGGAGCCAGCGATCAAAAGCCCATGATCTAGATCTTTCCCGGCCCAGCAAAGAGAGAAAATGGGACCCTGTGGAGCCCGGAAAGAACCCAGGGAGGAATAAGAGGCCTGGCGAAATTGTTCGCGAGCTTGATCTTCGACTTCTCCTCCTTCTTCGGCTCCTCGAGTTGTTCTAGAATTGTGAATACGATTGAGGCTTCTTTTCAGAGACCATGACTCTCGTCCAGATGATCGATCGGCATCGCTGGTATTAGAGCTGGCGGGAATGGAGCTGAATTTCGTGCTGCTGCCGCTAAAACTCTCGCTGCCAGTGTCATTCTCGTAGAAACTCGACGGCATTCTTCTTATAGAAATCGAGAAACGCTCTTTTCGAGATCAACTAACTTGAATCGCTCTCAAGAACTCTACTTGCAGGATATGGATGAATAAATCTCTCGCAAATTACGGTAAGACAACTATTCCCCGTGGAACATGAAGGGAAGTTGCGTTGGGAGACAAAACTTTGTGGAGACTTCCTCTCATGAAAAAACGCAACTTTGCACCACGCACACGTGGACAACACACGAATCCACGTGGTGGATGTTCATTGGGCTGAATCTAGATGCCTACAATATTCCATCTTGGAATGTCCATTATATACACCATATGCCATTGGCAGGATAGTAATTCTGGTATTCTCTTGTGCGAGAAACTTTTCTAATGGATATCCGATTTTTTCGACGCGGTGGATTCAAAAAATAATTAAGTTAGACCATGCTCTAATTTAGTATTTTAGTAAAAATTATACAAATACTCGATGCTTGTGCGCGGTATAATTCCATCGAGGTGGAGCAATCATGCAGTCATGCCCGTCCCAACGCTTGTTGTATGACAGTCGGCACGATTTATAAAAAAATTTAGAGTTGTGTGAACCTTCCCTTCACTTGTTTTTCACTCAATAGCGTTTAAGTTGAGACAAACTTCCAAACTTTCAACCTCAAATCCTCTCTTTTTGACCAACTTTCTCGAACTGTACGAGTTTTAAGTTTTAACATCTCACAGCCCCATGTGAAGTCACAGGAAACGTTCTTGACACTTTCTGCCGCAAGTCTGCCCAGCTAAAGTGATCAAATTAGTATGTAATTAACAAACAACCGACCTTAAGTGGATCATGATCATAGCAAATTAGTATATAAAGCATTCTTTTCCAGTGACCATACCAACCATGAATATTAAAATCAAGAACAAATGAAGGTCATTAGCATCCAAACAATTTGGAAGTCCCAATCACAAACAACAAAAGAATCAAGCTGTGCCGTCAAGCTATAGACATCGCCTAAGCTCCACTCAAAGTTTATATAACGCCGTCCAGATTCCACTGCCCCGATTTGTCCCGTTCTTTATGCAACTACCTCTGAAAGTATATAGTTCCAATGATGAAGAAAACCGTCCATGATAAAACATATTTTATCATCCTTAGCTTACAATTTTAAACGTATACTTTGAAAGATGCTTACAATTAGCAGGATTCTATTGACCGTCTGAATTTGGAATTTGGACTACTGTATGTACACAGAAGTGCTAAACCTGTGATCAAGAAGTTATTTCTCAGAGGAAAACTTGCAAATGCTAAAAATTGCAAGAATATTCTCCATCAACCTTGCACAGGCTTGGGGCAAGAGCAAGTCTTAGCTGCATGTCCGGCCGCACTTGCAACAAGGCTCGCCTGAGGCCGTTTTCTTGGCACAGGTGCATGTCTCACATTTGCAGTTTGCACCGCATGCGCAGAAAATTCCGTCGTGGCCACTACCACAGGATCAAAAAAGTTGCCAACCCTTAAATTGAGAAGAATAGTAGAAGCTTACTTTCGTCCAGCAGCTCTGAATATCCGGAGTTGTCGATCAATCAGAAGTTACAGAAACACAAACCATGCGTTTATCACTTACTTGCAATTAGCTCCAGATGGGCATGGACTCCCGCAAGCACACCCGCAGTGCAGCCGCAGGTAGCAGAAGCAACAGCAGCAGTGGTGGCCATTTCTCGATCAAGTGAAGATGAGACACAGTGATTCATTCCTTCATTCAATAGCTGTTTACATAGTCTAGTAGTACCCACTAAGAAACATGAGACCAATAGATTACAGTAAATTGTTTTGATAATCTTACATTTGCAAAACTCTTCTAAGTCTTCTGCCACCAAGCCTTTTGTCCCCGCCCTAGGCTTCATCAATCTGCCTGCCGCACCTTCTGACGCATCTTGGGAGACACGCCCAAAGCTGCCCGTTTATAGAATGGCTGCATTATGCACAAGTTTACCAGATTATTACTAGATGCAATGTACAAAAGGGATATTAGGGTATATGTGACCTTTTAGTCCCTAGCATAAACCTTTGTCCTATTTAAATGCTCATAAGGTTTAGATTCTATTCATTTCAAACTTTTCGGCTATCAATTCTTGAGCTTCAGCCGGGAGTTTTGAGAGCTGCTCGGGGTATGGATGGACTACCACAACAACGAATGTGCTCTTGCCATTATCATCGAGACAACTTTAAAATCCGAGACTGGGATGGATGAAGACACCTTGCAAATGCTGTGCTCCTTAAGGATTGGCTGGCAAGCGTGTTTAACAAGGTTGAGGAGGTGAGATTTAATATCCACCGACTTGATCAACACCCAAAGGAGCATCCTTACATTTGGGAAGATGTTAGCAAATTGCTATTTCTAGGAATGGAGCCTGAAATCTTCCAATACTTACACGAATTGGATATTCAACACGAAGATGAGTTGTGGATGCCAACTCATCTTCGAAGGGATGGGAGGAGTCGATTCCATATCCAGGCCCAAAGCAATGTCCAGGTAGACTGCCCAGTGGCCGACCATATAAGCAACAGAGAATGGAAGTGAAAATACTTTGGAAAGAATAACCAAAGATAGATAGATAGATAAATAGATAATTGTGTTTATAGTTGCCGTTAACCTGTGAGAGCATGGGACTTTTGAGTAGGAGGGCAGGAGAGCAGGGAGTCGGGCATTCAAGCATTTGCTATATGTTTCAGTCTGGGAAGTGGGGGCATGTTGCTTTGATGAGCAGTGCCCTCCAGTCTTCAATGACATAGATAAAGAGCAGTCATTGCTGCCATGGTCGTGTTTCCCATGAATGCTAGAGGTCTTGGGCATGGAAGTCTAGTGTGGGAAAGAAGAGCCATAGCCGCATGTAGGCAGGGTAGTCATATATGGCATCTCTAGGCGTGAGCGGCTTCTGTCTTCCGCCTAGTTCAACGTGAAGTGAGTGCATGCTTGTTCGGTATGTTGCAAGGATGCGCCTGGTGGTGTAGCCTGTGGCGTTGTGGATGCTGGGCCAATGATTCTCCCAGGGTTGATGTCGTGGAGATAGTCCTGGAAGCAGTTGGTAACCAAAAGTGTTGGTTTATGGATTGCTGGAATAAAAATACTTGGTTCGAAATGTTACGCAATTGATTAGAATATACTTAAAAGAATGGAATGTAATGACATAATGCTGCTTTTCTTTGCTTTTCTTCATGGAGATTTCTAAAGATTTTCTATAAAAGCCACAAAACGTAAGAAATAAAAAGGACAATCAAAACGCTGAGCATTCCGGACCAGCTTCTTTGCCGTTTGTTCGCCCAGCATGCGCGAGGAAGTCCTGTAGAAGGAGAGAGAAAAGGTCTTAGAAAAGAAGAAGTCTCTTTTTTCAGATCGAGAAGAAAGCAGCCTGACCACAGCTGTGATAATCTCAAAGCAAAACTTTATAATTATTATTGATCTAAAAATTGCATAAAGATCTCTCTTTCAAGTCCATCAACCTTGCACTGGCTTGGGGCAAGAGCAAGTCTCGCAGCTGCATGTCCGGCCGCACTTGCAGAAGGGCTCGCCTGAGGCCGTTATCTTGGCACAGGTGCACGTCTCACACTTGCAGTTTTCACCACATTCGCAGAAAACTCCGTCGTGGCCACTATCACAGGATCAAAAGAGTTGCCGAATCAGCATTTAATTGAAAGGAAAACACAAAGCTTACCTTCGTCCAGCAGCACCCGTTGCTGCACATCTGTGATCCAAGGATTTGTCAATCAATCAAAAGCTATAAAAACACAAATGATATCGCTTACTTGCAATTATCTCCGCATGGGCATGGATTCCCACAAGCACACCCCGCAGTGCAGCCGCAGGTGGGCGTGATAGCAGCAGCGCCAGCAGCAGCGGTGGCCATTGCAAAACAAAAAGTGAAGAAAAGAGGACGAAAAAACACTCTATTAGAACAGTGAGGAACTTGATTGAGAAATGCCCACAGTTGCCCACTTTTATAGAATGGGTCATGCATTATGCAAGGGCAGGCACGAGTTCACCACCAATTGTTACTGCTGGTAAAAGAAATGCCATTATATTATGTTTTGTATGAGATAAGAAATCTAATGAAAGGATAGACAATTGCAGATTTGGAATTGTCCATCTACGCATAAGACCAACGATTTGTACCTTGTCAACCTTCCACTCATTATCTCTCCGGAGCATCCGTTCCCGAGCATGATCGCAAACCAGGACAGAGAGGAGAGCCATTCGTTTGAGTGCACGTTGCAAGGAAGTTCGTTAGATAGTCGTAATAAGGATCTGTGCAAGACCTGGACAAGCCACCACAGTCTACAAGTTCGATTGTCTCTATAGAAGCGACTGAAGAGAAGGAGGAAAAGAGAAGGAAGTAGTACCCCATGGTTTGACATGACGGCTCACAAGAGCCTAAGTTATAAACAAAGCGGACCGTGAAAATCTCGTCATTGGACTGTGCACTTGCCTTTGAATGTGATGAGTTTCCAAGTACGATGCAGAAGAAAAACAATCGAGGCTAGCTTCTTGGCCTGTTCTCTGTGCTTGGAAACAATGCTGCCTGTTACAGAAAAAAATTCTCGCTCAGCTTTGTCCTGCCTCGCACTGAAGGATCAAAACCACTGTTCCACGGGAAGTTTTTCAAAGCAACGGACGAGTAAGTAAGTAAGACGTGGGCTTTGCTGCTGTTCCCTGTGTTGTATGAAGACCGTTCGTAATCCTTCGTAGCCTGGCAGCTGTGAAACGAAATGCGCAAATGTACTCATGATTCTGCAAAGTCGAGATTTTCCACTGGATCTTCGTCAATGCCTGCCACTTCTATTCCCGAGATCTCCAGCGAAGCTGGGTTGAGTACCTCGATGTTTACCAGGGCGTTGATACGAGCACCAGGGCGTTGATATGATTTGATAGGTCCAAGCTATCAATCCCAGCGCTCTTGACAATTAAACAGGTGATCTCACGAAGCAGCGTTTTACTGGGAGATTGCTCCAGCAGAATCCGACTTCCGCTAAAACCTCTTCTTTTGCAATCTCGCGGGCTCTGGTGGACGGAAAAGGAAGCTCGGAGTGGTTCTAAAGAGGTGCGACGGTGGCTACCAGCGCTCCAGTGGTCTCCTTCGCCAAGGATGGTGTTCCATGCAGCCCTGTGATCTCACGCCCTGGTAAAAACACCCTGGTAAAAATCTCTCTTTTTCTCCATCGTTCCTGTAGAGAAGCTATTGTTTCGTATTTGGCAGGCATTCCTTCTGGCCGGAGGAAAGCAGGACGAGCCAGAGAGGATTTGGTTTTGGAGCTGTGATCCATGGCTTTAGCTCGGGAGTTCCTTCACGAGCCTGGGAGATAGACAAGAGCAGCGTTCGAGATGTCTTGGAGAGATAAAGTGGTGTTGGCATTGTCGAAGTGGATATAACTTTCCCAGATGCCACCAATGCTTTCGATCGAAACTTCATCTATCACTTCCGCTAGATCCATAGCTTCCTAATCTATTAACCCTGGGACTTGGAATGGACTGCGTCCAGCTCAACAACTCTTTTTCTTTCAAATTCTTCTGTGAACTAATTGTTTCTTCCAAGAAGATATGATCGCTCCAAATTGGTTCCATGGTGGACGAGGGAGAAAAGATCGAGGCCGTGGATGAGAGTTATCGACAAACAAGTGGAACAAGGCTCGCTAGTTGTTATTTCAGCTTTCTATCCTTCTACTAAAGCTTCCATTCTCCAAAACGAATCTTATCATCTCTTTTATTTATTTTCCCTATGATATCTTATTTGGCAGGGAGAAATTCTACATTCCTCTACAATGTTCTCTTAATGGTTGCAAGGGTATGATAGTTTCAAAATTAAAATTTAAACTTAATAGTATAAAAATGGCAGTTTTAGGGCAACATAAGAAGTGAAATTAAATTCTCTAAATTTTTCTAATTCAAAATTAGTATATAATGAATTAAATTATATGCTATAATAATATATATTATTTAAAATACACACACAGCAAATTATTTATACTTCATTAAAGTCTTGTCACTTCGTTCCATTTTTCATTGGATTTCTTCTCCAGAGATTCTCGGTTATCTTAGAGCAGGGAAGAAATTCTTGGATCATTCTGAAAACACATTTTCTCCTTGTATATCATATTACACTAAACCAAAGCTCTTAGCAATTAATATAATAAATCTAAACCTTATCCTCAACGTGAAACTTGTGTTATTTGGCATTTTGCGCCAATAATTTGTACATTCTCTCCCTGTGCAAAGCCACACAATATGTGAACAGAAATGCGCTCTGTAGATGTCACAGTGTAGACATTGCAGCTCACGGGGCTATAAAGCCCAGCTTGTTTCCTCATTGTTTTCGTGCAAATCTTCACAGCGAGGCGAGGTGAGGCGGTCAAGTTGGAGCTCTGAAAGTCCTCTTCTCTCACCTGGGCGATCAAGAGCTGGTTGCATTCTCAAACTTTGGTTCAACCAACAAGAGGGTAAGGATACCTTGGAATGTTGAGAATTGCTCACATCGTCTCTGCAGAGCGTAATGGACAACGGCAACAGCATCGTCCCCATTGTGGGTATCCAGAAGAAAGTCTCTGAGTACGCTCTGCCTGCAACCGTTCAAACGCACGAGGTCGTCCCCATTGGAGACGAGCTGCTGCTCATCACCCAGCAGGAGTGCAATGGGATCATCAAAGTCACGCTGGATCCAGCAACCGGCAGCCCGACATTTGCTTCCAAATTCACCCTGGACGGATCCACATACCAAGGAGCTCATGGCCTCCGCGATTCCAAAGCTTACCCGGGCTATGCCTGGGTGACGCTCCAGTTCGACAACAGCTTACTTCTCATTGATCCCATTGCGACTCAACAGAATATGCCCCCACGGGTGGAGAAGAGGTTTCGGCTTCCAAAGCCTCTCCGAGGCCCCCACGTCGTCATAGAGGACGGCTCCGACTACCTGTGGGTGACGTGTAAGGACAGCTGCCACGTGGCGAAGGTGAATCACCGGGAGTTTGCTGTCGTGGCATACTACCCCTGCAGCCGCCGCCCCATCTTTGTGGCGCCGACACACGAGTACGTGTACGCCAGCATGGACGAGAGTAGCAGAATATTCTGCCTACAGAGGAATGGTGAAGCCACATCCGAGATTGAGATTCCGGCCGGGAAGGGAAGCACCCCTGTTGGGCTCATCACTGGCCCCGATGGAAATGCCTGGTTCGTCCTGCTTGGGAATTTGAAAGGGGGAACCGGTACCTTTGGAAGGATTAGCATCAACAAGGTGACGAACGAGCCATGGATCACCTGGTTCCATCTCACCACCGCGACTACTGCCGGACTTCTCCATCTCGCTTTCGACAACGGTGTCTACCATCGCAGCCAGGGCAAGAATCTCAAGATCTGGCTGCTGGGATCTTCAATCGGCTCCCCCGCGAATATCAATGCGGTGTTCACTGTTCACCTGCAGCCAGATCCTAAGAATCCAGAGCAGCTCCACCTCGAAAAGGAGGAGGTGATCGTGCTGCCTACGCAGTCCTCGATGGCGCACCGCGTGCTGAAGCACAGATCGGGGCTGTTCGTGACGGAGCTGAGCGCCTCTGTTCTTGCGCACATCAGTGGGACTGCGGTCTGGGGCCCTGACAGAGACGATCAAGCCGCCGACGCATATGCTCTGTGGGGACTGGGCGCGCTCAGCAATCGCGTTCACTACCCAAGCTTGCCACTAGCGGTCGCGGAGCCCACACTGAAGCGCAAGAAGATCTTGGAATAGTTTTGGTGTTTTAAAAATAATTTGCTAAGTGTTGCAAGTAATGTTAAAATTTTATAATTATAAACATGTTTATAATTTATAAACACAAGATTAACCTTATTGCATATCAGCCATTAGATGGTAGAATAAAGAAAGAATATTTTAAAAAATGTTTAAAAAAGTTTATAAATTATATACATGTTTATAAATTATAAATACAAGATTAATCTAAATGAATAACAACCATTAGATGGTAGAATACCCTAGATTATCCAAGCATATTTTAGGTATATTCACTACCATCTCAATTTGCTTAAGCAAACCAAAAGTATATTTAGCTTTTTAATTTGTTTGCTTCACATCTTTGTTCCTCTATGTTGCAAAGTTAAGTTTATCAAGAAGCACAGTATTAATATCAACTAAATTATATTTTAAATCTTTGTTCTTGATACTAGTGCAAAAATATCATGTATAATTGCTCAAATAAAAAAGTTCCTGGGTCTCCCTCTAAATATTTCTTTATTTTTTTAAATCTTCAACACTTGTCTATGTACCAATTGCAATCATACCAATCCTTATTTGCTACTTGATAAAGAATAATTACATCCACTCCTATTCTCACGTTAGATTGTGTTTGCACACTTGAACTATTATCATAGACACTAGCTTTCACCTTTGCTAGTTTGTTTCTTAAGAGAAATGGATTTCCATTAAATGGGATATTATGGTGTATAGTATAGTGAGGAAAAAGTCATTGATTCAAACACTTCTATATTTTTGGAGCATGAAATATCAAAGAGAATTCAATAATTAACACCAATATTTTATCTTGTGTTACTCCATTTTCTATTGTTTCATTTGGGGCAAGAGTTTTTGCTTCAATTATAAACTTTGCTTCAGTTTATAGCAGATCATCTTCATTACCAACAATTACCTATAGAGTCTTTGTAAAATTGCCCTATAAAAGTCTTCAAATTCCTATGGAGCTTCCCACAATGTTATGACTCTAATAGATTGAAGCATTTACTATGCTTCTATAAAAACTTATTTTTAAAATTAGAACTAATTGCTCATTTATTTCTATTCCTAAGAAGTCAACTAGATCACTTATGCTCTACTATTTATATGCTCAAACTATAACTAAATTTTTTCCTATTTCTTATGTGCCACAAAAAATTCTAGATTCCCCTTTGTTCTAAATTACTCTAGCTTAATTCATTAAACTTATTGTATTTAGTAGCTCTACTTTAGCATAGTTGTGCATACTTCCTACTTTGCTAAGAGAATTTCTATAATAGTTTGAACTTGTCAGCCAAAATGGTACTTTCTTTTTTACTAGCTTATCTTAAAAGATTTTAAAAGAAATTGTTGTGTAAACACCACTTTAGTTGCATATTAAAAAATGTTTCAATAAAGTTATATTTTAATTTATATTTCTTGTGCTTTTTTTGAAGTTTAGTGCAAGCTTGATCATTAAGGACTAGGTTGTAAGAACCTTTAAATGGATAAACCTATTCCTATGGTATAAAGGTCTTGCTTTCAAGTATTTGTTATGAAATATGAAAGATGTTTATCCATACTTTCTACCAAGGTCCTTTTTCTGATTGGAGGTGATTATTAGAGTAGCTTACTTGAATTCCTTGGAAGTTGTGGCAAAAACAGTATATGTGGATGAAGACTTCCACTTGGGGTGCAACTTTGATTAAGCCTGATTACCATTGAATCACTCAACTTTGAACTATCATCAAGTGTATTAGAAATTGAATACCCTTATTTCAATGGATTGACCACAAATTCCATTATTAGTGTATTAAGATATAAAGAAAAAGTTTGATTTGAAGTTGAGGGTATAAAATTTTAAATCATTTCTACTCCTATAGTTAAGTGAGTGATTAAAGAATCTCTTGTTACAAGTAATTGTTAAAGAGATTGAAGGATTCCAAGTTTTGGAGCTTATTGAGCTCATTAGAAACATTACTTTAAAAGGATAAATTCAAGTTTTTAGATAATGCCAATTAAATTGTTAGATAAAACATTTATAGAGGTGATAGGAAGAGAATCTAAAATTTAGATTATTCTTTTCCAATTGAGAAAATGACATAACCCTTTATTTATTGGAAAAAATTATAGCTATCCTCAAAGACGTGCCTCTAGTTGAAGTATACAATGTTGCTAAAAAGATTTACTAGCTTCCAATCTAAGATTAAAAGAAAATCTCAGTTTATGGTTATATGAAATTGTGGTCTAGATCTATATAAACATTTTTTTACATGCTACAGACAATAGAATTTTGCCTAGATTCCTCCTTGAAACAAATAATTTACTATAATGTGTAGTTTTTTTTCTTTTAATATATAGTCAATATTCATTAGAAAATATCAATATAAACATTTATAAATAAATATTGCAAAGGTATTATAAAATATTCATCTTCATGAGATATTGTAAATAATTGAAGAAAAAAATATGAGAGACAATTCATGAGGGTTCAAATATAGAGGAAAAGGCCCATAAACAAAAGTACACCCTTTTTTTCAATTAGTTAAAAGTCAGAAGAGTAGCGAGCTACAATTCTTAACTTTCATTTATGAAAGCGTATTATTGTATGGAAGTATAATGGATTGTAAGCAACTAAAGAAAATGACTTGAAAAATGATTTATAATGGTTCAAATATAAAGGGAAAAAGCTTATGAATAAGTTTTTTTTTAATCAATTAAGAGTTTTAAGATACTTAGGGTTAATGGTCATTGAGTTTAACTATGGATGACTTCTTGGGAAGGTTAAATTTAAGAATTTACATTTTGTATCAAACAAGTTTTAGGTTTGACTTTGTTAGTTGGTTAAAATAATCACACTACATCTTGATATTGATATATGGTGATCTAGCTTGCTATAGCTAAGTTAAATTTGAGGGTAGAATATCAAGAGAGTGGAGTTCTTGAGAGAGTTAGAACTTTTAACTTTCATCCACAAGGGTATAAATTTGCAAAGAAATATAGTGAATTGTAAATAGAAAAAAAAGCAAGTCAAAAAATTATCTATAAAGGTTCAAATATAAAGGAAAATAATATATAAATAAGAGTGCACCTGTTTTTCTACATGAAAGGGTTTTGGTATATTGACTCTTTAGCTACAAGTAAAAGTTGGTGCCAATATGATATAGAAACCATATTAAACAAAGTTTTTTATTTTTAACATCCTTGGGTTTGAATAGTATTGGGTTGGGTGACTTTCTAAGAAGTTCAAATTCAAAGTTTACAAATACCTATACTATATCTTTTAAATTTAAATAATCTTCAATATAACCATCATCAAATTTTCTTGACTATACTATAACTCTTAAATTTAGATAAGCTTTATTATAATCATTATCAACTTTTCTTGAAACTAAATAGATCTAATAGCATTTCCTTATAACATAATTTAAATACCATAAAAAAAAGAAAATTTAAGGTTTGCCTATGGAACACCCATTGAACAAGATAGAGGTCAATACAATAAATTACTTGACCTTAGGGGGGGATAAGTTAATTGCCATATTATATCTATAAAGCTATGAATAAAATATTTATTTCCCATATTCCTTATTAGATGCTTAGTTAAGAGATGAGAATCTGAAGTTAATCAAAGAAAAAAAAAACTCCAAGACTACACCTTTTTTCCTATAGAAATTTATTATTTCTAGGAAATTCAACTATGATGGAATATTATAAGTTAGATCCTTGAGTTAATCCTTCTACTTCATTATTCCCTAGTTTTAGAAATTCTTTATTGCATTGAATTCATAGTGCTCACCCTTGCAATATAGAATTATAATAAACAACTAAGTGCTTGTTTTTTATAAACCATCAAAACATTAACTCTCTTACAGAAAAAGTCTAAAGGGCTTTTAATGGAATTTATCAAATCTAAGACTTTGGATCCTTGTGAAATATAACAAACTCCCGGATGAATCCATTGTTGATGTGTAGAATAGTCCTAATAAAAGTTTAAAAGGATCAATGAGAACAATTGAGATTTTATGTCCATGGAGAAATCGAAAGAGGAAGAGTGATCATGAGGTCCAGTACTATTAATTCTTTACTGAAATTTTTCATTAAGTTGGATTAGTCATTAGTATTAAACTTTGATTACAAATGAATTAAAGAAAATTTTAAAAGCAAGAAATCATAACCATTAAATTAAAGAATATCCTAGGATTCTAAGTATATACTTTATACCTATAATAAAAAATTTAAACAAGTAAGAAATTAAACTTGATTAAAAATGAATTAGAAAAGTTTAGGAGAGAAAAAGCACAGCCATAGATTTTAAGATATCCTAAAATATAATTGAATATTTTTAAGTATATTTTTATATACCTCTTTAAAGTAAACAAATATTGTTATAAATTTAAATACACTGGGCAACTATATGATCCTAAAGGTAGGATTTGGAGGGTGGGTACAAACTTATTGTTTATCAAGTCTTAAACTTTAAATTAGACATATGAGAATTGTTTAATTTCTCATAAATAGGTTTTGTATTACTCTTATTTCATTAATAAAAATGGAAACTTCCTCGTTTTATTTTTTTACAAGTGTTTAGATTTTTTCTTCACACAAGTGTGATGATATAAGCTGATAAGTCTAAACTATCCATGGAAAAATTGCAATAATTACTTTAAAAAACTATAAGTACATTCATGTAATACATCTCCTTTTTATGAGAGAGATAAGATTATAATATTATAATCAATTTGGCATGGCTCCAAGCAAAACCTTTCCAAGCAACACTTTTGAATATATTGAGAGGGCATTAATATCATTATAGGGCCATTTTCTTTTGAGAATTTACCAAGGAAAGCAGAAAGAACTTCAAAACTTTTATGAATATATAAAAATATTTTACCTTTAAGTATGTGTATTTAAAATGCTGAAATATTGACTTCAAATATGTATATGATATACAATATGGGATAGGAGTTTATCACTTTGTATATATATATTCAAGGGTCATGAAAAGTGAATGAGTTAGTAGGAGTTAAAGCAAATAAATGTATACCAAGAGCATTAGTAATACTAATCCAATGTTATGTAGTCAACTTACAAGAGAATAAAGGTAGATGAAGTTAGAGATAATTTAAATTTTAGCCACTCTTCCTATGATTCTTTTACATTCAACAACTTATTTTCAAATTAAATACTAAAAAAATATTTTTATACCTCAAAAGAAAATAGAGAGAGAAAAATATCTATATAAAGAAAAATCTTCTCTACAATCATTTCTACTATGAATCTTTAAGACATTGTTGTACTTTCTTCAAATAAAAATATTAAGTTATTACTTAGTTTTAATGAATTTTTTTGTGAATATGGGTGGATTCTTGATGTTGTGGCTAGTGCAATCAATTGCCTCAATTGCAAGCAAGATTTTCTACGCTTCTTTCCATTTTCATAAAGCATGTTGTTCATAATTGATTTTTTTTTAGACTTAAATAATTAATTATAATCACCTAAAGCAAGCATTTTGGTAGTAGAGTCTAAAGGATTAACAAGGTTTTTAATTTGTTAAGAATAAAACCTTAATTATAAAGTTTTTCTACCAACTATCATTTATAATTAAACTATAGCTTTAGAAACTCTATTTAATCTTTTATTTCCTCTTCAAATTTAAGTTTAAAACTTCTCACTTAACTAAACTAATTCTTTATAAAAACTCTTTTATTTCTTTTACAAATTTCTTTTTCATTGTTGATAAAGTTATTTTTTAACTTATAGTTTTAGTGCTCGTCACTCTGTAAATCGTAAGATATTTCGCTTTGCCGATCCTCCACACTTTGTCTAGATGCTTATCTTGATGCCCGATTATGCTGCATGTGAGGACAATAAGAAGGCCAAGTTTACTGGACAGTATATATTGTGCTTGTTTCTTTTAATATTTTATTTACTTCTTGTTTTGGATTTTCCTAATCAAATTCACACTCATTTGTTATTTTTTAATATATATATATATTAATGTAAATCCAAAGCCACCATAACTTATAGAAACATTTATAGACTTTTAACAAAATTGTTATTTTATAGTGTTACTTATCAAGTTCTTTTGAAATAAATTACTAAAAAGGAAAGTACTGTTATGGTTGACAATATTAATCTTTTGTAAAAAGTCTTTTAATAAAGCAAGAGGTATTATTTCTAACAAGCACACCATTTATTAAATATAATATATTTAATGAATTAACTAAAACATTTGTTATAGCACATAATAAAAAAGAATTTCCCTCACAACTTAAGTATTTAGATAATAGAAAAAAGATGAATCTAGCTAACTTCTCATAAATAAAAGTTTTAATTTTAGTTTTAAAAATATATTTTATAAAAGCACAGTAAATGTTTCAAACTATTATAGTTATGATAATATAAAAATTTGAGGAGTTTTTTGAGATCAATTTATAAAGCCTTTTTAAAAATTGTTATTGATGAAGATAATTTTCTAAAGATACCTAGAATTTAAGTGAAATATTTTGTAAATAAAAAAATAAAAAATGAAACTTTACAAAATGAAACATTAATACCAATGTTTAAGCTTTTACATGTTTATAATAGTATAGTAGATGGAGAGAAGTTGATTGATATGTTTTTATATTTGTAGAGCTTGAGATAGCAAAAAGCATTATAATATCCCATTTAAGTAAGAATTTATTTCTCTCAAAAACAAACTAGCAAGATGTTTATAATAATTATTCAAGTATGCAACTATAAACACAATCTAATATGATAAAAAAAAGTGAATAAAGCTATTCTTTATCAAGCAATAAATAAATATTAGAAAAATTAAGATTAATATACAGGACAAGTGTTGAAGGTCTAAAAAAATTTATTTTAATACTATACTCTTTAATAATATTATAAGTGTTATAAATTTAAGTTGGCAACATAACGGAATATATATTTTAAATAATAAGGATGTTGAGTATATGGAGTGCTTTTGTGCCACTAGGGCAATGCTTATGGAGTGGCCAACCACTTATAGTCTACTCTAAAGGTATAGTTCATCAACTTTTGATAATTAACTAATAACTAATTTTAGATCATATAAACATAAAAATAAAATCTAATAATTTTAGAATAATATAAAGTTTATATATACACCAAAAAGTGAGTTTTTAAAATTTAGTTAATCTCATTGGGTCACTAAATAATAATTTTATAAGATTTTTCATGGGTATGTTCTTCATGTTTGAGTTAGTAAGTTTGAAAAGGAAATAGAAATAAATACATATCGAGGTTGCTGAAAAATTATCTTCCTTTGGGTGGAGGTTTTGTCTCAAGATAGGAAATGAAACTTTGTGATATTCTTTTAATCTATTTGAGAACTAGCAACAAAATTCAAGATTTATGAATCTGCAAAGTGCAGAAATTTATTTCAAGTTGGTTAAAAAGCATTAAAAGCATAGAAGTTTTAATCTTAACAATTAAAAGATAAGAAGCTAAATATTTTCTACCCATTGCCCTAGATCTTCCCCTATTAAATGTAAGGAGGGCATTTATAGAAAATCATAAAGGTGCTTTGATAATCTTAATAAACACCTTATGGACGTTATCAACCATGCCAACCAACCACAAAAGCATAGCATTTAAAATTAGTCTTCAGATGCCAATTTCCGTTAAATGCATGGTGAGCAGAAGCTTGAGTGATTATCTTGGTAGTAAACATAACTTCTTTTTTTTTCCTTCAAATCCTAGCACCTCACGCTAAATCAAATGAAATCCAGATCTGGGAGTCTGGCATAAATTGAGACAAAACTACATGCTATGCTCCTTTACCATCTAATCAATCTATACCAACCAAAAGAAACATCCTTAAAGCTTTGGTTATGTTTGGGAAGATGTCAAAAGGTTGCTGTTTCCACAAATCTTCCAGTACTGGGATTATTTGTGGGATTTGTGGATAGTTTATTACATTACATTACATTAACTCCCATAAATAGCCAATTCCTTGACTGAACTGGAATGGCGTTGTTTATCTCTGCTTACTGCACATTAGTGAAGTATATAAGAATTTACCGGTGCAGTAACAATTGCTGGTGTCTCATGCATGACCCATTCTATAAAAACGGCAGCTGTGGGGGTTTCTCAATCGTGTTATCGATAGTTTTCTTTCACTTTTTTGTTTGATCTCTAGCAATGGCCACCGCTGCTGCTGGAGCTGCTATCACGGCCACCGGCGACTGTACTGCTGGATGTGCTTGTGGGAATCCATGCCCATGCGGAGATCATTGCAAGTAAGAGATATCTTTGTGTTTCTAGAACTGTTGATCTATCAACAAATCCCTTAATCACAGATGTGGAGCAATGGGTAGTGTTGCTGGAAGAACGTAAGTTTCTGTTATGGATCCTTTTCTTTCCAATATATACATTATGCTAGTTTTGCAACTCTTTTGATCATGTGCTAGTGGCCACGACGGAGTTTTCTGCGAATGCGGTGCAAATTGCAAGTGTGAGACATGCGCCTGTGCCAAGAAAACTGCCTCAGGCGAGCCCTTCTGCAAGTGTGGCTGGACATGCAGTTGTGAGACTTGCTCTTGCCCCAAGCCCGTGCAAGGTTGATGGATCAAGGAAGAAAATTCTTGCAATTTTTAGCTCAATAATGATTTGATTTGCAATTGTTCTGCGTAGACATATTGTGGTTCAAACTCTGGTCAAAATGATGCCAAGCAAATGCTTCCTCATCTGTCTTATATTTAATTGACTGGAATATAGGAATAATAAAAGTGAAGTATTTTTCGTCATGAACGGCTTTTCCTCATCATATGAGTTGTAGTCTTTATCGAGACAAATCGGGGCAGTGGAACTTTGAGTGGTCTATCTGTATTAAATTCCTCCTTTTTTTGGTCTACATTGGAAAGTAAAGAGACTTCGGTTTTGGAGTTTTGGAGCTGTGATCAGGGTGGCCGTGGATCAACCTGGGAAAGTTATATCCTCGTCCACTTTGACAGTGTTCCAAGCCCCAAGGTCCGTTGCTCTCCACCGTTTTGGACGTGATGGTTCTTGCAGCGACAGATGAATCCTCGCTCCATGTATTTATGAGTTGTAGTTTGTCGAAAAAAAAAAAAAAAAAAAAAAAAGTAGAAACACACAGTTCAAAGAAACTCGTGCATCTCCACGTACCACTGCCACAATTCAACCACTTGAAAATTGGTTTCTTCGTCGGCTATGTTGTGTTTCAGATGTCCGAGGGAGCTTTGGCCGACTGTGGCTCCTCCCAAGCTTCAACAAAGGCCAGATTGGTGATACATGGTTGTGGTTCAAATTCCGGTCAAAACGATGCCAGAATGGGAATAGGAATAAGTATTTTTCGTATTTCGTGAAGTATTTATTATTATTCTAGTCAATTAAATATAAGACAAATGAGACTGTGGCTCCTCCCAAGCTTCAGCAAAGAGATTGGTGATACATGCACTGCTGACGTGAGTACTTGTGCATATTCAGCCCAGTGCCACTAGCTGCATGCATTTTATAGTGGAATTCCTTGTTCATTGGTGAAAGTCGCTGGAGGAGGAATTCTTTTTGTTAAAATTGTTGTAAAATTGTAATCACCAATTTGGAGCAGTCCAGTGCTCCAATTCCTGAGTCGGCCAAGAACAAAGCGACAAGTGAAAGCTCTCTTGGACATATGAAGCACCACATAATTAACAAAGAAGGTGGTGATTTTATTGAGCCAAACAGACTTTAGCGGCATAAAAAAGGCTCAATCCACGCTTCACGAGCAAAAATAATAGCTTCCTCTTGGTGAGCACTCTGGACCACATTTGCCTTTTCTTCGCGAATATTGAGCATGCGCGATAGAACACGTAGAGGAATGCCTCTGTAAACCGAATTTCTCCTCGACAAGTAAGAGATCATAGGCCTAAACACACACTAAAAAAGAAAGTTAAAAAAAACTATGGAGAGTTTTGGATACCTGTGGGATGTGACGAATGTGATGTAATGGAAGCTCTCCTCGCTGGAAGGATAGAAAGCTGGAACGACAACGAGCGACCCTTGTTCCAGTTCTGCGTCGAGAACTCTCTCGCCACTGGGATCCACGACCTCGATCCTTCCTCGTCCATGAACGACGTAGAGGATCTGATGGCTACCATGGAACCAATTTGGAGCGACCATGGCTCCCTGGAAAAAACTAGTATTAACTCACAGAAGATGGAGGTCTCTACCTTACACTCCATACCAAGTCCCAAGGTTCGTAGAATAGGAAGCTTGTAGCTGCTGAGCTCTCGGATCTCTCCACCGTTTTGGACGCGAACGTCGGGATGGATCTCGATCGATCGAAAGCGTTGGTGGCATCTGGGAAAGTTATGTCCTCGTCCACTTTGACAATGCCAACACCGCTTTGGCCCTCCAAGACGTCTCGAACGCTGCTCTTGTCCAGCTCCCAGGCCCGTGAAAGAACTCCCGAGCTGAAGCCATGGATCAGAGCTCCAAAACCAAATCCTCTCTGGCTTTGCTCGTCCGGCTTTCCTCCGGCCAGAAGGAATGGCTGCCAAGTAGAAAAAAAAAAAGCTTCTCTACAAGAACGATGGCGGAAAAAGAGAGGTTTTTACCTTTGTGTGACGATTGTCAGCCAGATGTGCGACTCCCATGATTTCCAGCTCCTGGTCTCCGCCGTTGTACCACCACAAAGCAACTCCTTGCGGAACTGCGACAACATCTCCTCTCTCTCCCGTGTCTTACGATCAACAAGAGAGGTGAGAATCCCAACAAGTCCACCACCTATCGTTTGAGAACCATAGAACCAACCTTACGAAAGCTTAGCGAAGAACAAGGAGAAAGTTTGAGAACTATAGCTATACCTCAAGTGACAATGTGGAGCAGGGAAGAGTAGAGATAGAATGGAAGCAAGAGACCCCTACGCTTGAGCATCGTCCGGCCAGCCACAACTCCGAGCTCTTCGAAAACTCCGGAGACTTCCCAGACTTCCAATTTTCCACCGTCGGATTTGAGCGCCTGCGGCCTCAAATCGCTCCATGGACGACGCGATGAGCGCGAGAAAAAATGCGAGAAATCCTCTCAGTGATCTCATATCTTTTGGATGATCGAGAGAGCGAAGGCTTCCTGGCTTTGGCGCTGTGATGGATCCTCGCTCCATGGATTTATAAGCTGGGAGAATTCGTGCATGGAGGTAGCGTGCCTGCAAAAGTTTTCACAGAAAGAGGGAAATGACACTGCTCCACTGCTCCGCCATGGCAGCTCCTGGGCGATCGTTTGCCCTAATCTCTGGGCGCTAGCCCTAAAAACCGGGGCATACTGTTCTTCTCTCCAAGATGCCCTTCACGGGCATGAGGCAGCGCGGTAGGGTTCTTACTGGACAGCGCACTCGATCTGGAAGCTAGGGTTTCCATGACGCCTTGATCCACACGCCGCATTCTTCCTGGATCGGCGCCACTCCCAGGTTCGCAAACTTCTCTAGATCTGAGGCGTGCGCGGCCCGTGCAGTGGGAAAATCCGATCGATGACCGCTCGTGCATAGCCAGGATCGATCGATCGACTCGCCCGCCCTAAGATCTCCAGGATGGAGGAGGGAAATCCTCAAGAGATCGCGGTGGCCGGCCCAAGCCGCGATCGCCCGGCGGATTTCTCCGTGCCGCGCAAGAAGCGCGCGATGAAGAGCCAGCCCCGGCAAATGCAGAGCAGCATCGACGTCCTGGCGGAGGTACTGGCGGAGCGATGCGGCGATGCCGAGGGGGCGGTGTGCGAGTCCGAGGAGATCGAGGAGGACGATGGCTGTGGTGGCGAGGACGAAGAGGGCGGCAGCGAGGACACCAATCCCGACGATAGCATCGCCCGCGAGCGTCGGAGTAGCGGCCTGGACAAGGATCGAGGAGGAGGAGCAAAGAAGCGGGGCATGGAGCCTTACAAGTTCACGCGCTGTAAGCTCAAGAACCGGCACTTCCTCCGCGAGGGACAGGGGCTGGCGATGATCCGGAGCCTTGGGCTCGAGCAGTTCTTGCTCCACACCGAGGTTCCCAGATTCAACAAGAGCTACTGCACGGACTTCATCACGACTTACAGCCACCACAAAGGTGCCGGGGTGGTGAATGGCCGGCTCATCAAGATCACTGCGCAGGCCGTGAGGAAGCTCACGGGTCTACCTCTTGGAACCCGAGGCGAGCGGGCCATCGTTCACGACGTCCGGGCGGAGGATCTTCCAGTGATGGACAGGCTCATTCCGGGGCTCAAACGGACGAGCTATGGATACGACTTGCGGTATCTGCGATACAAGGACCAGACCGAGACGTTCGTGGCAGTGGCGAGTGCTCTGTCCGAGAAGCTGGTCTGCCGGACTTTCAAGCTGACTTACATCAAGGGGGCGATCATCCTGGCCATGGAGACGTCGCTGCGGCTCAAGGTGCTCATGCAGTGGGCCGACTTCATGGCCGAGACGATCAAGAACGCGATCAAGCTGACGAAGCTGAGGACGAGGAACGTGAGGTTTGCGTTTGGGGAGTGGCTGACGGGGATGATCGAGAACGCTCTCGGGGAGGAGCTGGAAGGGGAGAAGGGAACCGGACTGGTGGAGAACGGGTGCAGCGACTCCCAGGGTGAGATGAAGTTCCAGGAGAAGGAGGAGCCGATGGAAAACGACGTTGCTTTGCTACTCATGGCGGCAGCTCCAGCTTTAGCCCCAGCTCCAGAGAGTGTGGTTGCGATCGAAGCTCCACAGCAGCAGCAGGAAACGCTGCCGCTCGTCGCTCTAACGCCTCACAAGATCAAGAAGCGCGTGAGAACAGCGATGCCAACCACGACGGCGTGCGGCAGCGACTCTACGAGCGAGGAAGTGAAACGTCTCCAGCAGCAGCTAGCCGACGCCGAGAGACGCGAGCGATGGTACGTGACGATGAATCTCAGCATGGCCCGCGAGCTGGAGAGGCTGAGGCTGGAGCTGGAGTCGGTCAAAGGCGGGCAGAGCGCGGCGCTGGCCGTGAAAGACGCGGCGGAGCCGAGGGAGCCAGCGGAGGAAAGCAAGGAAATGCCACTGGCTCTCAGGAGCTCCACGCCGAGGAACGGAGAGGAGGCACAGATCGACAGGGTCATCGAGAGCCTGGAGAAGAAGAGCGCTGTCCACGAGCAGGAGGTATCACGGCTCAAGCAGGAGCTGGAGGAGCAAAGAAAACTCATCGAGCTGGTCAAGAGGAGCCGGGGGATTCCACTGGAGGCGATCGATCGACGCGAGCAAAAGCGATTGCGTCGCGACTTGGAGAAGGACAAAGCCAAGACGAATCCATCCTAGTGTAAAAAGTAAGTTCTTTCCTTCCTTTCCATTGACACCATCTTTGCTTTTACCACTCGACACCATCTTCGTTTTTCCCATTGACACCATCTTTGTTCTTCCAGATTAGCATTCGTGGATTAGATTGACGACCATCGGCTAACTTGCGGCGGAAAGAGGAAGAAAAAAGAAAGAAGAAAGCAAGTTGTGATAGCGAGACAAAAGGTACTATATGTTTGGTCCCATTCGGTGTGTCATATTAATACAGTGGTTGGAATTTTACAGATCAGGCAGCCAAGATCTCTACTCTCTTTGTCTTCCTTGACGGCGAGCAATCGAATCTAAATCTGATATTGGTGGTGGTGGTGGTGGTGGCGGTGGAACACCGCGCCTTGGAATGACGCAGGCATTGAGCTGTGAAGGCTGTCGTCACACTTGAGCCGCACGGAAAGTTCCCCCTCGTGATCGCTGCCCGTGTGATGCTGCTCGTCGTCGTCACCGCCACCAAATTCTGGATGGTGGTGATGGTGATCCTCCTCCTCCACACGCAAGCCCGGCCGGATCCCGGCGGCGGCGGCGCCGCTGCCACCGACGAATCCCGCCGCCTGGCCTTTCTCGTGAGCCGCTTGCTGGAGTGCCTGGAGCTGCTTGAGAGTGGCGAGCGTGTCCACGTTGTACGGCGGGGCGCCGCCACCGCTGCTGCCGCTACTCCTGGTACGGAGGAGAGGTAGAGTGGAGGAGGACCTTTGGTGGTGGTGGATTTGCATGGTGCCGCCAAAGGTGGCACCCTCGTAGGCCTGGAACGAAGCAATCGGGAATGGCTCGGGCGTGACGCCGCTCAATCGCTTGAGATAGAGACGATACTTCTACACAGGGAAGAAGACAGAGCGTTGGAAAAGAGAGAAAGAACAAACTGGTAATGCGATTACCTGGAGGTGACTGGCGACGTTCTCTCTCGTGAGCCCCTGGATGTTCATCACTTCGAGAATCCTCTTTGGCACGGCCTCTATGACAAGAAACTTAGAATGTGAGCTCTCGAGATCGAAGAAAACAAGAAGTAACTTACTTTCGATTCCTATGTGGTTGATGGCCTTGACGAACTGCTGGTGGAGGTCGAATGACCACACCACCCTCGCCTTCTTGTTGCTGGCGATGCTCCTCACGCTCTCGTCGCCGCCACCGCCGCCAAAGTCGCAGCTCGGACGCTTCTTCTTTCGCAGGAGGCGGAGGTCAACGTCGGCCTCCTCGGAGGAATCCGTGGGGGTTGACCTCATGAAGTCCTCCCACTCCTCGGGAGCTTCGTCTCGGACAGCCGAGTCCTTGGTACGCCGCCGGACGACATGCTGCCAGATGTTCCGTAGCTCCTCGATCCTCACGGGCTTCACCAGGTAATCGCAGGCTCCATACACGACGCCCTTCATCACCGCGTCCGTCTCGCCGCTGGCGGACATCACTGTTGCAAGGAAACAAAAGAGTGTGAGTGTGAGCGTCACCATTAGAATCTTTGTTGCTTTCTTCTCTCTTCTGTTTTGTTTCTACGGGTTTGCCGTAGCTGTCCCGGGTTTGTTTCGTCCTGGGCGAAAGCATTAAAGAGGGAGAGAAGACTTACTGATAACGGGGATCCCCATCTCCAAGCCAATGAGCTCCAGCAGCTTGAAACCGTCCATGTCAGGCATATGAACGTCGCTGATTACTACGTCGAATGATTCTTTCCTCTCCCGGAGGATTGTCAAGGCTGCTGTCGCACGGCTGCAAGTTGTAACTGCGAGAGAAACCACACTCCAAGTCAGAAAGAAAGAACCACGAGACAACAGGCAAGAGGTACATCCCAGCGAACTTTTACTTGGAAAAAGATAAACTCCAAGACAGAGTATCTAGCAGCAGCCAAAACATTTTGAGAGTCAAGCAGCACACAGGAAAAAAAGCTTTTAAGAGTCAAGCAGCAAAGAGCTTCAAGAAGAACAAGCAATGACTTTCGAGTGGATTGAAAAGAATTGGAGTGAAAGCTTACCAGCATACTTGCATTCTCGCAGCATTCGCTCTAGCAGAGTGAGGCAGCAAGGATCATCGTCCACGACTAACACCTTGAGACCTGTGGGCGAGAAGTGATCCATTTAGCGCATAAAAGTTATCCTGCGAAAAGAATAAAAAATCTGGATGAAACAGTGCTTGGCAAAGGAAGGATGGAGCTCGAGCTCCACAGAAGAAGAAGAAGGAGAAGAAGAAAGTCTCTGACACACAAGAACGATCGAGCTCCAAACGAAAGAAAGAAATCTCAAGGCGCAAGGATTGAAGAGAAGAAAGAAGAAGAAACATGATCGAAATATCGCCGGGCGAGGGCTAGGGATTGCGATCGAGCTCATCCCCGATCGAAATATCGCCCCGCGAGGCTCCGGAGCATCGAGAGGAGGGATTGGAGAGCGAAGAACACAAGTACCTGGCCTGGCCGCTGGACAAACGATGCCAAGATCCTCCCGCCGACACAAATTTACGCGATCGCGAGAGGCGCGAGATCAGATATTCTCATGGAAAGTTCACACGCGCCGTGACGCTCCACTCGCGGCCTGCATTCGCCATTTGCCTGCCCGGCGCCTGCGCAGCGCGCTCGATCCGATTATCCCACTTGACGCGGAAGAACAAAAGGGAAAAAAAAATTAAACGCAAAGTCCAGTTGTCCATTTTTGTCGAATCGGCCATGGCCCATGTACGAAGACTTCCATGCTGCCACGTGGCATATTGCTACTGGCTCGCAGCAAGAACGTTTGAACAATGCCAATTGTCAAATTGTGTGCGCCCGTGTGTCTTGGTACATCTTCTCTCTCGCTCTTCGTTGGGTGACCTAAAAATTGTATGGGCACGCGCGTAAACCAGGCTTTACCTTATCAAATTCGGGTGGAACACGCAACGCAGCAACACCGCCTCAATTTCAAAGAGATTAAACATGTAACAACACACGAGAAAGACTTTGGGCGATTGAATGCTCCAACTTGCAATGCCAGAGAGACGCGATGGAAGAAAAAAAAGAAAAAAAAAAAAAGAAAGAAAGAAAAAGAGAGGAAAGAAAAGATAATCGAAAAGACCCTTCCGGTTAGTTTGCTGGATTTCCACTGCTACAACTGTTGGTGGTGGTGGAACCCTCTTTTTCCTCTTTTTCTTTCCTCCGCCACCTTTTTTCGCTACCCTAAGATCATTGTCAACTAACCAGATAGATTTGCTCCCTGACGTGACATGGAGTGTTCCAAGCCACACAATGCGGGGCGCAACTTGGATGCCCAAGCAAAAAGCCTGAAAAGATCTTTGGCTCGCCAACTTTGTTTGATTGCTATTCGCGCACTAGATTTGTTTGACAATCGCTCAATCGAATATCCTCTTACCAAATGAAAAGCTATGCTTTTATTTTTTTTATTGTGCCAAAGGAACCCATTCTAGCTCGAGCTGGACCTCGCCGCTCTCGACGTTCTGGAGCTTTACAGCCAAATCCTGCTTTATTTGACCCCCGACTAATCTAATCACGCTGTCACTTACAAGCGCGTTCTCGGCCGTGGCCAGGCATCTCCCTATTTGGACTTCTCCCGGATCATCGATTTGGTCTTCCATCGCTTCCTCTAAAACGCTCGCCGCCGCTACGATCGGCTGTAAATCCACCTCCACTTCTCCCATAATATCGTCCGCCGAGAACTTGTCATAGTCGAAAACTTGCTGTGACATAAAACGCGAAGAGAAGATCACTCCTGTCACAAAAGGTTTGAAGAAACTTACGAGCTTGAGTGGAACAGGAGGCCCGCTTGGAACCGATAACATGATCTCTTCGTCCCAGACTGGATTTAAGTTGCTGTTCACAACCTTGGTTTTAGCCGTCTATCGGAAACAAGAGTTTTATGAGAGCAAAGAACGAAGGAGAGTAGTACCTGATGGCCCAAGTTCAGTACCACGTAAGGATCACTCGTGAGAATGTCTCTTACGGCCAAGTTCGTCCCTTTGACAACTCGCACTTTGAGCAAACCGAGGAACTCAACCATGGCAGCCTGAAATAAAAACGCAAGCTTACTCGTGAGGAAACTTGGCAAGGCTCAATCAAAGCGCACAGACTGATTTAGATGGAGAGTTTTTGGATGTCTTCTTTCGGGACAGGAGATGCCGCATGGAAGATCGACGAGAGGTTGAGGAAGGGCGCTCTTCCTCTTGTCTAAACGACTGCCTGTAATGGGAAGAATGGTTTGTGGAATTCAAGCGGAGTGTGGGCTTCACAAAGTCTTGGTACTCGTATTTTCTCCTGAGAAAGAATGGAAAGAAGTGTGAGACAGTCTAAGAAAGAATGCAATAGTCTTACACTATCCATTCCCTTCGCTCCTCCATAGTCGAATCTGGACATGGCTTCCGGCTTCCAGCGGGCAAATGGGCCTCGTAGATTGCATTCGCTGCCGCATTTCCTCCAACTTCAGCCATCACAGAGACCTGTTCGTCTGTCCATTCATCCAACGAGGTCGACATCACCTATTAGAACAAAAGAAAGGGAAGAAAGCAAAGAAAGTTGGAGAGAATCACTGTCAAAAGAGAGGAAATAAGAGAGGACAGTACCTTAGAAATATGAACGCCAAGGCTGCGATGGATCCCAGAGCATTGTATGCACACAAAAACCCCCAAATTCGCAGATCTGCTCGATTTCACAGCTCAGAGATGACGGCGCTAGCTCAGAAAATCACTTACGCCCATTTCGGATCGGCAGCTCCACAGTCGGCGCACACGCGATTGTCCCGCTGCGCCAAAAGCCTCTTGAGCCCCTGCATTTGATGCTCAAGAACCCTAAAACCCCGACAAAAAAGTTTTAAGAACCCTAAAGTATGCCGGTATATTCACTTTTTAAAAAAGAATCCGTTGACCATCTAAAGTAGCGCGTTTGATAGCAGCACATAGCCCGCGGCATTTTGGGGCTCGATTTCCAGGATTTGCTTGGCTGCATCGATCCCACGGCGTGGATCGCGCTGGAATCTATAGCCGGATAATAAAGATTCCCACGCGGCGGCGGTGCCGGCGGTGGGCATTCGTTGGATCATTTCCATCGCGGCTTTGAGCTGCCCTAATCGCCCCAGCGCCGAGACGATGCACGAATAGTGGTCTTGGGTTGGGACGATGCCATAGTCGATTTCCATGGAGGCCAAATAGGCGTAAATTTCGGCCACCTGGCCCAAATGCGCGCACGCCACGAACACGCCCAGAAAAGTTACGTCGTTGGGGTGTACGGCATCCATGGCCATGGTCTGGAAGCTCTCAATGGCTGTAAGGCCGTACCCTAAATGGGCATACACTGTGACTAGCGCCGTACAAGAGACCACGTCTCTCTCTGGCATTGTGTCAAAGAGTTTTTTGGAAATGGGTATATGCCCGGCTTGGGCATATGCTGATACCATTCGATTCCAGGAGACTAGATCTCGCTCTGGGAATCTTTCGAAAAGAGCTTTCGCGAGAACAAATTCAAAGTTGCCTAGAAAACCACACAAAAGAGCTGTGAAGGTTATTATGCTTTGGACGGGCATCTTAACAAAGATTCTTCTTGCGGCATCTAAATGCCCATGTTGGGTATATGCGATGATCATGGTAGTCCATGAAATAACGTCCCACTCGGGCATTTGGTCAAATATTCGTTTCGATTCCTCCAAATTTCCGGACTTCGAGCTTGCCACAAGCATTGCATTCAAAGTTGCGAGATTTTTCTCTCGCGATGCTTTAAACACCATAGCCGCATTTTCCAAATCACCATGGTCAGCATAAGCTTGAATCATGGTGTTCCAAGAGATTAAATTCCTCTCCGGCATTCTATCAAAAAATTCACGCGCCACCGTTGTATCACTCGCGCTCGCTTGAACGATCGCGTTCCAAGCGACCAAATCGTGGCCAGACATCGCTCTAAAGATTCCCCTAGCCTCTTCCACTCGTCCGTGCTGTCCGTACCCGTTAATCACGACCGTCCACGAGACCACATTGAGCGAAACCAACGGCCGATCCAGCATCTCTCTCGCGAGGTCCATTTGCCCTGCTAGGGCATATGCTGTGATGAGAGAGTTCCATCCTACTGGATCTTTCTCGGGCGAACGATCGAGCAAAAGCTTTGCTCGATCGAAGCTCCCGTGCTGCGCGTAGCCTTGGATCAAGGTATTGATCGTCACTGCGTTGTGCTCTGGCATTCGATCGAAGAGATCCTGCGCCCCTTCCAGATGCCCATGAAGAACAAACGCCTGGAGCATCGCGTTCCAGGCGATGAGATCCTTCTCTTCAATCCCCAAGAACAAGCTCCAGGCCTTGCGGAGATGCCCCAATCTGGCAATCGCGACGATCGCGCTCGTGATGAGCACGGTGTCGAGGAGTGGGATCCGGCGCAGCAGCTCCATGGCCGGATCCACGAGATCTCTCGCGAGGAAGGCCTCGATCATAGCAGCCCACGAGAAGAAATCCCGGTCGGGCATGCGATCGAAGAGATCCTTGGCTTCGATCACTCGCCCAGCGCGGGAGTAGGCCTCGATCATGGAATTCCACGACACGGTGTTGCGCTCCTCCATCCTGGCGAAGAGATCGATCGCGTCGCCCAGCTCCCCAGCCTCAGCGAGCGCCCGGAGCATCGAATTCCACGATTGAATCGTTCGGATCGTCGCGGGCATCCGCTGGAATGCCGCTCGCGCGAGATCCAGGCGCCCGTGCTGCGCGTAAGCGGCGATCATTGTGTTCCAGGAGAACACATTTGGGCGATCCAACGCCGCGAATGCGCGGGTCGCGCGATCCAAGCTCCCGCATCTGGCGAAGGCGCGGATCACCAGATTGGCGAGGAAGATGTTCCGGGAGTGCCCGCTGCTGTGGATCTCATCCTGGATCTCGCTGACCCTGGCGAGATCCCGGGATTTCTCGCAGGATCGCAGGAGGGTGGCATAGAACTGGACGTCTTCCATGGCTGGATAGATAGATAAGAACTTCTTGGAAGAACTTAGATCTTCCATTAGATCTTCCATTACTTGCGACTTCCAGCATTGAGCCAAGCATCAATGGAGCTGGCGCGTCCAGAGAAGAACTCGTGAGACAACGCCTGGGACGCCGACAGCCGCGAGGCTGGATCGTAGACCAAGAGCTTCTCGATCAAGCGCAGCGCCTCTCCGGACGCTCGCGGCAAAATCCTGGCCAGAGTCACTGGCGGGCGATCGTCGTTGAAGCAAATCTTGTCATAGTCGGGGAGGCTGGAGATCCCGGGCCAGATCGTCTCGTTTGGGACACCGAGAACTCTCACCACCCTGCTCAGCTGATCTATGTCGGAGGCTCCCGGGAAGAGTGGCTCGCCTTGGATCAACTCGCCGAGGATGCAACCCACGGCCCAGAGATCCACCGCAAAGTTGTAGCTCGTCGAACCGTAGAGGAGCTCCGGAGCTTTGTACCACCTCGTCCCCACGCAGTCGGTCATCTCTCCGCGGAAGTCATCGTTTCCCACCTGTGAAGAACACCACCACATCTTAGAACTCTGAGAGAGAGAGAAAGAGAGAACTTAGAACTGAGAGAAGGAACTTAGAATTTAAAACCGAGAGAGAACTTAGAACTTAAAACCGAGAGAGAGAGAGAGAGAGAACTTAGAACTGAGTGAGAGAGAAAGAGAACTTAGAACTTCGGAGAGAGAGAGAGAGACTCTCTACCTTGTACCAATCGGAATCCTTGTTGGAAGTTTTCTCCCACTCGCCATCGCTGTAGCGATCGTTCCTGTCTGATGATCTTCGAGCACCATCTTCTTCTTCCTCCGCATCGCTCACTCGAGGACTAACTTCGGTGCCGGAGTCTTCGATTTCCAGACGATCGTAGCTCTTGCTGCCTCGAATCTGTGCTGGAACCATCGTCTCCGGCTGCTGCTCTGACGATGTCGCGGCCGACTTGAGCTTGAAGCTCCCGCCCTGGAGCCATGCCTCGATCTCCTCACTGTCGAGTTTCTTGCCGCTGCCAAATCGATCGAACTCCGCTCCTCCCTTGAGCTTCTTCTTGCCGCTGGAAGAATCCTTCACCGCTTCCTCGACGTTCTCCACTGGCAGGACGAGCGCCGTGCCAAAGTCCGCCACCTTGAGCACGCCATCGCTGGAGATGAGAAGATTGGATGGCTTGAGATCCCTGTGCAAGATCCCAGCACTGTGGCACTCGGCCACGGCCTTGAGGATTTGCTCCATCCAGTTCCTGGCCTCGAATTCCTGGAAAGGGATCTCCTTGCGCTCCTCTATCACCTCCGCGAGAGAGCCCGGAAGAAATTCCAGCACCAGCAATACCCCGGGATGGAGCCAGACGTGATCCAAGAGCTGGACGACATGGCTGGAGTTTGTGAGGAGCTGGAGAGCGGCCAATTCGCGCGAGGAGCTCTTGCCGTCGTGGACTTCCTTGAGCGCGACGTGGAGGCCGTCGTCCCGGCGCTTGCCGTGGTAGACATCCGAGTAGGCGCCGGATCCAATGGGATCCAGCACCGCGTACCTGGCCAAGACCTCGCGATTCTCGTAGATGCTCCAGGAGCTCGCGAATCTGGCCGCGGCAGCGCCCTCCTCTTCCTCCTCACTCTCCATGAATCGATCGCTCCCTGGCGTCAGCCCTAATGTAGGTTCTAGGGCTTTAAACAAGAACAAAAGAATATACTTTAATATTCATAACTCTCAAGTTATAATCTATAAACACAAGATTAATTATTCCATGGTAGAATAAACTAAAATATACTGAAGATTTTATAAATTATAAACATGTTTAAAATTTAATAATATATGAGATGGTAGAATATTTTAAAATATTCAAGCATATTTTAGGTATATCCACTAGTTTTGCGTAAGAGATTCATTTTATTTATATATATAAATATATATTACATGTAGAATTCAGGACCTTGAGCTTATTGAGTTACTTCGAATAAACCTCCCACTCCCTGGTTCAACTTCCACTGAGTCAGAGACATGAGAAAGCATGCAATCGATTTGAGGGCTACAATCGTGAAGAGTCCACACTTTGCAAATGCGAATGCTTTAAGGGTGGTGTACGAATTCTCAACGAGATATATTATATAGTCCCGAAATTAGTTATTTTCTTTGATCTTTTTCTGATGGCAAGTAAGAACATTTTTGAGCTTCTGTGTTCTCTACGCAATTATGGGAATTACCAGTTTTCGTTTGGAAAAACGACAACTACACTCGTTTTAAACTAAGTACAATCAAACCAAAATTTAGATGTTCACTGAAACAGATGCTGGAGTTCCTGAGTGAACCTGCTGAGGCCTGACCAACTTCTAAACCTTTTACTTAGTTTACCTTAGCACCTCTCGAAAATTTTGTACAGATTTTCTAGACACGCGACCTGGCAGGGACGAACGCGCTTGAGCATCAGAATGGCGATGAGAATGGCGTACCTGGAGTGCAGTACCGTCAGTCGCCATCCTTACCGGTGGTTTTAGCAACAGCTTCATGGCTGGAAAGAGTACATGCTGAATCGTCCAGTCTCTCTGGGACCATTTGCTTTCTGCCTCCAAACCGACATCTTCGTCCATTTCGGTTTCATTACTTTCTGCGCAAACAGCTGTGACAAAACGATCGCAGAGGATAATAGTTTTCGTAGCTCTTACCCGGAGGATTGGTTGAAGGTCTCGGTAACAAGGGAGGATGAAGAGCGTAAAACTCCGAAAGCGCCCTTGCTACCGTTTCAAAGCACTCGTCCTCTACATCACAATCGACCTGCCAAAGTTTTGTTTCTTAAAAGTGCATAAGGTTCGCCTGTATCACGTACGCTTTTCGAAAGATGCAGAGCGAAAAGAGGGAGCCTGTCCATGTCCGGCGTATGCTGCTCCACGATCAAGGGAAGTGTGCAAACGTTTCCATTATCGTCAATGTCAATCGAGAAACACTCTCGCAAAAACTCAGCACGCTTTAAAATCTGGTTACAGTAAACCTGCGCAACACACGTCAGTAGGACATTAAGTTACAGATATTGCAAATCACCTGAGCTATTCCATCCTTAGATCCATCAGTAGCATGATAGTTCCCACACTGTTCCTCCTCGTCCAAAGCCATGACTATTAAGTCATACACTGGCGCAGGATTGGTGAGCCGGAGTGCATTTAGACGTCTAAGCCGGACGAGTGCCTGTTGGTACATCAACTCTTTGCTGAAAGCATGCATTTCGTTTGTTAGCATTCGTCCCATTGAAAAAAAACCTATTACCTTAGAGTCAAGCAGTTCATAAGATAAAGCCTCGTCTTATGTTGGATCAACGCCAAGACATCGTCCGCCATTCCAATAAACGTAGAGTGCCTTACGATTTCGAGCAGGCCTGTCAATATCAAATGAAAAACCAGCAAATGTGGTATTCCGTATGTACCTGAATGTGTCTCTGTATCGACAGCGGCAAGCATACGTTCGACTGCAGACGAACCAGAAGATGAGCCAGAAGTATCGTTGGAGTGCCGTCGTTGCCTTACAATTCGCCTGTTTCATCACTAGTTGTCTATCAAAAGATCATAGGACACGGAAGCCTTACCGCATGGCAGCTAAATCATTTTTAAGCTCCGCTCCACTGGCAAGGAAAGCATGCATTCGTCCGGCGGGGCTTTGCGAGTCCGTTCTCACAAGCTTATTAACAGGTGCCTTTTGAGAGCTTTTATCTGATAATTGTAAGAAAAGAGAAAGAAAGGAAAGACCAAGAACGTACTCTCTGCTTGACTCGCAGGCTGTCCTTGTGGCAGAAATGCCGCTTCAAGCGAAGTCTGGACGACAATACAACTCTAGTCACTTGCTTGTAAGACAAGAGTCGTACCTGAGCATAAAACGTCCGAGACTTGTTAGACTGCAAAAGTTCTTGTTCGACTGCTGTTTGGATTGCTTCTATAAGCGACTCTTGATTTAAAAAGCTCACCTGTTCAAATAAAAGATAATCAGTAGCTTCTTAGCGAGAAAAAACTTCTTAAACCTCTTTCTTTGTTGGATGAACATTGACATCAACATGCTCCGGAGGAAGGCGAATAGACATGTAAATGTACGGTTTTGATGCCTTTGGTAGAACAGCCGCATACACAACTTCGATTGCCCTCTTCAGCGGAGCACAGTCCACCAAACGATCTGAAATGGAGCAGCTACAAAGTCAACAACTTGATATTCAATCAAGTCCATACCGTTTATAAACAGAATCATGGTTGTTCTCTTGGCACTGTAGTTTGCACTCGAAATGTAACCGTTCATCTCAAAAAAGTCCGAGGAATCGTTCTTGGAGGTTTTGATTTCGATAAGTTCTCGAGAGGTCCCAGGTCCATAGACTGCTCGAATTGCTTCCAACGACGACGTGTTGCCAGGAGTTTGCACGTCTGCTCGTGCATCACCAAACTATGACAAACATGTGAATCGTTCGTCCCAAAAAACGACACTGAAACGAACCTTCTTACACGAAAATCCGACTTTCGGATTTTGGATCGAGTATTTGCTGATCACGTCAACAACGCGAGCATACTCGTCACTTGGGTTCTTGAAAGACTTTCTTCTAGCTGTGACATTGTAGAACAGATTTTCCACCTACAAAACACACAAAGTTGGAACAAGAAAAAAAGAAAGAAAGAAAAAACCCCTAGCAAAGCATACGAACCATTATTTGGGTTCCTTTCACAGCAGCGCAAGGCCGAGGATCGCCTTCCATCACTCCGTCCTTATACGAGGCTCTGAAATCCAAAAATCGAGAAATGTGAGCTTAAAGCTGCGTAAAGTTCACCTGTATCCATGAGTTTGGCCTTCAGTCATTGTAGTAACAGTGAGATGAGCTACGAAAGTCATACTCGCCAGAGCCTCCCCTCGGAAGCCCAGTGTGCTAACCTTTTGCAAATCCTCAAAGGCAGTGATTTTGGAGGTGGTGTGTCTCTCGCAGAGTATAGGAAGGTCTTCATACTGCAAGGAAACAGAAGAGGAAAATTCAATCGCAAACTTCGCTAAAACATCTCACATCTAGTCCAAATCGTCACAGCATTTCTTCAAGACTATGCTACACAAATCTCAAGCTACATTTTCTACCAGAAGGGAACTCTCGAAAATCTCTGGAATATCAAACAAACAACATACCCGGATCCCATGCCCATTGTCCGTGATCTGGATGAGCTTCAATCCCCCATCCTTGACGATGACCGAGACGACTGTGGCGCCGGCGTCCAGGCTATTCTCCAGGAGCTCCTTGAGAGCGGAAGCAGGGCGCTGGATCACCTCGCCCGCCGCGATCCTGTTGACGACGCTCTCCTCGAGCTTGCGGATTCTTGGCGGCAATGCCATATCCATCCCTTAAGCCCTAGAAACACACTGAACGGGAGATAAAAAAGCATTGAATTGTGGCGGAGTAGAAATAACCATTAGTAAAAGGCAATTAAAACAAATAAAACTCATAGTAGAGAAGGATGGTACAATATTAAAATTGTAAGGTTTTAATACAAATTATAAATTTAATTTTATTACTATTTAAACTTTTATTTTATGTATGAAAGACATATTACAGATAATTTATGTATTTTTATTATTTTGTTTTTAGTTTATGGGAATATTATATTTTCTGTGTAAAATATGAGAGAGTGTGTGATTGAATTTCTGCTCAGCTATTTTTTTGAGGGTATTATAGTTAACATCTGATTTATGACGGGTGAAATTAATAAAAAAATTTAAAACTCATGTATTTTATAAGTATGTATTAACATACTAAGAGCTCTTTTAGTAATATATAAAAAAATATTTATTATTGTTTAATAAAAATCTGAATTTATTTTTTTAATTGATTTATAAATATGAATAAATATGCTAAATTTCATGAGATTTTAGAATTACTTAAAAATTAAGCTACTTGCCTTTATAAATTTATTATTTAAATTATTTTGAATAAGATGATTTTTTAACATAAAAAGTATTATTTAATGATGATCTATATGACATATGTATTTTGGAGTATGATAAAAGTGGAAATCTATTTTGAGAAATTATTACAAAATAATTTTATCTTAGATATTTCAATTTAAATATAATTTTGTGAGGGCCAAGTGTATAGCTATGATGCCGTATACTAATATTAGCGTAATGGGATTTTGGTAGCTATCGGATTGGTTTCAATCCGGACCACTTGCTCCTGTATATAAATTAGAGTTTTTGGGTTAATTGATATGCACATTTCTATATTCCCTTTCTATATTCCAAACACTCACATTGGTGGAGGTGAGGGGCATCTTTGATTGCCCCTGAAGAGTGCTTGGATTTGGGATTTTGGTTTAAATTTAACTTTTGCATTATTTAGATCTAGTTTTTTCCATTTCCTTTCTTTTATTCTTTCTTTTTAGGATTTTGGTTTAGATCTAGCTTTTTGCATTGTTTAGATCTACCATTTCCTTCTAGCTTTTTGTCATTTCTCTTCTTTTGCTCTTTCTTTTTCATTCGTCTTTATGGCAGATCAACAATCTCCTCCTTTGACTCTAGAGCAGTAGTTGGTACAATTGCTTGATGCTATGCGCTTGAAATTGAACAACCAAACTCAATTGATGGCGGCGTTCACGGCACGTGGTACAACTCCTCTTGCTCTTGGTGCCAATCCTCGCGTTCGGCCGGAGTTCTTTCGCGGGAATTCTGGGGATGATGTGTACCATTGGCTCGATCACTTCACGGTGATTGCCACATATCATTTTTGGGATGATGCTTGACGTTTGCATGAGTTTCCCATGTGTCTCCAAGGGACGGCATTGCAGTGGTATAACAGTTTGAGCACAACCACTCGTGGGGATTGGAGCGTTCTCCAGGACGTCTTCAAATGCACCTTCAGACATGCCGATGACTGTGATGACGCCTTCTAACAATTGCATCGTCTTCGCCAAGGGCCATTTGAGTTGGTGATGCAATTTGGCATTCGTTTCCAAAGTCTTTTGCTTCGTGCGGAGCCAAATATGTCGAAGCGGATCAAGCTAGGAATATTGTGGCTAGCACTTCGTCAAGATCTTGTCAGACTTGTGCATGCACTTGCTCCCGCCACCCTTGACGATGCTCTTCGCTTAGCACAATGTTATGAGACATTGCCTCTTCCACTTCTCACTGCACATCCTTCAGCTCCACTTCCTATAGGTGATGGTCCTGTTCTAATGGAGATTGATGCTGCTGCTACTCGAGTCCAAGGACAAGGGCGAGGACATGGTCGTGGCCGTAATGTTCGCTACTGGGCGTGTGATGAAGTTGGTCATACTTATCGGCGTTGTCGGTGTTTTCCGGATTGGTGACCTCCATTTCCTGGGTGGAGACCTTGGCGTCAGCAACGTCCCATTGGTGCTGCTGCAGTGGACGGTTTGGACACCGAGATACATCCGGGAAATGAGGAGTTGCGCGAGTAACGGAGGGACCTTGCATGAATAAGTTAGTGACCCCTCCATCTTTCTTTTAGAAGTATCATCAAGGGGTTCACTCGGCACCAGTTCATCCAGTGTTTACTTTCCAAGCTCATTTCTCCTATTATTTTCTCCGTGTTGGTTGATACAAGTTTGAGTTTATCTTCTATTGCTCGACCTGTTGCCACACATTGCCGTTTACACTTGCGTCGTGCGGCAGAACTAATTTTCATTCTTTATGGCAACGGCCGTACACATGCATGTGCATGGGATGAGGTGGACTTGGTTGTGCATATGGGCGATCTCAAGCTTGAGTTGCAGTCATTGCGGGTGGTGCTAAGTCAAGCTTTTGACCTCATTCTTGGTATGGATTGGTTGCAGCGCAATCATGCTAAATGTGATTTTAAAGCGTCTCCCCCTTGTCTCATACTTCCTTATGTTTCATACATTCCTCTCACTTCTGTACCTCTTTGTCCCTATATTTCTACCTCTGCTTCCATTATTTTTGTTTCCCCACTATTTCCTCCTATGTTTCCATCTTGTTCTGCTCTTCCCTTTTCCAATCCCTCCGACGATCTTTGTGTTGCAGCGGTGGACCAGCTCATGAAGGAGTATTCTGATCTTTTTGAATTTGACCTATCGTCTGGGGCCAAGATTGCCACACGTCATCCAATTCCAACCGGGGATGCTCATCCAATCAAGGTTCCTGTTCGTCGTCGGTCACCCAAGGAGATCAAGATTTTACGTACAAATGTCAAGGAGATGTTGGAGAAGGGTGTTATTCGGAAGTCACGGAGTCCTTGGGTATGTGAACCTCATCTTATGATGAAGCCTGATAGGAGTATTCGTTTCTGCATCGACTATCATCTATTAAACGAAGTAACAATCCTAGATGTGTACCCTCTTCCTCACACTACTGATCTCTTGGATCGTCTGGGGCGAAGTCGTTGGTTCACCAAACTAGATCTTGCTTCTGGGTACTGGCAAGTACCGATGGCCGAAGAAAATATTCTTAAGACTGCTTTCTGTACACCATTTGGTTTGTATGAGTTCTTGGTGATGCCGTTTCGTTTGAATAATGCTCCAGCAACTTTCCAACAGATGATGGACAAGGTTCTTTGCGATATGCCGTAGGTGACTGTTGACTTCATTGATGATGTCTTGATCCACTCGGAGGGGATGTGGGAGGAACACATTCGTAATGTTTGTAAAGTGTTGGATCGGCTACGCGACGTTGGTTTAAAGCTGAAGCGGACAAAGTGCGTGTTTGGGTTCAAGGATACAATTTGTCTTGGGTACCATATTTCTCGTGAGGGTTTGCAAGTTGATCCTGACAAACTTGTGGCTGTTCTAAAGTTCCCTACTCCGAAGTGTGTGAATGATGTGCAGCGCTTCTTTGGCAAGGTGCAATATCTCGGTCGTTTTGTGGATCATCTTTCTGATCGCACTGCACCGTTGTGAGCGTTGCTGAAGTCATCAACATCATCTTTCATCTAGTCTCCGGATTGTGAGCAGGCGTTCGGGGATCTCAAAGAGCTGTTGACGACTCCTCCGGTTTTGGCATATCCTAACTACACTCGACTTTTTATTTTGCGCGTGGATGCTTCTGACATTGGTCTTGGAGGTGTGTTGATGCAAGAGAGCTCGAGTGTGCCTGGTCAGCGTCATCTCATTGCATATATAAGCCATACATTACAACCAACAGAAATGAACTACTCCACAACAGAGAAGGAGTGTTTAGTAGCAGTTTGGGGTTTTAAGAAACTTCATGCATATCTACATGGTTCTTGGACGTTACTTGAAGGTGATCATGCTACTATTATTTCATTATTGAAGCGGAAGAACCTGGTTGGTTGTACTTCTCGATGGGCTTTGAAGCTTCAGATATATGATTTTGATGTTGTTCATCACCCAGGGAGTTCTTTGGCTGATGCTGATGCCCTTTTTCGAGCTCCTCTTCCTTCTCCATTCTCTTCTCATGTTTCTGATGAGCCTATTGTTCCAGCCTCTATGGATTTTCTAGATGAGGATTCTGTGCCGTCGGCGGTTATTATACTTGACGTTCAGTGTCCATAAGGCGTAGAGCAAGATCTACCTTCTCTTGATGAGGTTCGCGAGGCTCAAAAGATTGAGCCGTGGATTCGACGGCTTTGAGATGGGTTGAGAATCCTGCATCACTTGCTGATGACTTGCCTTTCCGGCATTTACATTCTCAATATTGCCTTGAAGACAGCCTTCTTTATTTTATGAGGATGGATCCTGATAATCATTTACGACTGGTGGTGCCTTCTATCTTTATTCCATGGTTTCTCCATGCCTACCATGATTCTCTTGTTTTGGGTGGGCATATGGAACATTGTCGTGTAATTGAGAAGCTGCGCAGGTCTTTCTATTGGCCGAAGATGCGACGTGATATTATCCGGTATGTGCGTAACTACGTTTGGTGCCAAGCTTGTAATACTCCCCCTCAAGCTGTGGAAGGACAGTTGGAGTCAATTGCAGTTTCCCATCCGTTTGAGTTGGTAGTGTTTGATCTTATGGGACCTTTTCCACGGTCGACTGCTGGCAATGAGTATGTTATTGTTGCTTCTGACTACTTGACTCGTTGGGTGGAAGTTGGTGCTCTTGCTAGTGCCTCTACAACTGCTATTGGATACTTCCTCCTCAATCGAGTGGTGTTCCAACATTCTTGTTCAGAGTGGATTCTTTCGGATAATGGTCCCGCATTTATGGCTGAGGCATTTCATGTTTTGACGTCTCGGCTGGGGATACGCCACACTTTCACGAGTGTTTATCATCCACAACCAGACGGTCTGGTGGAACGGCTTGTTCGGACATTCAAGGGGATGATTGCGAAGTATGTGAACTTTCAGCATTCGGATTGGGATGGTTATTTGCCGTCTCTTCGGTATGCATATGTTACAGGGGTGCAGAGTTCTATTGGTGCTTCACTATATAAACTCCTATATGGTCATGATCTAATATTACCAACGAAGATGGGTCTACCTTTGCAATTGCCACGAGCTGCGGATGCTAGGTCGTGGGATTAGTATTTGACGAGCATTCTTCCACTTGTCCGAGCGGAGTCTACCGAATACTTAGGCAGCGTACAAGTGGGACAACAACGGTGGTACAACTCCCATCATTGTCCACCTGCGGAGTACAAAGTGGATGATTTGGTGTTAGTCCATTTTCCCCATCTTACGGTACATGGTTTATCTAAGGGGCTCCTTACACAGTGGAAAGGACCATATCAGGTGTTATAGCAAGTTGGACCACAAGTTTATGAGGTTTGGCATGATGTTCAACAGGCCGATCCTCCAGAGATTGTGCGTGCAGCAGTTGAAACGCTTCATACAAAGGGATTAGGAATAGTTAATACCACCTACAGATCTGCCGATGCCTCCTCCTGACATTCCTCTAGATCCTGGCCCATCTACAAGAGAACTATGACAGTCTTCCATTATTCCGAGAGGAGGGGATGATGTGAGGGCCAAGTGTATGGCTACAATGCCGTATACTAATATTAGCGTAGTGGGATTTTGGTAGCCGTTGGATTGGTTTCAATCCGGACCACTCACTCCTGTATATAAGCTAGGGTTTTTGGGCTAATTGATATACACATTTCTGTATTCCTTTTCCATATTCCAAGCACTCATAATTTGAAATATTTCCTTTTTTATTTTTGTTTTTATAAAAAAACATTATTTTAAAAATGTGTTAAAAAGTAAAGTATGAGATCTTGTGACATTTGAAAATATCATTACAACATCAACTTTATGATTAATATTTAGTTTTTAGGCATGTTAAATAAAAAATAAAAATAAAAATTTGTAATGAAAGTATATATATCATCATCATCATACTTTTACTAATTTTAGCAATTTTAAGTATATCTATTAATATTTAATCAGCACATATTTAATAACCAACATCAAAATACAATGCTTTATTAGTAATACTAAACATCAAAGTTTCCAAAATTACATAAAAAATTATTTTTAATATAGCCTTAAAAAATAAAATTTTACCTTTTGGATACCTTTGAACTCTGAAGGTATATTGAGGAATAAATCTTTTCTCAAAGAAAACTTAACTTGGATTAATTCCCTTGATAATTTCCATATTCAAACTCAGAGATGACAACAAGAGAATCCCCTCGTGAGAAGCACAGTGGGACATCTTTAGAAGCTGGATTGATCACCTATACACAAAATACTGCATGAGAAAACAAAAAGAACAAGAGAAGAAAAAACGAATCAGAGAGGAAGAACTTACTGTGCTATTGTGCATTCTATAGCCGATGGCAACTTCATCCCGGAAAACCGCTCGATCCGCAAGCTCCTGAAACGTTGGAGCCTCTCCGGATTTCATGTAGAGAGCGATATCCTAGAAAAATTTCCTTGGTGAGAACTTTTTATGCTTCGCTCAGTCTCTCACCTTGACATAGATTTCATTTCCCCAGGGATTGAGAAGCTCAGTCCATATATCATTTAGCTCCGTGTTCTCGGCCACTGTGGAATGGTGAAAACCAAAACAATTGAAAAATAGAAGAATTATAAAAAATAGAAATCGAAAAAAACACCTTGGGCTGTCACTAGTCCTATTAACTCGCTTGTTCCAATGAATGTCAAAGTGTCATGGCTTTTCACAACTTGTTTTCCAAGTTTTGTGTCTACAAGCTCTGCAACTAAGCTTGCAACCTAGTAAAGCAAAATGAGAAATAAAAAAGAAAGAACGATTTTCCACCTTGACTTTTAAATGGATGCAAACAGATTCAGCGAGCAGAAGTGCATAGATGGACTGCTTATCAGATTTGGAAATGCCTGTATATAAACAAAAACTGGTTTAGTACTTGAGTTCTTAGTGAGAAAAAGCGAACGAACTTTCTTGCTGCCATTTATCGTCGATGATGACCACAATGGACAGGGCATCTGTGCTGGATTTGCAAGCCTCGACTTCGGATATCGCGCTTGCCAGGTCTGTCTCGTTTAGAGGATTTCCAATCTTTTGAGTAACTCTGATGTTCTTGAGTGGCGAAGTTACCAGTTGCCTCTTTTTAAGAGGCTCTTGAGCAAGGATCAGCTGCAAATAATAGATCTCCATTTAGAAAAGGAACGCAAAACTAGAAGGGGAAAAGATTTACCAGCTCGCTTCCAGGACCAACATAGTCGTCATACTCGGCAACAATGTCTTTCATCGATGGTCTCCATCCCAGTATAAGAATGTACTCTTTCTTGGGAATGCTCCACTCGATCTAGAAAACCATCCATACGATGAAATATGTTTACTAATACAAACTGTGATAATGGGAAAGGAAGCTCGACTTACCTTTGAGAGAGGTTTAAGTGATCTTCTAGCGACGCTTGCCATGTTGAATGCCGGAGCAGTCGCGGGAAGTATACTAACTTCTTCACTGCTGTTCTTGTGGGAAATAATAATTAACTGAAAAAAAAATAAACAAGAAAATGCTATAACGCCTGTAAGACTAGAAAGTTCATACCCTGTCTGTAGACTCCAAGGCAAGACCATCTTTGGGATGAAAGTCGATGGCACCATCTCGTATAATTCCACACACAATTCCCTGTGAAGAGAAATCAAATCTCTCAGAAGGAAAAGGAAAATAATAATAATAAAGAATGGTACCTCTTGAAAACTATGACGCACATCACGATATTTGTAACCAGCTAAGCTCGGATAGTGTCGCAAAATGATCACTTGTCCTGGAAGGCATAAAAAGAAACACAGAAAATAATAGAGAGGAGGAATCCAAAAGACATACTTCCATGATCGAGAAGTTCGTGGTACACGTCTATAAGACCATTCTGTCGAGAGCACTGTACCAAGAGCTTGGAGGATAAATCTTGCACAGTAGTTATGTTTTGGCCCGCGAGAGATTGAAGCAATTGAGCTGTTCCCTCCTTAGATACCTGGTTTCCATCAAAAAGTTCTTCTAGCACCCAGAAAAACCGGAGAAAGTATTACCTCCGCAATAACCTGCACCGATTTTTCCTCGCGTAATGGCTGCAAAGCCAGCACCGACAGCACCACATCTGCATCGGCCTCGTATCTGGTTTAGAGAAAAGGAAAAAAAAAACAACAATCAATACCGCATTAGTATGGTCTACTTACGAATCAGTTTTCCTCGCAAGAAATATGATACGAGAGGCTCTGGAAGCACCAACAGTCTGAAACGTCGAGGTCTTGTTAAGCTTGCCACTGCAAAATAATGGACAAGAATGACTCGAGTTCACAAAATATGATCCACTAAAAAGAGCTTTACCTTCGAACAAGGACATTCAAAGCCTTGCATTCTTTGATTGTATTGGAGACAACACTGTTGCTTTTCTTCATCTTCTCGGATAGAAGAACTACAGTCTTCTTCCTGGACAATTAAAAACAAAAAAAAAAAACAGAAAAACAAGACATAAAACAAATTAAAAAAGCCACAAAGTTATGTAAGCAATACCGAGAAGTTGCTGTCTTATTTTTTATCGCCAAGTCTTGCGCCTTGTTGAGCTGCTTGAGCAGTGTGCTCAAATGGTTATTGGTGCCACAGACTACAGTATGCCCGACCTCCATCACCTCAAAGAGCGCACCCTCGCGTAAGATTTCCATCCGGCTCTACAAGTGGAAACGAGAGAGTTATGTTTGATTGAAATCCTGATGTATAAGCTGTTAGAAAAGAAAGAGACGAGAACTCCGGAAGTAAAACCTTGAATTGCGCCGTGAGTGTGCTCGTGAGGAGCGAGTAGAACATCAAACCACCAATCGCCAGTAGCAATCCAGTTGCTCTTTCCACGACGGTTTGTTCCTGCAAGCAAAAAAAAAGTTGAGAGAACTTCAAAGCAAAAAAGAGTAAGTTTTACTTTCAGGTGTGTGCTGGAGTTGCAAAGACACGCCCATGCTTCCCAGAAAGCATCGCCTAGCGTTTGCTTACGTGTTCTAGAAGAAAGAGTAAAAAACTTACCAGTCACAGGAGAAAAAACAGAAGTTTTTCACCTGAGATGGTAGAAAGCAAAGCCTCCAATGAAAATAAGAACCGCGCAAGTTGTCCCGAGAATCACTAAATATCTGCGTCAAAACAAGATGAGAAAACAAAGAGCCTGAAGCTTTACTCACGAAGTAGGATGGCGCTCGAGAACCACGTCGAGTAAATACGAGAGATGGGCGATGGACCACCTCAAGTTTGCTACAAACTCTCTCCTGTGGTTTGATAGCGCAGAGAGGCTGATAGACGCGAATCGATTCAAGGACGACCTCGACAGTGCCTCGACGCAAACTCTTTTCAAGATATGTGCAATCAAAGCCTTCAAGTTCCAAAGGTAGAGCGTTGCTGAGACCGCAATCAGGCCAATTGTCACAGTCTGTGAGACAAAAGAAGGAAAAGTAGAGTGGAATTGATCGGAGCGAGAAAAGTCGAAAACGATACATACTCTTGTGAGAGGTCTACGGTGATGGTTTGCTGTTCGCAATGTTGTTAAATCCCCCTTGAGAGCCCTCGCTTTCTTTCGCATGAACCTTTGCAGCATTTGAAACAATTCTCCATCTCCTTTGGAGCCTGGAAAGCCCATACTTTAGCTATTCTTCGACGCGATTTTTCTCTCCTTTCAATCGCAGTACCTTTGTTGGATGCATAGATTGACCATTTCCTCCTCGCTCGCACAGGCCTGTGCAGAGAGAGCTAATGTGAGATTTTTCCAACTTCTATTCTTTGTAACAACATTTCTAGAGAACTCTACCTGCTACATTGCCGGTGTGGAGACGGTGAGAGCCACAAGGGATTGCTCGCTATGCCGGGCAATTGCAACATCATCTATGATCACAGCTCTTCGAAGAAAGATAACAAAAGATGACAAGTTACCTGTCCGTGTCTCTCGGTGCGGGTGCGGACGAAGATGGATTTTAACGCGACAAAAGAAATGCCTAACTCATGCGCGCTCCAATGTCTTGAATGCCCCTCGACCTAATGTTCGTACAAAGAGAAGAAAAAACAAATCCTCAAAACTAAAGTTGACATTCTTATTGATAAAATTACAGGATATCTTGTTAAACTCTCTTAAACAAAAGGTGGTCAAAGTTTTACAATTCTCATCTATTATAATAGACGAAAGAATACATTCACAGACCAGAATGAGAGAGTTTGGCTTTCAAACTGGACTTATAAATGTTCGAGAGTAACACATAAGCCGACCCATCCTTTCGGTCCAGCTCAAGAACACACTTGGTGGATTGTTCCCCTCGCCGGCGATCCTTCTGGTTCGTGCATGCTCCAAGCAGGCAACTCCAGTCCAGCGCATCCGGCGAGTAAGGCATGGTTTTGATAAGATCTTCGGCATCGCTGAGAAAACCAGCTCGTCCGAGCTGATCAATCACGCAGCAGTAGTGTTGTCTCGTAGGAACCAAGCCGAAGTCCATGGCGATCGACCCAAAGCAAAACTTTGCGGGGTAAACCTCGCCCAGATGGTTGCAAGCTACGAGAACACACACAAACGATACATCGTCTGGAAACTCTATCATGTTCATGCCATAGAAAAGCTCAAAGGCTTCGCTGGAAAGCCCCGCTCGCGCATAAGAGGCAAGAATGGAGTTCCACACCACCAAGTTTCTCTCATGCATCGAATCGAAGACTCGCCTGGCCTCAAATGGTCGACCATTCTGTCCATAAGTGGAAACCATTGCCGACCAAGTTACCAAGTTTTTATCCTTGATTCCATCAAACACCGCTTTGGCCTCGTCAATGTAGCCGTGTTGTCCGTACGAGGATAGCACTGCGTTCCATGACACGACCGGCTCGCTGCTCATGTTGTAAAGCATCTTCATGGCCTCCTCCAGATACCCTCTCTGGGCATATGCCGAGAACAATGCGCTCCAGGTGATGAGATTCCACTCCGGCATGAGCTCTAAGATTCTCCAGGCATCTTCCAGATGTCCGTGACGGGCATATGCGCATAGAATTGAGTTGTACGACACAACATCCCGCTCAAGCATGCTCTCTAGCAATTCACGCGCGGAATCAAGATGCCCGGAATCGGTATATGCTGAAAGGAGAACGTTACATGTGATGAGATTCCAGTGCTCCATCCGATCAAACAAGAGTTTTGCGTCTTTAAGATGTCCGTTTTGTGCGTAAACCACCATCAGCGCGGTCCACGTGACAGCATCCCGTTCGTCCATTTCATCAAACAGCCTCTTTGCTTCAAAGACTTGACCATTTTGGGCATATGCCGAGAGCATCGCGTTCCAAGTCACTAAACTCCACTCCTTCATCCTGTCAAACAGGATTCTCGCATCACGAATATAACCGAACTCGGAATATGCAGTGACCATTACAGTCCAAGAGACGATATTCCTTTCTTTCATGGAATCAAACAAGCGCTTACATTCTTCCAGATGCCCGTTGTCGGCATATGCACAAAGCATGGCATTCCACGCTACTAAATCCCTCTCGTCCATTTGATCGAATACTCTTTTGGCCTGCTCCACTTGACCGTCCGATGCGAACGCTACCAACATTGCCGTCCACGTTATCAAGTCATGCTCGGGCATACAATGGTACAAATCTTTGGCCGCTTGGAGAAACCCACTATCAGCAAATGCCGTGAGCATCACATTCCAGGAAATTAGATTTCTCTCCTTCATGGAATCAAACACAAACTTTGCCTCGTCCAAGTGTCCGTTTTGTGCATAGGCATTTAGCATTGCGGTAAGAGTAACTAGATCTCTTGCAGGCATGGTATCAAAGAGAGCCTTTGCAGACTCTATATAGCCACGCTGCGCATATGCCACAGTGATTGTGGTCCAGGAGACGAGGTCTCTCTCTGGCATGGAATCGAAAAGATCCCGAGCATCTAGCAGATGCCCGGATTGGGCATATGCTGTAAGCATCGAGTTCCAGGCTACTAAGTTGTGCTCTTGCATGCTGTTAAACGTGTTACGGGCTTCTTGAATATGCCCATTTCTGGAATATGCCGAGAGCATCAACACCCAGGAGTAGATGTCCTTGTTGTTGATGCCGTCAAACACCGAACGGGCAAGATTGACACTCCCACATCTGCCATAGAGCTCCACGAGCTTGTTGGGGACGTAGGCGTCGGATTGAAAGATCAGGGCGTGGAATTTGGAGTGGAGATTTTTGGCAGCATCAAGGCTTTTGCACGACTTGAGCTCAAGAATGCAAGAGTTTCTATCAAGCTGGTTCATGGAATGGAAGTTTTAAACGGTCAAAAGATGTTATGATCTACTATTTCTATCCTCATACATATTCTATGATAGAGCGTTCTTTAATAAGATTCCATGGCAAACAGGGTAATCCACACACTGCACGAAGAGTTTTCGACAATCTCTCCAGCAGAAATAGAGATATTTTTGCTTGGGTAATGATGATTACGGCATATGCTGAAAATGGATTTACATACGAGGCGCGTGAAATATTTGAACAGATGCCGCAGAGAAATCTGGTGTCGTGGAATGCAATGCTTGCTGCATATGCCCAAACGGGGTATCTTGAAGAATCAAAGGGTATCTTTGATGCAATGCCAGAGAGGGATTTGATTTCATGGACGTCGATGCTTGTCGCCTTTACAGAATCCGAATGCATGCAAAAGGCGAAATACTGCTTTGACCAGATGCCAGAATGGGACCTTGTAGCTTTGACTGCGATGCTTGCGGGATATTCTCGATCCGGGCATCTTGACAAGGCAAAGATTTTGTTTGACGACATGAAGCATAACAAAGAGACAAATCTAGTTTCCTGGATTTGTGTGCTCAGTGGTCTAACTGAGAATGGGAAACTAACAGATGCTAAAACCATATTTGACTCTATGCCAGAACATGATCTCGTTTCCTCGACAGCAATGTTGGCAGCATATGCTGAAAAAGAGCATATTGTAGAAGCAGAAGGAATATTTCAAACTATGCCAGAGGTGGATCTGGTGTCTAGGAATGCTATTTTAACAGCTTATTCAGAAAATGGTAATTTAGATAAAGCTAAGGAAATTTTTGACACTATGGAAGAGCATAGCATAGTAACTTGGACGTCTATGATCTCAGCTTATTCCCAAAACGGGCATCTAGAGTTAGCAAAATACGTGTTTGATTCCATGCAAGAGCACAACCTCGTCTCTTTCAATGCGATGCTCACAGGATATTCCCAGCATGGTTACCTTAAAGAAGCATGGAAAATATTTCACTCAATGAAGGAAAGAGATATTCTCTCCTGGACGGCCATGCTCTCGGCATATGCTCAGAACGGGCATCTTCACATGGCAAGACATCTCTTTGATTCCATGGAAGAGAGAAACAGTGTTTCATGGGATGCTATGCTTGCTGGTTATGCCCAAAATGGAAGGCCATTGGAGGTTCTTGACATCTTCTACTTGATGGAGCTTAATATCAATCCAGATGAGGCTTCCTTTGTGTGTGTTTTATTAGCATGCACTCACCTTGGAAGAACCCAAGCTGGAATCTCTTACTTTGTTTCACTAACTGTGGATTTTGGATTGAAAGCAACGAAGCAGCACTACTGTTGCATTGTGGATCTCTTATCTCGATCCGGAAGACTAGAAGAAGCTGGAGAGCTCATAGCATATATGCCATTTTGTCCAGATTCATGGGAGTGGACATGTTTGCTTGGTGCCTGCAAGAATCATAACAATGTGGAGCTTGGAGCTCGAGTAACAAACAACTTGTTTAGCTTGAGTGATCAAAATGCTGTGACTTACCTGCTACTTGCAAGCATTTGGAGCCTCACTAGCTTGAGTGGCTTTAATAACTAATATTCAAACTTTATCAATGTACTCACTTATGGCAATTCCAATAGTTTGTAGGAGGCTTTTAGGGATGTCTTTCGCTTTGACGAGATGTCAATATAAGTACCCATTCAAGTATTTCCAGCAAGTGCTTTGCCCTCTCTTTGAATCATTCCACAGTCTGGAAGAGTTTTCAATAGTAGTCTGGAGGCAGTAGTGTGCAACCTCTTCACTTCAAGGCTCAAAGTCTTTAATCTTGTGGGTTAGAGAAGTAGTGCTAGATCTCTTCTTCCTGTCCTTAGCATCTCTAAATAGGTCTGTGTTGCAAATCCTCCTCATAGTCCTCCACTTATCACTGATGGGTGCCAAGACACCTTGAGGAGCATTTCATCTGTGCTATCTCACATATCCAAATCAAATCCCTCCTACGCTTGGCAAGGCTTATGGGATGCACTCTAGGCTTTCATATCAAGAGTGTGAGCAAGGCAAATTTGTGCTTGCGACTGATAGACGCTAACCTTGAGTTACATAACCCCAACATGAACTTCTTGGAGCTCCAGATTTGTGGAGGCGTCATCACTGTTGACGCTCCCAAGTCACAAGTGTGGCACTGACAAATGTGAGTGGGCGACTGGTTATGAGGTTATACAGGGTAAGATCCTTGAGAGGGTGCTCTTTAGATGGTCGTCCAAACTAGAGTTGGTCAGTTTCTTATACGTAGTAAAGGATTATTCTGAGTTGTTTTGGTCCTTTCTTGCGAAAATATTATAATTGGAGTGTTTGAGGCTTTTTCTAGCTTTTTCAGATGATCAAGGGTAAAAGTTGCTATGCATTATTAAGCATATGCTTTCTCAGCTAAGCAAACTTTAGTATCTTGTGAGTAAAACAGAATTTTGATAGGAAGGAATCAGACATCTCTGGAGCTTGGTATAGCTTGGGAGGATCCATAAAGATCATAAGGTGTGGCAAAAACATGATAGAAGCATACAAAACAGACACGGGAATGTGAGAATCTAAGGCTTAGAGGATATAAAGCCAAGGATGGAGTGACCTTTTACTTTGGTTTTAGAAATAAATTTCCATCTTTTTTGGAAGGAAGAGAGTATTCTTTGTGAGTTTTGGAGTGTCATGAGAGAATTCTGAGTTTGTCCCATCATTATAGTAGGGAGGGAATCTTGAAGTTGTTTGTGGAAATACAACAATCCCAAGTGTGCTGGAAGTCTTGAGAGAATCTCTAGTGAGTTGGAGTGGCTAGGAGCAAGTTTTGGTGCAAGAAAAAGCTTGACACCTTCTTGGGTAAAATGCATTGCGAATAGTTGGAGATCAATAATGTTTCCAGGCACATTTGAGAACACGGCAATGCCTAAGAAAGAACCAAAAGCCATTTCTGTCATGACTAAGAAGGTAGGAGTAGGAAAGATTCACTAGAAAATCCATATGCAACATCTTTTTGGTACTGTGAGCTGGTGGGCAGAAATCCTGCTACAAGAAGACCCCTAGAGCTGCAATTGGCAAGCCAGATATGCTCAAGAGCAGTCAGGGCAAAAGGAAGAAGAAGAGAACAACCCATGGACCAATCGCTATGTGGATTAAAACCAACTTAGACTATTTTCACCCAGGCTTGCCACATTTGGAAGGTTTTGCCAACACCAAAAGGAGCTGACTATTTGGAAGAGATTGGAGGAGAGAGAGTTGGAGAAAAACCCTCCCCAGATAAGTGACTCTAAGAAGGAAAAGGAATATGTTCATCTCTCCTCATTTGCAAGAGCGATAAGAAATTTCCTTTTACCGCTGTGAAGTTTCCTACACAACAAGGGGAAAGTGGGGGATAGTGGTAAATGTCCTGGGAATTTTTTTTCTCGCTCCTTGTCATGCGAAAGATTCCTTTTACCAGCCCTCTGGCTGTCGCCGCTCTCCTTGGTCGATTGGGAAGAAGATGCTGCTTGGCGCCATGTGAGGTGGCCAAAGCAGGGCAACTGAGCTCCAGTAGCTACAACCTAGGGGACCCAAATCTCAGCTCCTTAGATCCAGTGCTTCCAGGATTCTTGCCTCGAGGAAAATGTCATATTTTTGCGGAGCGAGCAACATTTGAAGGAGAGCTGCGACAGGAGGTTCCAGCAGGCAAGCCGGGTGATATGCTAGAATGATGGAAAGATCTGGTGAAGAAGCACTAGATTTGTGGGCATGACCACACTTTAGAGGATCTGGGCCTTAAAACATGCTCACAGCCAGTCGAGTTTCGATCTCTAGGCTCAGGCCTCTCTGGCCTTCATCAGAGGGTTCTAATGGGTGGGTGGGATCCCATATATTAGAAGCAGTGATGGTCATAAGCCAGGAGCTATTTACGAGATGATAAGGAAAATTTTTGGTGCTTTGATCATGCAATCCATACGAGGTATCAGATTTAAATTTATAACACCTTACGTATTTGGTGTTAGTGCTAACGTCAGTTCTGGAATGTGTAACTCCATGATCAAAGCTAAAAGTCTCCAATGCTACCAACAAAACAAAGCAGCTGCACAACCCAATCTTTTCCTTTAGCAAGCACATTTAAGTTCATAACTTTTTGTATCTAATTTAATTTGCATGGAGATGGGCAGTGGTTATAGATTTTGTAAACTCTATGAAAATTTAATTATTCATGTATTCAATTATCTTGTCATGGCTTCAGGCAGTGCAAGCCAATGCAGATCTGAGATAGGTGATTCCTTAGAGAAGAAGAAGCTTAAGTACGTGCAAGGGGTTCTTGGTTGACACACAAACATTGAAAGCATTGCATTGACTTTTCATATGATGTACTTCTATATTTTGTACATTTTCAATACAAACAAATTAAATACCAATACAAGAATACCTCTGTCCAAGTGCTGCTGGGTGAGATTAGTGCCAGTGATAGCTCCCAAGAGAACAAATACAAACCTTAGCTGCCCCGTGGCTCCCACCGTTATATCTAGCTAACACTGTGAGATACACCTGAGCTCCATAAGCGCTGTTGTGCAAGCGCCATGAGCAACGCAAGCAAAGCAAAGCTGTCCCGTCTTCAAAACATCCATAAAACTGAAGCCAACTAACTCCAAAGTCAATGTTGCTATTGCGTTAGAAAAATCCCACCTACAACGCATTTGCAGCTCTGCCTTCACTCCCTGCCCACCCGTGCCCCCAACTCATTCGCCTACCAAATGTCGTTTTTTAGATGCCTTTGCCATTTTAGGTATGCGCCCTAAAGCTTGAGGGAGGGTTTGATGGCAAAGGGGGTGGCGAAGACGAAGGGGCCGGCGGAGGTGGACGAGGTGTGGGATCGGTTTGGAAGATTGCCGCTGGCGGCGGATGAGAAGGGTAAGATATACGCCAAAATCCATGACATGCCACTCAGCCGGCTGCGGTCCCTCATTCCCTCCTTTCTGGATGATGCCGTGGTGGCTGCTTCACTGAGAGAGGAGTTTCTGAAAAAAAGGAAAGCTGTTCCGAGTAAGTGTTATCTTCATGCCTCCTCTACACATAAATTTTTATGATGCTCGAATCAGTGATGAAATTCAACCCGGATGGTGAAAGTACAATGCGACGGCGAATTGAAAGGCTGAAAAGGTTTGTGGTTTGACCTTATGTCCGAGCTTACAAATTTGGTCCAATGCACACAGGACGGAACATGTTTCGGTAGGCTTTCGAAAGAGCAAGTTTGTTGATTGGCTCCATGGGTCAGACAATGACCCAAAGAACTGTGACCTCCCAAAAGAGGAGTGGGAATCAGCGGTAGCACTCAAGGAGGCTCTCCACAGGGTTGGCTATTAGTGAGTTCATCTCTTTTTGTTGTTGTTTTTTTTTTTTTTTTTGTCTTTTTTTCTCTTTTCTTTTTGGGTGTTTGACACTTGCATGCAGCCGTGGAGCGCCTTTGAAGGGCCCCAAGTATGACATAAGTATATTTGACCGCGACCGTCGTTGCTACGTGGATGCGGAAGGTAAACCTCTGGAGGGCGTGGATAGGAGGTGAACCTCTGGAGAGTAAGGGAAAGGGTTGAGGATTAGTGTATGGATAAAGAAGTCAGTTCCCATGAAAAATATGCCTAGCCTGTTGCAGTTAGAGATCATGGAGAGTAATCACCGGCAAATGGAAGCCTAGCTAGCGAAGGCAGTAGCTTAACAAAAATGTGCTATGAACCCTGCACTCATCGAACCTTGTGTTAACACAATCTTGACAACTGCTTAAGCCATACCTGCTGTCCGTGAGCAATTATGGATGTGTATCATTAGCTCAATGAGGCACTAATTTGCACATAGGAGTTCAGCATAGCTGGGCAGGAGTTCGTGAATCACATTCCACCATGATCTTGGATCCATTGCACTAGAGGCAGCTTGTAGAGTTAGCGGATATGCAGTGTCCACGTCCATATGGTAGATAGGGCTATGGAATCTGCTCATGACTTTTCAAAAAACATATCTGCAGTCTCGCCATAGGGAGGCCTTCCCGTTGTGTATTGAGCATGTAAAAATATCATTCCACCAGGAACAGAGTCCCTCTGTTCGGAATACCATACCATTTGTGTGAGCGTTTGAAGTTATGTTTGGTCTAATAAAACTCGATATTTCACGCTAGTGCTTCCCGTAAAAAACTCGATCAACCTGTCTGGTAAGATCTTGAATTGAGATTGAATTCAATATCACCAAAGAATGGACACTCCACGGACTCTCCATAACACTCCCACTCGGGCAGACACCGAGGGCTGCTCAAAACTGGAAGAATTTTGGTGATGACAATGGTTCGGTCAACACACATCCGCAGTCATGTCCTGAGTAGGACAGTATGTGAGCACAAGCACACCATCCTCGTACTGATCACGCAGGAAATGGTGAGTTGTGTCCATGTGCTTGGTTCTAGAGTTGAGGTCTTGCTCAAGGAAATACAGCCTTGGTTGTCACAGTCGCGCCAGCCGGAGGAACGCCAACTTCAGCGAGAAGACGCCTCAACCATATGGATTCCTTGCGACTGCCATATACTCGACCTCACAGCTGGAACACGCCTACGAGGTTTGTGTTTACTGCTCCATGCGTAGAAGCTAAAAGAATAGCCTGTATGGGAACGCTCACAAAAACCTGTGAAGCTGAAAGCTGCTTGTAACAAAGGCCAGAAGACGCGTTAGTACCGAAAAATTCGTTTACAAGCTAGGTTGTCCAGGAATCTGCTTACCACGCTTAGTGCAAACGACCAGATACAAGGGACGCTTCTCATGATCGGTGAAAGGAGATGTATCCTTAGAAAGTTTCAGACCTGCTATCATTGGTGTTGGTTCTGGTGAGCTACGCCCCATGGAACATTTCCGAAGTATGTCCTCCACATACTTGGCTTGGTGTAGGCAAATGGAGCCAATCTCGTTTCCTGTCAAGCTGGATGAAGTCCTTGAGAAGAAAAAATCTGTTTGGTCTCAGCTCAGAGCTGTTGCGGACAAACAACGAATCATCAACATAGACCACAATACAAATTGCGTCATCTCCCACTCTCTTCTAGAAAAGATAATCATCGGCGAGAAGATTGCTTTAAGCCATAGCTGGCTTTGTTGAGTTTCCAACGTAGCGTTCTTTGCCTGGAACTTTCTGCTCGTTTGATGGATGCGCCAGTTGTTCGCTAAATGGTAAGAAATTGATGATACAATTGGTGAATTGATGATGATCACTTATCAAGTATATGTCACATTAATCATATAAATCTAAAAAAATGAATTAGTTCATGGAAATATAATTAGTCTTAGAATTTAAATCATAGACATGTTGTTTTATTACAAAACCACTCCCACGCTGTCAGTCTTTTTGCCCTCGTTGCCTAGTAACACAAACTTTGCTCGAGAGATGTTCTCTCCTCTTCCTCCTCGTAAATACCAATACAAAGCTTTTGCGCGCGGAGCTCTCGGTTGCGCCCATCCATCCCTCTCTGGAATCAAAGGAATGTGAGCATCGCAAGTGAGAGCTTCCTTCCCCTTCGTTCCCGTCACCAAAAGACTCTCTCCTCTCTCTCACTCACTCACTCTCTCACCTCGTCAAAGAAGGAAAGCTCTTGTGCTTTGCGCGATGAGCGTTGAGCGTTTGTGCCTCGTTCCGTCTCGCTTGCTCGCGCCGCGCCGCCGCCTCTCCTCTGTCGCTTCGCCTTGCCACTCGCCTCGCGCTACATGTGTCTCGCGTCCGCCGAGAAGATCTCTGCCGCATGGTGATCACCGCCGCCAGTGTTGATCGCCACCGCCGCCGCTGGAGGAGGAGGCTTCACCACGTACACTTGCTTGAGCTTGGAAGCCGGCGCCACCGACGACGAGGAGCCGCTGTTTTTGCTGCTACCACCGCTGGCATCACCCGCAAATCCTCCTCCACCTCTCCTTCCCTGTTGGCTGTGGCTGTGGTTAGACCATCCTGTTGCAACCCCGACTTTGCCAATGCCGCCACCGTGAGCCACTCTCCTGTCCTGGTGCCCGATCGAGCGTCGCGGGCCAGCAGCAGCAGCAGCAGCACCGGCAGCGGCGGTGGCGACGTAAGAGTGAGGCTGGAAAGTCGGCATTGTCGCAGCAGCACCGCCGGGTCGAGAGCTTCCAGAGTTTGGCCTGCCACCAGCTCCGCCACCGCCACCGCCACCCTCAGCTCCACTCACCGGTTGGACCACCACTCTGGAGTGTAGTTTGCTTCCCGCGGGTAGCGACGAGACCACCGGGCTGGGAGGCTTGAAAGGCGGCGCTGCCTGTTGCTGTTGTTGATGGTGTTGGTGTTGGTGATGTTTGTGCTGTTGTTGTTGTTGTTGTTGTTGGTGTACAGCGAAAGTGTTGCTCGCGTCGGAGCTGGCCGTGGACATGGCATCCCCCAGCCCGAGCTCGTCCAGGTACTGGTCGCTGGCTTCGGCCGGTGCTCCAGCGCCTGCCGCCGCCGCGGACGCCAAGCTCGGATCGTTGGCGATATCGGCTTGATGCTGCATGTGATAAGCCGGGTGGGGGTGCCTCATATGCATCGGGGGAAAGCCCGGGATCGGCCCAGACATCGGTGCATGCGGCCCCGGGACGTGCGACCACTGGGACTGCAAAGAGCAAAAGTGAGCCAGTTGAACGAAAACCAAAGAAAAGAAAGTCTCTTCTACCTGGAATGCCATATCCCTGTACATGTCGAATGGACCAGGAGGAACTACCGAGATGACTGACGGATCATGGCCCAAGTGACGATTACTGTGCGGAGCGTAGAGCATACTGCCACCGCCGGCACCGGGTCCGTTACCACCTCCAGCGTCCCCACTGTTTGTTCCTGCTCCTGAGGACGTAGAAGTCACTGGAGTGTGTTTCCAATCCGGCTGCTTGACGGGAGGTATGTGGGCCGGTCCCATGTAGCTTACACCCAGCTGCCCGAACTGGCCCACGCCACCAAACGGACTGGTGTAGACAAGAGTGTGTGGAGGAATGCTTGGAATCGGTCCGTGGTTGATGAAAGGCCCTGCGAAGCCATGCGGGCCACCGTAGAAGGAGTCAACACCGTGACGCGGATGCCAGTTTAAACCACCGGGACCAGGACGTTCACCGTTGGAGTCGCGTGAGGCCTCACCACCCGTGCCGAATGCAAAAACTGGTCCACCTAGCAAGGTTCCCATCTCCAAACCAGGAAAGCCAGGTAGCGAAGGCAAGTGTGGCCCAGAAGTGGGAGGTCCTCTCAGTGGCATATCGACGGATAAGTCAGCTGGAAGTGAGACATTGATGGTCTCGTCAATCCCCGAAGACTGTGTTGGGTTTTGAGTGTCAAGTCCTGAAACAAGCGAAAGGACACCTCTTAGTTGACATGCAATTTAGAAACTGCAGCATAAAAATACCAGCTGGAGAGCCTTTGTTAGAAGAACCAATAATACCGTGCGACGAAACGAGCTGGTCAGCACCGTGTAGATAATCATCGTTACTGATTGCTGCAACAGCAACAGCTGATGCAGCTGCCTCTGCCTCGGCCGCCTCAGCTTCAGCCTCCGAGTCCATTGTCCCGTCTTCGTTCTCCCGGGAGCGTTTCCCCTTGCCAAACGATGCCAGTTCATTCTCATCTTGTAGTTCTTTTCTAGCACCCAGAAATCCCTCCGAGCGGGAGGGACCCAGCCAAGGGACTGTTGACGCAAATGCTGGCATCGTAACAGCTCCTGCAAGACAAACTTCTCATGAGATCACTTGTCACAAGATCGAAAGCAGCAGTACCGAATTGTATTTTCTCTCCGGCAAGAAGAGAATTAACAGGCCCTGATGCGGCCGCAGGCCGAGGACCTTTCTCTTTCGCTGTAACAGATGGTGTGGATGTGGACTCTAGTCCCGAACTGAGATGCTCTGATAGAGGTACCTGCAAGGGAAGTGGAACTTCAAACCGAGCTGGTTTCATTGCCTCCTCCAGCTGAATCTGTGTAAGCGTAACCACCTATAAAACGTTTCAGACATTGAGCTAATGTACAATGAGTCACCTCTTGATTGGATCGACCAAAACCCCATGCAGCTCCATTAGCCTGCGCACTCTGACCTTCACCAACAATCGGAGGAAAAGCTGGAGCATCGGGAACAAGGGAATTTATCTGTGTTGGTCTGCATGAAAAGAAAAGCCAAAGATATATGATGTGTCTAAAATAAAAGGCACTTACTGTGGACTTCTTGTTCTCTTTTCAAACCCCACTTCAGGATTTGATAGCGAAGCTTGCCTTGTTCGTGAAGTCGTCACTACAACATCGAGGCAATTTGCCAAGGGCATACTGTCATTTTTCGCATCTCTAGGCGGGAAAGGCTTCGACCCGTTTCGTTGCTTGGGAGCTTGCTGCTAATATACAAGATCAGTTGCGAGAAAACCAGCAAGTAGAAGTATAGTACCTTTGTGTGCTTTGGCTTGGATTTCACTTGCTTCTCCTTCTGCAGCTGCCGTTTTGATCTGACTTCGATAAAGTCATCTTCTTCGCTCCCTCCGGAATGGTCAAATAATCTTTCGGAAGAAGCCAGCTCTGCCGCTTGCCTAGACTTCTCATTTTCGTCGTCACCTTTAACCCCCTTCCGCGGTACATAATGTCCACGTTCTGACAAGTTTGGCGCTCTGAAATCCAGACTACCCCGACGATTAGGCTTCTTACGAAAAGATTCTGTCGAACTATGCCCCTCGTGCCTCGCTGACCATTGCTTCGCATCAACTTTCTCTTGAAAACGACTGTAACCAGAGGTTTGACCATCTGTAAAAGATGGCTTCCATGAATCCTGGGCTGCGGCTGCTGGTTTTCCGGCGTCTTTCTTGCGCTTTCCATCGTCATGTTCAGTTACCTCCACCTGTTTTTCGCTCGCCGAATTATTCTGGACCGGAGACTGGAGTACTGCGCCTCCCTGGCCATATTGATGAGTCCAAAACGTCCTCTCAGGATGTGGCTGCATTCGAAACTGCTGCCCATGAACGCCTTGTTGGCCATCCATGTTCATGATAGAAGGCTGCATCATTGCCTGAGGATGAACCGTAAACGAAGGCAGTAGTGGTGCTTGCTGACCAATCTGTCCAAACTGAAACTGAGGTGGCGGCTGGAGGTGTGCGACGTGATGTCCGATGGGAGGATGTAGTTGAAGTGGCATTTGAATGGAGCCAATCTGAATCGCTGGAATCGAGCCTTGAAGAAGAGATGTACCCGGAAGAAGTCCGAACTGAAGGGTCATTGGTCGATCTGGCATTGGACCTTGCATTCTCGGCCTGGAATCAAGTAGAGGAAGCTGTGGCGGAACAAAACTCGGTGGATGGTGAAACGGTTGCTGCAGCCCGGCTGGAGAAGGCTGTGTAGTTTGCAATGGTGACGGCAGTAACGCAGCTGGGACCTCAGAAGTCTGAACAACTTCAATGACCTCGCTCTTGAGCTCAACTTCCTCCGACTTGTCTTCGTCGACAGGAACGGCAACACTGTCGAGTTGAGTAGCCTCCACCACTTCAGTCTTTGGGAGCACCACGATCGAGTCCACGAGTTCTGACAAGGTGGCGTTCAGATCTGCTGCATCAATATGCTCTACTTCTTCGTGAATCTCCGAGTTGAACTCCGACTGCTCACCGGTGCCCTTCAAGATGTCTTCTTCGTGGCTGATATCAGACCTTTGCTCTTCATCAACCGTCTCGTCCACCGTTTCAGAGATCTCTTCCTCGAAATTTGGAGCACCGGAGACTTCCACTGTGCTTCCACCCTGTTGTTTCGTGTCAGCCTCTACAGCTTCAGCAGTAACGTCGATCTGTACATCGCCTACGCTACATGCTTCGTCTTCCGGAAACATTTCCTCGGCCATGTTCTCCACATCGGTTACTGTTTGAGACGGAGCAACATCTTCTCGTAGATCTGAAGATGAAGTGACAGTTGACGCAGCTGATTGACTTCCAGAAAATGACGGCTTCTGAGAATGTGTTCTTGTTGGCGGAGGCAACACACGGGGCTGCTTTGGAAGCGACTGCCGCAAGCGTCCGTAGGAAACTCCATCAGGAGCATCGTAGCTGCCGCCATACGAAGTTGGCGAAGGAGGTGAAAATGGTCTGCTCTCCCTTGGCCGCCTGCTCCAACGTCTATCGTCTTCCATGAAACCGTGTTCTGGAAAGTTGTTTGGACGCGGGGATCCGAACATGTTTCGCAGCTGATCGCCGTTTGAGGACCATTTGTCTTCCCGATCTTTCCTGTAACTGTCAACAGGCCCATCCACGTTCCCGTAAAAATTATCACCTTCATCTGGAACTCTGCGCCCCGGAGAGTGCATCATACTGTTGCCGTGATCGTTGGGGAAAGACGAAAGATCGCCCAAATCTCTTCTCCAAGACGCAGAAGAAAGTCGTGACCGATCATCTCCACCACGAGGGACCGGCTCACGAGTTACCCTGTGCATGTCGGGCGATCGTAAACGGGAGCTGGTTTGATCCTGCTGCATCCGAAAACCAGAAATTCTGGAAGTGGCTCTGTCGTCGTTATCATCTAGCGCCTTTGTTGTTGTTGCTGGAATATTGCTGTCACCAGGGGCCTCCACTCCATTTTTCGGTTGTTTTTTCTCCATCTCACGTCTAGCGATACGCTCCTCCAATTCAAGAAGTTTTCGACGTGCATTCTCCTTTCTCCTTTCCTCATCCTCCACCAGTTTGCGCTTTTCCTCTTCCCGAGCTCTCTTAGCTTCTTCAACCTTTCGAACGGAATCAAGGGCCTCCTGCTCTGCACGGGCTGCAGCTTCCCTGGCCTCTTCTTCAAGTCTTTGCTGGCGCTCCTCTTCTTCCCTTGCCTGACGCTCTCGTTCTTCCTCCTCCTTTCTCGCAAGCTCAATTGCTCTCTCCCTCTCTTCGATCTTTCTCTGCCGTTCCTGCTCTTGCTCCTTCTGAACTCTCTCAAGCTCCGTTTCGAATGACTCACGTTCCAGATCGCGATAGCTGACTTCATTCGAATCTTCCCTCTTCCTCCGCATTCTGTACTTCAAATCCATCCGAAGATCCAAGTTTGGAAGCTCCGGAAAATCTCTCATAAACGTATCTTCAGAGTACGGGCTACGGACTCGGACCGGAAGATCAAAACCTCCATTTCGTGCACCAAGCCTTCCCCTGTCGCCGCCCGGTTTGTTGAAAAAGCTCTCCCTCGAAAAACTATCACGATTGTGGTGGTAGCTATCGCGCATCCGCCAACTATTCCCTCTAGAATCCGCCTCTGCTCTATCAAAACCGCTATTCCTCCCAAAGTTCCAGTCGTTTCTCCCGAAGGACCCCTCTCTATCCCAGCCGAAGTCCTGCGCTTCCCTGCTACGACCATACTCGGGCACATCCCTCCTGTAGCTCGCTCGCTCATCTCTTTGAAAAGCCGGTCGAGCAAAAGAAGACTGTCCGTAGCGCGGTGGATCTTCCCAGTCGGGAGGCTTGGACACGGAAGCCGTCTCTCGTTCATCGTCAGCCCAGTTGGAAGTGTGCGTCAAGTGAATGAGAGGCCCCGGTCTCAAAGACAAGTCATTCGGCTTCCTGTTCTCCTTGAGAGAAAAGTAGCTCCGGACAGACTCGTCTCTGAGACCACCCTGCTTGGATTGCGGCTGGAGAGTTAGAACCGGCGACGGCGGCTTGTAGCCATCATCTTCATCCAGCTCCTTCTCGAACTGGTTCTGCGACAGCTGCTGCAACTTGAGCTGCTGGTGCTTCATCTCTCGCTGCTTGTCCTTCTGCCGCTGCTGGATCTCCCGCTGCCGCTGCTGCGACGGCACGGGATTGAGAGGAGCAGCAGCCTGGAGCGTCGGAAAATCCTCCCCGCGCAGCACCACAGCAGTGGGAGCACGAACTGGAGCAGCAGCAGCCGCAAGAGGAGCGCCACTGCCCCGAGCAGCCGGCGGCGTGTACTTCCCTGTTGTCCTCGGCGACTGCTCCGAGGAGATCACCGCAGCTCCGCCGCCGCCGCCCTGCGCAAAGTGCTGTGCCTGAGCCATCCCCCACCCGTTGGACTTGAGATGGCCATCGCCCACGCCCGGATCTTCCACCAGCGCTTGCTGCTGCTGCTGGATTGGGGCCTGCTGCTTGGACCATCCCGAAACTCCAGTCCCCCCGACGAGCGTGATGCTAGGGTCGTTCCCAGCGTGCTCCTTGCGAAGAGAGGGGAGATTCACGGGCGCTGGGACTGTGAGCTTGGGCTGTGCCGGCTTAGCCTGCTTCCCCGGCGGCGTTCGCACTGGCCTGGCCAGGACGAGCATACCTCCGTGCGTGCCGCCATGCAAATACCTCGATTTCGATCCGCCAGAGCCGATGTTCACACCCGACAATGCCTGCTTGCCATAGAGATCGTTGAGATTGGACGACGCGAACCTGGATCCACCTCCGCTCGAGGTCCTGGCCATGAAACCCTAGAACCTACTTCGCTGCTCCCGCTGCGGCGCTGAGAAATCGGCTGGAAGTCTGTGCCGCGCATCCAGCTGCTAATCTGGCACGAGACCGCGAGGGGTCGAAGATCTAGACGATGAACGATCAAAGCGCGTTGCAGCGCTCAAGCCCTAGGACTAGGGCTGCCCCGGGAATGCGGGCTTAGATGCAAAAGCCCTAAAAAACCCAAAGCTTAAAGCCCGGCATATTCCGTCGGTTGGAAACGTATCTTCCGGTATGTATTTTCCGGCAGTCAAAGGTCTAACGTTATGGTTTAGGGGTTTAGTCTTTATTTCTTTGCGATGTTTTGATTCTCATGCTTCGCAGAGGGCATCGTATAGATAGAGAGATCGCTAGGTTATCTGACAGCGATGGCGATCGACGAGGAGGCGAGCATCCCTGTTATCGACCATAGCGCGTTCGTTCTCGGCGATGAATGCGCCAGGGTGAAAGCTCTCGCCGAGATCGACAGGGCGTGCCGCGATTGGGGATTCTTCCAGCTTGTGAATCATGGCCTCGGCGCCGATCGCCTGGAGAATATTTTGCAGTGCACCAGGGACTTCTTCGCGCTGCCGTTGGAGAGGAAGCTCGATCTCGTCACGCCGATGTCCCCGATCGGCTTCCTTAACCAGAGCGGCGCCAGCGGCGTGGTGGATCGGAAGGAGCATTTGCTGTTCTTCGGCCTGGATCATCCCAGCGTGCGGCACAATGCGTGGCCGGAGTCGCCGCACGGCTTCCGGTAAAGGCTGGGAATCTTTCTCTCTTTATGATCATATTGTTCTTGTTCTTTAGGGGCGTGGTGGAGGAAATGATGCGCGAGTGCGCGGCTTTCTCCAAGCTCCTGACCAGAATTTTGTTCGAGGCTCTCGGGCTTTCGGGCGATTGCGCTCGCGAGATCTACAACAAGGAATCCGGCGACTCATTCTTGCTGCCATTCTACCCGGCCTGCCCCCCCGACTACGAGCACGAATTGGTTCTCGGCCAGCACAAAGACGGTGGGATTTTGACGCTTCTCTCGCAGCTCAACGAAGTCCCCGGCCTCCAGGTTCTCAAGGACGATCGCTGGATCACAGTGAAGCCACTCAAAAACTCCCTCGTCATCAACGTTGGAGACGTGATGCAGGTAAGAAAAGCTCGATCAAACTTTGCTCCATCGATCTTCGATTTTGATCGATCAGGTGTGGACGAATGGGCGATACAAGAGTGTGATGCACAGGGTGGTGAGGAGAGAGAACGATCGATTCTCGATGGCCTTCTTCCACATCCCGGGATCCAGCACCGAGATCGCTCCTCTCGAGGAATTCACCGCCCACGAGCCACCGAAGTATCGCAAATTCGTCCAGGGAGAGTACATCCAACTGCGAATGAAGAACAGGAGCATGGGAAACAAAGCCAAGGAGGTGACAATCGAGCACTACGCCGTTTAAAATCGGGTTTAGCCTTAATAGCTTTGATTTTCAAATAAGCACTGCAAGTTTTTTTAAAGTTTAAACTTTTTAAACTAATACTTACAATAGAATATGCCATGGGAATCTAGCTGAAAGTTTAGTAAAGGTTATTAAGGAATCTAAAAAAGTTTTTTATGTCAGAATATGCTACGAGAATCTTTATCTAAGCACTGCTGGTCTAGTGGTAGAATAGTTCCCTGCCACGGAACAGACCCGGGTTCGATTCCCGGGCAGTGCAGGTTTTCTAAACTTAAGCTTTTAAACTAATCAAAGGCTATTACAGATTATGTAGCTAATGTCTTTTTACGTTCATCTAAGCACTGCTGCAGAACAGACCCGGGTTCGATTCCTGGGCTGTGCAAATTTTATAAAATTATACTTTAAAATCTAATCAAAGGTTACGGGAATACTCATCTAAGCACTGCTGGTCTAGTGGTCCCTGCCACGGAACAGACCCGGGTTCGATTCCCGGGCAGTGCAGGTTTTCTAAAGTTAAGCTTTTAAACTAATCAAAGGTTATTACAGATTATGTAGCTAATGTCTTTTTACGGCAATCTTCATCTAAGCACTGCTGCAGAACAGACCCGGGTTCGATTCCTGGGCTGTGCAAATTTTATAAAATTATACTTTAAAATCTAATCAAAGGTTACGGGAATACTCATCTAAGCACTGCTGGTCTAGTGGTAGAATAGTTCCCTGCCATGGAACAGTCCCGGGTTCGATTCCTGGGAGTGCAAACTTGTTGAAGTCAAAGCTTATGTCAGAATATGCCAGAATATGCCACAGAAATCTAACAAGGCTGTTAGGTCGCCCGTGAGCGCAATGGATGATCCACACTCGTCCAGGCGGTTTGCGCGGGTAGGACCTACATTTCGCCATGGCGCGCGCCACGATCTACGCGCCGTGTGAATCGAGCGGCCTGGCTCTCCGTGTGATCGACGATATCGCGAATTGGATTCATCCAAATCGCCGACAGAGGCCAGGAGGTCGGTCTTAGTGCGAAGATGGTCCCGAGTAAACGCCAAGAAAGTTTCGTTTTCATGGGGAAGAGCGCCAGCCAGCTTGGACATTATTCCTCCTTGTTTCATACGAAGTTCTCACTTGTCGGCACACTTTGGTCTCGCAAAGGAGACAGATCGAGGCCAGTCTAGAGGATGGAGGCAGAGAAAGAAGCTAGAGATCTTCACGATGGCAAAGAGAATTCGCAGGCAGGAGGAGAAGATCAAGATCATCAAGTTGGAGAAGAACCCAAGCTCAAGGATGAAAGTTTGGACCAGGGAGGATCCGAGAAAGAAGAAGTTGGAGAGAAAGAAGAACAGTCTCCGATCGAGGAGGTTGCTCTCACAGTCGACACTAGCGATGATCCCAGCCTCCCGGTTTACACTTTTCGGATGTGGACGCTGGGAGTCGTGTCGTGCGTGCTGCTCGCGTTTTTCAACCAGTTCTTCGCGTACAGGACGGAGCCTCTGATCATCACTGCCATCTCCGCGCAGATTGTCACGCTCCCGCTCGGCAAACTCATGGCTGCAACGCTGCCGACGAGAAAGTTTTCGATCTTCGGCCGAGAGTTTTCGCTCAACCCGGGGGCTTTCAACAAAAAGGAGCATGTCCTCATCACCATCTTCGCAAACACCGGTGCCGGCAGTGCTTATGCCGTTGGAATCGTCACGATTGTCAAGGCGTTCTACAAGCGAAGAATGGAATTTGGAGTGGGCTTGCTCATCACAATCACGACTCAGGTACTAGAGTCTTTTATGCTCTTGAACTTCATCTAGAAAACTTGTTCTTGTGATACAGATCATTGGCTATGGTTGGGCTGGGATCTTTCGCAAGTATTTGGTGGATCCAGCCGAGATGTGGTGGCCTTCCAACTTGGTGCAAGTCTCGATCTTCAGGTACGCGGTTGCTAACTTCACACTAGAATAAAGTTTCTCTTTGTTCTATGATTGAAACAGGACTTTGCATGAAAAGGATGTCCGTCGAAAGGGTGGACTGACGCGACTACAGTTTTTTCTCATCGCGCTTACCTTCAGCTTTTGCTACTACACATTCCCGGACTACTGGTTTATTTCCTTGAGCTCCTTGTCGTGGGTATGCTACGCCTGGCCAAAGTCGGTCACAGCACAACAAATAGGCTCGGGGTTTTATGGACTTGGCCTGGGAAGCATTGCTTTCGACTGGGCCGCCGTAGCTTCTTACCTCGGCAGTCCACTCGCGAGTCCCTGGTTTGCTACTGCCAACGTGATGGTGGGATTTTCACTCTTCATGTACGTGGTCACGCCGCTCACTTACTGGAGCAACCTCTACGGGGCCAAGAGATTTCCTATATTCTCTTCGGGGCTCTACGCAGACGATGGCTCGGAATACAACTTCACCAGGGTGATCAAGGATCACAGTCTGCAACTCGACTACGATGCTTACAACTCGTACAGCAAGCTCCACCTGAGCAACTTCTTTGTGTTTACTTATGGGGCCTCGTTTGCAGCGCTTACTGCGACTCTTGCTCACGTAGCCATTTTCCATGGCAAGTAAGTTTTTCAGTCTTGTTTTCTCTTTTTTTTTGGCTTTTGCATGCTGTTTTTCTTGCATTTTCTGATAACTTTCGACCATTCCAGGGAGATTTATTCTATGACAACGAGTGCCTTGACATCTCGCAAGGTTGACGTGCACACTAGGCTGATGATGCGCTATAAAACCGTCCCACAGTTTTGGTTTCTAGGAATGATGTTCGCCTCTATGGCGCTCGCCATTTTTACTTGTGAGTACTTCAACTCCACAGTTCAGCTGCGATGGTGGGGGCTGTTATTTGCGTTTGGCATCGCCTTTATTTTCACCATGCCAATCGCCATAATCGCCGCGACCACAAACCAGGTATGAAGCCGTCTTTGGTTGCAAACTGTTCCTTGACAAGAAAATAGTTCTTTCCCTACGCTTCCAGGTACCCGGTCTAAACGTCATCACCGAGTATCTCATCGGCTATGTTTATCCAAACCGGCCAGTCGCCAACGTTCTCTTCAAAACTTACGGCTACATAAGCATGACTCAGGCCGTGAGCTTTCTATCCGACTTCAAACTCGGGCACTACATGAAAATACCTCCAAGGTCCATGTTCACAGTCCAGGTAGAGTCACTCGAATCAAGTTTTCACTCGGCTCTACTTCTTTGTTCATCTTTGCACAGGTTCTCGGCACTGTCATCGCAGCCACCGTCAACTTAAGCACCGCCTGGTGGCTGCTAAGCTCCATCAAAGGCATCTGCCATCCCAGCGAGCTCCCGCGAAACAGCCCCTGGACGTGTCCCAACGACACCGTCTTCTTCGACGCCTCGGTTATCTGGGGATTGATCGGCCCCATGAGAATGTGGGGCTCTCTCGGCCAGTACAACCAGATGAACTGGTTCTTCCTGGTCGGGGCTGTGGCACCCGTGTTCGTCTGGATCGCAATCAAGCTATTTCCCAAGCAGCGATGGCTGAGGCTCGTCAACATGCCGATTCTTTTGGGAGCCACCGGAGCCATACCACCGGCAACAGCAGTGAACTACTGGAGCTGGTTTCTCATGGGCTTTGTCTTCAACTATCTCATCTTCCGGTATAGGAAGGCGTGGTGGCAGCGGCACAACTATGTTCTATCGGCTGCCTTGGACGCTGGCGTCGCGTTTATGGCTATCTTGGTTTACTTTGCCACCAGGATGGGAGACTACTCTGTGAACTGGTGGGGGGCTACCATTGATAATTGTCCACTGGCAGCGTGCCCGACTCAACCAGGAATCGTGCCCTTCCTGGAGAGTTGTCCAGTTCCTTAAAGTTTTCCAAGAACTTGGAGAAGTTCTTGTGAAGTGGGACGCTTATTATTTGGTAGCTTTTTCTTTTGTATAGATGTGTTGTAACAGGAACTTTCACTAATATATTAGAAAAGAATTAGAAAGAAATTTCATCTCCTTGACAATCAACTTTTTAGATGCTTTCAACTGGTTCTTTGTCAATCAATGATTTATTATGAATATTTCTATAGAAAAGCAATAGTAATTTGATTATAATAATTATATTACCGCTCTCTTCATACCATCTCTGATTAACTCTCAGTAAAGTTCTATTTAAAATCAATTAATTATATCTTGGCTTGCGATCTTGAGCATGCGAAGCAGGCACTCGACAAGATAGCTAAGATCGACAAGGTGAAGCTATGCACGTCAGGCGCGATCACGGATCTCCATATCCAGGCGTTGGGAAGCCACCGGTTAGACCCGGCGGCGAGATCGCGTTTGTAGGCCGTGAGGAGCTACTGCGAGCGGCTGAGACTCCACGCCGACCAGCGCTCGTTGTTGGCAAGAGCTGCTTGTTGAGGGCGCTGGCTTGCTGCATGATTAGTTGTTTGCTTCTGGGACATGGAGAGCGCTCTCATGGGTTATCGAGACGACGGCTTGGTGGGCTATGTGATGAACGCGCTGCGGTTTTGCTACTGCAGGGATGTCAAGCGGCTGGATCGCATTGCAGCGCTCGCGTCTGTGAAAGACGTTCATGGGTCAGGAGAGCTGCTGGCGAGAGCTTCTTGTTCATCATTGATCAGGCGGAATTGTTCGATATCTTTAGCAGCAGCGTGGGAGAGGGAGAATGTTGGAGAGAAAAGCGAAAGAGGTTTCGTGAGGAAGTGGATTATATTGCCTCCACTGCTGAGCTCGTTGTCTATGGAGTTACCGCGATGACATGCGGTGCACTGATATGCATGTCGTGGTGTTGCAGGACGGATTCACTGAGGTACGAGAGATTTCTTTGAGATCCTTTGTCGTTGGAACTTTGCGGTGTGAATTCTCAAGAGGTTTCATGGGCAAGCTTCCCGTGCTTGGGCTGCTGTGCTCGAGATTTCCAGAGCGCGCCAAGCTTGTGGAGCACTATGCAGGGATGCCCTCTTTCTCGCTGGATTTGCTCGACAAAAGCTGCAGGCTCCATGCCTACACCAAACTGGTGTGGAGGCATCGGTTGACGAAGCTGTGGCTTTACTCGAAGACGATGACGAGTGGGCAGCTCTTAAAACCTTTGAGGACTCTGCAGAGATGAACAGCATCAGAATGTCTCTACGGCA